TTGGACCGGGCATGGTGGAGATACTCTGGGAGCTGGGCTCTCCCAGCAGCCCCCCCTTTCTAAGTCCCACCTCTTGGCCTTTGATTGACACCTTTCGCAGCTTCTCTGCTTGCCGTTTGCCCCTGAGTTTGCCCTGTGGCCTCCTTAACCTCAGTCAAACTCTTTCACAGCTGAGGGACCCTCTGTGGCTCCCTGCTCATCTCGGACCAAACCGACCTCCTAGGTTGCACTTCTGAGGCTCCCGTGGGCCTGCGTGGCTGGGTGCCCGTCTTCCTCTCCCAGCTGCAAAGGGGTCCCCAGATACGCATTGGGAGCTGAAGAATGGAGCAACTGACCCGGCCTCTCAGCAACCCATGCCCCCACCGGAACCTGGCATTCTGGTCCCTGTCTGACTCTCCAACAAGCCATCCCTGGGCCTCCCCTGAGGGCGGCAGAACCAGAGCGGCCAGGGCTCAGCTGCCCCTTCTGCCCACCCTGCCAAGACTTCCGGGTAGAGGAAGTTGTGCTTGGGAACTTGATCCCTGCTGAAGTGGACCGGGACAGGGCTATACCTGGTGACCCCAAAGTCCTGAGGCTATTTCCCTGTGCCCATCATACTTTCAGGGTTGCTGCGTATGTGGGGCCAGGGGACTGGGCCCTGCCGCCTCCGGAGCTGGGGAACGCGCCCTTGGCCTCCCCTCACCCTGCCCTGGGGCTGGCTGTCGAGGGCCTCTTGTGATGGCCGTGACCTCGCTGTGTTTGTGGACCAAGCACTCATGCTGCACCCTATGTTAAACGCTCTGTAAATACTCTTTCATCTCCCTCCCCACTCCCACCCCCGGGAGGCTGGTACTGCTATTACCTCATTTTTTTTTTTAATTATCAGCGGGGGAAACTGAGGCTGAGAGAGCTGCGTGGCTTGTGCAACGTGCAGATCTGAACACCCACAGGCTGTGCCCCTAGCCAGCAGGCCACCCTGGGCAGTAGGTCTGCAGCCAAAGCCAGAGAGCGAAGGAGAGGCTGAGGAAGCCACAGGTGCACTCCTGCACATGCACCACAAACACGCATGCTCATGTATGGGTGTGGACACGCACACCCACGTACGGACACACCATGTAAAGCAGACATTCATAGTGGCTGGTCACAGCCAAAAGAAGGGAACTAGGACCCAGCACGGTAGCCTAGTAGCTAAAGTCCTGCCGGGATCCTATCTGGCCGCCGGTTCATGTCCTGGCTGCTCCACTTCAAATCCAGCTCCCTGCTTGTGGCCTGGGAAAGCAGTCGACGATGGCCCAAAGCCTTGAGACCCTGCACCCACATGGGAAGCTCCAAGGAAGCTTCTGGCTTCAGATCGGCTCTGCAGATGGAAGATTCTTCTTTCTGTCTCTCCTTTTCCCTGCAAATCTGCCTTTCTAATAAAAAGGAATAACAAACAAACCCAAGGAGGAACTAAGCAGTGTCTGCACAGGTGGGGCAATGAAGCACCTGTGGGTGTCGGTGCCCTGCACCCACTATCAGCCTGAGTGGAATGTGGGACAGGTGTGCGGCACAGCAGGTTAAGTTGCTGCTTGGCGCTCTCACAAGCCTGGGATCTGGTCCCACCTCCATCTCTGATCCAGCACTCATGCTCTGGGCACCTGGCAGACAGCAGGTGGTGGCAGGGTGGTTTGGTCCCTGGATGGAGCCCCTGGCTCAGCTTTGGCCTGGCCCAGCCCTCACCTTTCAAATCAATGTATTTTTCTGAAATACCCTAACATTAACATTGCCTGTGAGGCACACACACTCCATGAACAGCTAAAAACTGTTGTATTGTACGTGTTCAATGACCTGAGTTGTGTGGAATGGGAATTTTTATTTTTGTGAGGGAAAGAGGGTTCATATGCCTCATAGGTGTACTCATGGATGGCCTGTGAGAAGCGACAGGCTGAGGTGGGGTGGTCCAGCCATCGAGAGATGCGGGGCACTGCTCCCTGTGCTTGGCTTTGGTGCCCAGTGGCTTCCCAGTATGCCCAGCCCAGCCCGTCCGTGGTGGGCCCCCGGGGATGAATCAGCAGGTGAGCTCTTGTTCTTTGTCCCTGTGCCTCCCCAGAGGAGGGAGATGGTCGCCTGAGAAGGCTGTGGGTCTCCTAGAAAGGCGGGGAGTCAGTGTGTGTGTGAGGGGGGCGGGGGTGGGAATGAAAACCATCTTCACACTAGGAATGTATGAAGTGTAATCTGAGTGGGGCGGGGGCACTTGGACTAACAGTCAAACACCTGTGTCCCGTGTGGCAGTGCCCGGGTTCAAGGTCAGCAGCACACTGCAGTGCACCTTGGCCGGTGTGTAAGAGCTGGCGTCCCTGCCCAGCCCCCGCATGGGAGTACTGCCCTCGCCCCTCCCCGTCCAGCCTTTGCAAACTGAGCCAGTGAACGGAAGCCTTCTCTCTCTCTCTCTCTCTCTTTCTCTCTCTCTCTCTCGCTCTCGCTCTCGCTGCCTGTCAGAGATGGAAGTATTTCATTAATAGGAATTTATTTGGTGAGACTTTTAAAATATGTGTGCTCTCTGCCTTCTGTTTCTATAATTAAATATTTCCAGCATACAGGTTCAAATGGGAAGCATGACCCATCGTCGCCTTGCGCCTCTCCCCTGGACGCGGCTAATCGCCCGTTGGTTTCTGCAGAACCACAGAGTGCATGCTGCGGCCACTGCGGGTGTAGAATATCCACCCGCGCCTTCTGGGAAAGAGAACTCTGCGTGGCCACAATTTAATTATCACGCCTGGGTGTATTAACAGTAATCCCATAATAACATGTAATCTAGCAGTGTGAGACGGTGAAACACGTGTGTGGGTTTCATCTCCATGTCCTGGCCCACAGCTCGGGTTTTCCTGAGCCCACGACAGGTCCCTGGCAAGCCCAAGGCAGGGAAGGGTAAGCAGGCTGGGATTCATAGGCCCCATCCCTCAAGCCTGAGAGTGAAGGTCAAATTCATGGCCGGTGACTCACGACTTCGGCGGCCAGGCCACCAGGAAACACTAAAGGACAGGTCTTGGGGAGCTTCCGGGGACTGGGCACATGGAAGTTCCTGGAGTGGGGCCCGTCTGGGCGCGCCAGTTCCCTCCCCTGTGTCTGTAGCCTGGGTGATAACTTTCATGACCAGCTGCAGTTCTGTGAGTAACTGGTTAGGTCTGGAAGAGGGGTTATGGAAATCCAGGCTTATAGCCAGCTGGCCCACGTGGGCTGGCGTGGCCTTGGAAGTAGGGGCCATCCTGCAGCCTTTAGCCCTCAGCCTGTGGGACCTGATGTATCCAGGTGTATAGTGTCAGAGGTTGCTGGAGTCAGCTGGTGTCCACTACAGAGCTGGCCACTGCTTGGTGGCTGGGGGGTACACCTGGCTCCTCCACAGCACCCCTGCCCCTGCTGTCAGGTGTTGAGAGAGGGAAGTGGGAGAAATGAAATCATTTTTAGGGCCCGGCACGGTGGCCTAGTGGCTGAAGTCCTCGCCTTGGACGCGCTGGGGTCCCATATGAGTTCTAATCCTGGCTGCTCCACTTCCCATCCAGTTCCTTGCTTGTGGCCTGGGAGAGCGGCTGAGGACGGCCCAAGGCCTTGGGACCCTGCACCTGGCTGGGAGATTTGGAAGAGGAGGTTCCTGGCTCCAGGCTTTGGATTGGCGCAGCACCGGCCATTGCAGTCACTTGGGGAGTGAATCATCAATGGAGGATCTTCCTCTCTGTCTCTCCTCTCTGTATATCTGACTTTGCAATAGAAATAAATAAATCTCTTTTAAAAGGGGGGGGTTATTTATTTGTATTAGAAAGGCAGATTTACAGAGAGAAGGAGAGATAAGAGGAACATCTTCCATCCACTGGTTCACTCTCCAAGTAGTTGCAACAGCCGGCGCTGGGCCAATCCAAAGCCAGGAACTAGGAACTTTTCTGGGGTCACCCATGTGGTCACAGAGTTCCAAGGCTTTGGGCCGTCCCATATCTGCTTTCCCAGGTCACAGGCAGGGAGCTGGATGAGACGTAGAGCAGCTGGGACACAAACCAGTAGCCATATGGAATCCTGATGCTTGCAAGGATCGAACCACTGAGCCATCGCTGTCCTGTGGGTGCAGGGCCCCAGGGCCTGAGCCATCGCTGTCCTGTGGGTGCAGGGCCCCAGGCCTGAGCCATCGCTGCTGCCTCCCAGGGAACTGGTGTTCAGGAAATGAAACCAGAGCTGGATTTTTTTTTTTTTTTAATTGATTGAGCTGAAAGGCAGAGCAACAGCATGTTAGAGACAGATCCTCCAGACCCCGGTTCACTCTGCAAATGCCCTCAGTATAGCCAGCGCCGGGCCAGGCCGAAGTCAAAAGCCAGGAACTCCATCCGGGACGTGCACGGGGTGGCAGGGGGTCTAAGCACTGCAACGTCTTCCTCTCCCTTCCCAGGTGTATCAGCAGGGAGCGGGACGGAAGTAAAACAGCCAGGACTCCAATGGAGCGATGGAAAGGGGGGAATTCTTAGTCCACTGTGTCACAACGCTTGCACTAGAGCTGGGACTTGAGCCCATAGGGCATCCTATGAGGCATTTACACACATACAACACACACACACACACACATTAAGAAATGCAGAGTGACTGAGGGAGGGAGATTTCCTGCCTGCTGGATCACTCTAATGGCTCCAGTGACAAGGGTTGGGCCAGGCTGAAGCCAGGAGCCAGGAGCTTTATTCTAGTATCATATAGGGTAACAGGGCCCTGATAGTTGGGGCATCTCCTGCTTTCCCAGGCACATTAGCAAAAAGTTCAATGGTAAGAGGTGGCGCCCATATAGGATGTTGGCTTTGACCACAACTCCGGCCCCATCTGGTTTTTTGTTCACAATCTCAGCCCCCAATTTCCCCACTTTTTTCCCCAAAAAGTCTTTTCTAGCTGGCGTTTTTGGGGAATTGAGCTCCAGTGAAGGTCCCTCCATCTCACTCAGGGCCAACATTGCCCTGTGTGGCCCCTTGGGCAGTGACCTGGCCTGGCCTGCAAGACTGACCCCTCTCTCTCCCTCCCCCACCAGGAGCCCAGGATGTCCGAGTTCAGATGCTGTCCGAAGTGCGTGGCAACCTGGGAGGCAGCGTGCAGCTGCCATGCCACCTGCTGTCCCTGGCCCCCGGCGTGCGAGTCTCCCAGGTGACCTGGAAGCACCAGGATGTCACTGTGGCCGCCTTCCACCCCAAGTACGGCGTCCACTTCCCCAACCCACAGTTCAGCCAGGAGCGGCTGTCCTTTGTCAATGCGGGACAAAGCACGGGAGCCGGGCAGGCCACAGAGACGGACCTGCGGGACGCCACGCTGGCTCTGCAGGGTTTGCGAGTGGAAGATGAGGGCAACTACACCTGCGACTTCACCACTTTTCCCAATGGCACCCGCCGGGAGGTGACCTGGCTCCGCGTCATAGGTGAGGGTGTCAGCTGGGGTGGGAGGCATCTGGTGGGGGCGGGGCACCTGCTGGGCGGGGTGTCAGCTGGGGCCAGGTGCCCTTAGATCTGCACCCATAGGCTCTGGCAGCAAATTAGTCCTTGTGGGTCGCACGAGTTTCAGGACCTACTGTGTGTGGAGGATGCAGCGGGCATCAAGCTGTTTTTCAGACAGATACTTGCCCAGTATCTGCTTGCAGGCCAAGCACTGGCCTGGGTTGTGCGTGCCAAGTGGAGGGACCCAAGTGCCTGCCTGGCTAGTGGGGAGAGTAAGCAGCATAAACAGAAGGAAGGGAGTGGGCAGGCAGTTGTGGGAGGTGGGAGGATTGCAGGTTGTGTGCAGCCTGGGAGGGCCGGTGATAAGTGGACAAAGCTTAGAAGTGGGGCAGGGAGTCCCTGCGGGGGTGCCGGGGGACAGATGGCAGACAGTGCAGGGCACTGTGTGAAGATCTGGAGAACTGGAGAGGTGAGCCAGGCTGGGCCTGCCCTGGCTTCCCAGGCTAAGTGGCAGGGCAGGGGAGCAGGCGGGATGGGAACACCCAGGCAGGAAGTAAAGGCCTTGAGGAGGGAATTTTGTGGCCCGAGACGGAATGGTGAGGCAGGGCAGCTTGGTCAAGTGCAGAGGTGGGCGTGAGCTGGTGGGCTCCAGGCATAAGGAAGAGGATGCTGTTGAGGAAGCCGAAGTGAGGGAACAAGGTGGGGAAAAACAGGCTGCCAGCGGGTGGCGACCAAGAAGCTGCTGCATGGGAAAGGCAGCGGTTGCTGGGACAGAGAGCCTTAGCTTACTATGCCATGGTGCTAGCCCCTAAATAATAATTAAAAAAAAAAAGCAATAAAAGAAGAGCAAGAGAGATTTAAGGACAGAGTGTGAACCAGCTGCCACAGCCTCCCACCTCAGTCCACTCACCATCATAGGAGGTTGGGGAGGACCCTGAGAGCAGCTGGAGTGTGGCCAGAGGCTGCGAAGTCACAGAGAAGTGGGAATTCAAACAGCCGAGACCCCACCCCCAATAGGGCTGAGGGGAACCAGGGAGGTGCCCTGAGGGAGAGTAACAGCTCTGGGTTCCAGAACATTACCTGGAGGGGGGGTGGCCTGGAAGGACCGGGGGCTTAAGACCACCCTGTGGGTGGCTGGAGGTCGGTGTGGGCTGGACCGGGTGCCAGGGCCAATGTTCTCTTCCCCGTTTCCTAGGGTGATGGAGTGGAAAGGGGCAAAACAAAACAAATCAAATCCCAGCTTTGGGACTCTAGCTTATCTCACTTCCCCTGGCCGGTGTTTGCAGGAAAAGCAGCTGTCGGCATGCCCTCTGGCCCAGTTTACTGAACTCTGGCTTTGTTGTCGGATCTGGCCTTCCCAGGCTCTGGGCGGAGGTGGTGGGAGGACGTGGTGGCCGGCACGCTCCGCGTGGCATGGCACGTCCTGTCCGTTCCTTGAGTCCGCAAGCGGCATTCCCGTGGGGGTTGCTGGCTGCCATCCCCCAGCCAATAAAACCTGCCCTGTGTCATGGTCGCTAAGCAACAGAGCTGGGATTTGAACTGAGTACCCCCCAGTACCCCAGGCTGCGCTGGCCAAGGGCCAGTGAGGATGGTGCATGTCCCCCGCCACCCCACCCCTTCTGTTCCCATCCCCAGCCCAGCCCCAGAACCACGCCGAGGCCCAGGAGGTGACCCTCAGCCTGGATCCCGTGCCTGTGGCCCGCTGCGTCTCCTCTGGTGGCCGCCCACCCGCCCGTGTCTCCTGGATCTCGTCCCTGGATGGGGAGGCCAAGGAGATCCAGGTCCCAGGGACCCTGCCCGGTACTGTCACTGTGACCAGTCGTCTCACCTTGGTGCCCCTGGGCCGGACAGACGGGGTCAAGGTCAGCTGCAGAGTGGAGCATGAGAGCTTCTCGGAGCCCGTCCTGCTGCCCGTGACACTCTCCGTGCGTTGTAAGTACCCCCAGCCCCCCAGCCGCATGATGCAGGCTACACCCGGGGTACCAGTGTACCCCCACCTGCTTCCCTGCACCCCACCTTCTCCATGTCTACCCCTTGAGCAGCATCTGCACACTTCTACACCCATGAGCGCTGAGCTGGGATGGGCCGTGGGGAGCCAGCCTTGTGCACTGCTCCCCAGACACCCCTCAGCTGGGGTGTTGAACTGTCCCTCAAGGGAGGCTTGGCAGACACGGCGCATCCAGAGCTTCCTTCTCCGGGAAGTTAGCTAAGTTAGTGGAGCCGCCCATTGCGTGGGCCTCTGTGGCTCCCACGGACCCCTGGTGTCCCTGCCCCCGACCGTGGTCTGCAGGGTCCACCCACCTGCTCACACTGCCTCCATGGGCTCCTGGGCTGTTGCTTATTTACGTAAACGGGCAGGTGGAGATATGCTTTTACCATGAGCCCTCAGGAAGATGCCAGGTTGAGCTCAGAGGCCAGCAGGCCCATTATCTGACCCCAGCACCTCCCCTTCTAGAAACTTCTCACACCCACCCCTTAATATCACCTCTGCATCCACCCAGGCTGACAGAGCTGAACTTGACCTGCTTCTCTGCACTTGAACCCCCATACAGCCCGCTCCCCCGGCAGAGCCGGCCTAGCCTCCTCCCTCCATCTCTCCCCAACTGTCTGCCGCAGGTGGCACCGTGTGCACCAGCTCTGCCGTGCAGTTTCTGTCTAGATTTCCAGCTTTTCCTCTCCCACCATGTCACCCACTCAGGGCACATCAGACACCCAAGTGCGCACTCTCGGCTGTCCCCAGTGACCTCCCTGGGCCGTGGACCTGGCAGCCTCCCATCCCCAACCTGAGACTTTCTTGTCCCTGAACCAGTTCTCCCAATTTCCTCCAGACCCCCCTGAGGTCTCCATCTCTGGCTATGATGACAACTGGTACCTTGGCCGGAGTGAAGCCACCCTTAACTGTGACGTCCGCAGCAACCCTGCACCCACAGGCTATGACTGGAGCACGTGAGTGGACGGAGTCCTGTCAGAGGGAGGGGCTGGGGCGGAGCTGGGTGTGAGGGAGGAGGGGCTGGACCCCTGGGTGTGAGGGAGGAGGGGCTGGGGCTGGGGCTGCACCCCTGGGTGTGAGGGAGGAGGGGCTGGACCCCTGGGTGTGAGGGAGGGGGGGCTGGGGCTGGGGCTGGACCCCTGGGTGTGAAGGAAGAGGGGTTGGGGCCAAAATTGCTCCTGAAGAATGAAGGAGCTTGCAGGCTAGGGCCCCCAAGCGAAGTCATGTCCCAGAAGTTGAGCCTGGAGTCTGTGTCTGCGGACAGGCCTGTACACACCCCCACCAGACCCTGCTACACCTCTTACCGTGCCCACACCCTGCAGGGCCTCGGGCGTGTTCCCTGCCACCGCGGTGGCACAGGGCCCACAGCTGCTCATCCACACGGTGGACAGCCTGGTCAACACCACTTTCATCTGCACAGTCACCAATGCCGTGGGCACGGGCCACGCTGAGCAGGTCATCCTGGTGCGAGGTGAGTGAGGGAACCCCCCCCCCAGCTGCACCCTTAGCTTCCTCCTTCCAGGTGGGGGGCACGCTGGTGAGGCTGTGCTGCCACCTTGGGGCTGGGAGGAACAGGCAAGGGTGCTCTGGACTTTGCTAAAGAGGAGACTTCTGGGGCAGGATGCAGGACTCTGCAGCCTGGGAGACAGGCTGGGCAGCTCCCACGCCTGCCAGCCCGGGAGCTGGAGCGGAAGGACAGGACACGCAGGCCTGGGACTAGGGCAGGCTGGGAGTCAGCAGAACCATCTCCCTGGAGGAAGGCCAGAGTGTCACCCCGGGGCAGTGACCAGGGACAGGCCCTGGGCTGTAAGACCTCCCCACAGAACAGGGAATCCAGCTGCTGGCCCGGGGCTGTAACCCTACACACCCACACCACTGTCACCATCTCTGGGACAGCCCAGGGAGCAGGGTCACAGCCTGGGAGTGCCACACCCACCTGGAGAGAGCGGGGGCTGTAGTGAGGGCGTGGCTGCCTGTGCCAATACACACACACGCACACACACACACACACACACACACACACACGCGCACGCAGAACTCGCTCACTCCTTTGCAGGAACCACCCGCGGGGGACAAGGTGCCCCTGCTCTGGAGACTGTCACCAGCAATGGACAGGCACACATTCGCAGAGGGACCCTGTCATACAGACACACAGGAGGGCCCAGGAATAGGCATCCAGAAACACCCAGGACCTTCCAGAAGCTCCCTCCAAAGCTCTTCAGCTCCCAATACCACATCTTGTAGTCTCCCTTGATCCCGCACTGACATTGGAGGCAGTGCCCGTCATGGAGCCTGCCTACCACCCCCAAACCTGGAGCCCCACTCACAGGCCCCCGTGGCATGTCCTTTTCACGGCACCACCCCCATCCCATGGGGAGCAACACAGCAAGCGCAGGGTCAGGACTGGCCCTCTCGGTGGCTGCCCTCAGAGGTGGCACTGAGGAAGACCACCCAAAAGGGGCTGCCTGCAGGGGTGGGGACACCACGAGCACCCTGGGGCCCCGTGGGAAGGGAGCAAGTATAGCCCTGGGAGAAAAGCAGCACAGGCTGCACCGAGCTGGCCCGCAGGACGCTGTGCTCCTGGGCGGGATGTACAGAGAGCTAGCACAACACTCCCCAGGCGCAGCCTGGAGCTGCAGCTGTCACTCAGGCCTGGGACTTCCCTGTCCACTGCCAGCGTGGTTAGGGACCACGGCTGCTCCTCCGCCTGGACAGTCCCTCTGGTGGACTGAGATGGCCCTGTGCTGTGGAGGCAGCTGTTATACTGTGTCATAGGGAGAACTGGACACAGAAGCAGCTTCGCCTTCCTTCTCTGTGAGTCGCTAAACTGGTCTGACAACCTCCCGCCCCAGCTTGGGTGCACTGGGCGCAGTGGGGGCTGGCTCTTCCCTCAGGCCTTGTGTGTGAGGGAGGCTGGCTGGCATCCCTGGGCGTCCCTCTTGCTTCCCCCCTCCGCACTCCTGACTTCTGTCTCTGTCCCACCCCCCACCTCTTCAGCTATAGCAGGAAACATCAAGAAAGTAGGGGTGGTGGAGCCCTGACTCCCAGCTGCCCCAGAGTGGCAGGAAAGAGCCCAGCCCCCTCCCATCCCCAGCCTTCTCCTCAAGTGCGGGAGGGGCACAGGGTAAGGTGGCTTTACGCTGTGACCCTGGCTTTTAATAGGAGCCCCTGGCACAGAGGGGGTGTGCTGCAAGTCGCAGGCACCCCAGGACCCCACAGCCATCTACGATGCGAACAAGCGGCTGTCACTCAGGGCGCAGTGGCTGCCACGGCCCTATTGCGAGGCAGGTGTTTGTTCTGAGAGCAGCCTGGTTTGGAGTGAAATCCTGAGTTAGGAAACGCTGGCCAGCCGGCGTCACTGGGAGACCCTGGGGAACAGCACCCGGGGTCGCACCCCGAGAGGGAGCCTGCTTACCTCTGCTTGGACCCATGCTTCTCCCTGGCCCCCATGTCCATCACTGCCACCCTCTTGACCTCTCTCTCTCTCGCCCTCCTCTCTCCTCAGACTCCCCCCGGGCCTCACCCCGAGACGTGGGTCCAGTGGTATGGGGGGCCGTGGGGGGGACACTGCTGGTGCTGCTGCTTCTGGCTGGGGGATCCCTGGCCTTCATCCTGCTGAGGGGGAGGAGGAGGAGGAAGAGCCCCGGAGAAGGCGGCGGAGTCCCAGGAGCCTATGATGCGAAGACTCAGGCGTTTAGCAATGGGGGCCCCGTCTTCTGGACACCCACAGCCCCTGGTCCGCTGAGGCCAGAGGGAAAGGAAGAGGAGGACGAGGACGAGGATGAGGAGAAGGCAGAGGAAGGCCTCATGCTGCCACCACCTCCGGGCCTGGAGGACGACATGGAGTCACAGCTGGACGGCTCGCTCATCTCCCGCCGGGCGGTTTATGTGTGACCTGGAGACGCACAGACAGACCCAGGGAACCTGGACCTTTGCTGCCAGCTGTGCCCGCCAGGGGCTCGGGACTGGCTGGACTCGTCTGTCCGCAGACGGTGGAGCTGGAACCTACCTCCCGCTTTCCTGGAACCCAGAGGAGGTGGAATACAACACACACTGGACTCCCGCCCCCCACCCCCAGGGCTGCACAGGGAAGGGGCGTCTGGGAGCTAAGAGTGGGGATCCAGCAAGGACCCGCCCTCCCACATCCCTTCCCCATCCTGGACTTGTTTTTGGCCCTGCCCTGCCCCGGCCAGTAACACTCAGGAGTTAATAAATGCCTTGGAGGAACTCGGCAGGGCTGTGCTGTGGTACCTCAGACCCCTCCTTGGATCCCAGGAGGAGCTGGAGAGGGAGATCAAGGCTGACCAGTTGGACCCCTGGGTTGGGATAGGGGTGTGGGCTGCAGGAGCTGGGGTCCCAGTTTCTAGGGTCCTCAAAGCATGGAGGGTGGTGCAGGATTCCTCCTGGGGGGCCAACATGGCCCCCATCTGGGTGCTAGCACTAGTATTAGGGAAGTGCTGGTCCTCATTCTTGGGGTAAATGGGGTGCTGGGCAGCCCAAGAAAGCGCCCCCCCCCCCCCCCCCCCCGCCGCCCCGACATGCCTGGCCATCCCCAGCCACCTCACCCAGCCAGGGGCTGTCTCCCATAACCAGGGAGCCAAGGACCAGAGGGCAAGTTGGAGAGCAGAGGCAGGGGTGGGTCTTACGACCCAGCCTCCTAGGACTTGGGGGCTAGCGCTGAACCTGACCACAGGCTGCATGGATACAGGGAGGATGTTTCCCGCATTCCCCAGGTGCTGGACAAGTGCACCTCTGGGGCCAGCGGGGACCTGCGGCGGTGCCTGGCTGGAAACGGCGGAGTGTTGCGGGTAGTCGGCGCACGTGGACAGAGCATGGTCACTGCGGAAGCCCTCCAGAGGCTCCCCACCCCGCCACCATGGAACAGGAAGCTGGAATGCACCCGCTGGCGTCTAGGAGCTTCTTGCTGCTTGCCTCAGATGGGGCGCCTGCATGGCGGTGACACCTGGCAGGGTCACTTACATTAGCTGTTAGCTCTCTTCCCCTACCATCCCTTTGTTGATACTGGCCCAGCCCAATCTCCCCTCTCTTGTGTGTCTCCAGGCCTGGAGGCTCGCAGTCCAGGAAGGAGCTGGGCAGCAAGGTCACTGCTCTGTCAGTAGACACAGGAAGGGGGTGGGGCATGAGCTGCACCCCTGTTCTGGCTGGATGGAGGAGACAGCAACCCTTATAGCAAACGAGGTCCTAAGCCTGCCCCAGGCCCCTCAGTTCCCAGCCTTAGTGCCTGCATCGCCCCCTCCCTCCGCCTTCTGCTGCGTGGGTCTTTGCACGGGCTATCCCCTCCTTTGCCTGCGGTACTGTTCCTGCTCTCACAGCTTGCACCTGCGGACTGCGTGTCTGGGAACCCCTTCTCCACCATCTCCTCCTGGCCCTCCCTGTCTGTATTGTTGGGTTACCCTTGGCTCATTGGCCCAGTTGGGAACCCCCCCGCCCAGCTCCGAGAGCCTACAGACTTGGTGTGTGTTTGGCTCTCCTTCATCTCCCAATACTGGCATGCTGCACCTGCCCTTTCCTCCAGGGAGGCCGTGCTGAATGGCAGGTGTCCATCACCGGTGGGGCTTGGCAGGGAGCCCCTCTCACACCACCACACTGTCCCTCTCCTTGCAGAGACACCCAACACGGCAGGTGCCGGGGCGACTGGGGGCATCATCGGGGGCATCATCGCAGCCATCATTGCCACCGCCGTGGCTGCCACTGGCATTCTCATCTGCCGGCAGCAGCAGAAGGAGCAGAGGCTGCAGGGGGCCGAGGAGGAAGAGGAGTAAGTGATGGGGCGCGGGCAGAAGTCCTCAGTAATAGCTGTGTGATTTCAAGTGACTGGCTCACCAGAGGGAGGAGAGTTAATTTCTCTCCAGCAGCTCACCAGAGCCCAGGCTCCTACCAGCTGTAGCTCTGTCCCTCAATTGTGGCCCTCGGTCACGTCCAAGATGGTGCAGTATAGTCTCTTGTGAGTGACCATATGCCCAGATGTAACATCTATTACCATGTGCAAGGAGGGAGGTTGGATCTAAGCGGAAACCAGCCACAGCTCTCTAGGGCACTGGTGTCCATGACAGTGGGCCTGAGCCAGGAGCCAGGAACTCCACTGGGGTCTTCCTCTTGGCGGCCATGACCTACTGCCCCCTAGGAGCACTGGCAGGAAGCTGAATCAGAAGTGTGGGGTAGCTGGGACTCCAACCAGCACTCCCCTATGGGATGTGGGCATTTTGAGGACAGCTGGACGCCCTGCACAATAGTGCCAGCCCTGCTCAGACGACACTGCTTGGGGCTGGTGAGTGTGGGGCAAGGCAGAGCTTGAAATTGCACATCCCTGGGCCACCTCAGAGTGCCTCTTAGCAGATGTGAGGGACGCATGTGTGGGCACAAGCTCCCTGAGCCATTCTGACACACGGGCAGGTCTACCGACTACTGCCCTACCCACACGCTACAGCCTGCCCACTGCCGAGAGCCAGGGAGCCCTGCAGAGGACAGGATAGGCGAGGGAACTCACACAGGCCAGGGGTGGTGGGGAAAGGAAACCTGCCCCGGTGTGGAGGACCAGGGTGGCCCCTGAGCTGGCAGCAGGATAAGTGTTGGCCAGGGACAGGAAGGGAGATGCCGGAAACAGCACTGGGGTACAGAGGACTCCCTGTGACTGCCTGCCTTCTATCCCACAGCCTGGAGGGGCCTCCTTCCTATAAACCGCCAACCCCAAAGGCAAAGCTGGAAGAGCCAGAGATGGTGAGCACTTTCCCTGGGGCAGGGGGCTGCAGGAGGGCCTGCTGGGGAGAGGCTGGCTGGGAGTAGGGGGTCGTGACCCATCCTCCTACCCTGTCCCTGCAGCCCTCCCAGCTGTTCACTCTGGGGGGCTCGGAGCACAGCCCACTGAAGACCCCCTACTTCGACGCTGGTGGGACCTGCACTGAGCAGGTAGGTGCAGGGCAGTCATGTGGGGAAGGCTAGGAAAGGTCGAAGGGGGTGAAATTCCAAGGTCAGGGCAAGGTCAGGGGTCCTGGCACTAGCCAGGGACTATGCCTGCGGCTGACAGAGTCATGGCAGCAGTGGTGAGCTCTAAGTCAGGCATCACATACTGTGGGTTCTGGGGGCTGGCCATAGGTCATGGTAAGCATAGAGGTCAAAGATGAGATCAGGTCTGCCTGGCACAGACAGAGGGTGGTCTGGACATGGGTGTCGTGGTCAGGAAGTGACCCTGACATCCTTCCCACCCCACCCTGCCACCAGGAACTACCTCGTTACCATGAGCTGCCCACGCTGGAGGAGCGGTCGGGACCGCTGCTCCTGGGGGCTACAGGCCTGGGGCCGCCCATCCTGGTGCCTCCAGGGCCACCTACCGTGGTGGAGGGAGTTGCCGTGGACCTGGAAGATGAAGAGGAGGAGGAGGAAGAAGACTATCTGGACAAGATCAACCCCATCTATGACGCGCTGTCCTATAGCAGCCCCCCAGATTCCTACCAGGGCCAGGGCTTTGTCATGTCCCGGGCCATGTACGTGTAAGGTGCCCCAGCTCTTCCCCTGGGGCTCCCTGGGCCGCCCCCAGGTGGCCAGGCCACCGGACGTGAACACACAGGCACACACTCATACTGGGTGGCTTCATGCTGACCTCCAGCCCTCCAAGGCCCCAGGGACCTGGGGACCTTATTAATTCAGGAGGCCTAGGGGGTCATCTGGGCATGTTTCTGTTATGACCTCTGACCTCCACGCCCCCGCCCCCCCAGTCCCCTACTTGAAGACTGTGACCTCCTGATGGTACCTCTCTCTCACTCGGCCAGACATCTCAACGCCCCCGAAACCCCACGATCACTCCAGACACTGTACGGTGGCTGGGGTGGGATTGGAGGGGTTCCTGCTGCTCAGACTTGAGCCCTCCAGGCAGCAGTGCCCCGCTCCACCCAACACCCCAAGGATGGGAAGGAGGGATGTGCCATTCCTCTGCCCACCTCCTGCAGGCAGGAGTCTCGGGGTCCGGATTTTTCCCGGTGTCCCTCTACACCCGGGCTCTGCAGCAGGGAGCCACGGCGCAGGGCTGCGTAGGGTGCACCTGCTGGGGAGAATCTGCTGTTACTGCATCCTCGAAGCCCCCACTTGATTCCCTGGATCAGGGTCAAGTCGGGTCGCCTGGGTTGGGGTGTATCTGGAGGGTGTGACTCCGTTTTTGTAAGCCAGCATTTCTATCAAACACGAGTTTATACTTGGACCACACCTTGTGTGTTCTGTGATTCTGTAGGGACGTGATGGGGGAAAGGTGGCGGGGAGAGGTGAAGACCCAGTCCACGGAAGGAGAGAATCAAGGTGTGGGTACAACCAAGGTCAGAGGTATTCCCCCGAAAAAATCCTATGAGCGAAAACAAAAGAGTGAATCAGCAAAGTAGATGGAGTTGGCAAGACAGCCACGAGAAGGGCGGTGGACACGGCAGGCACCGCAGGCGAGGGCACGGCGAGTCACTGCCGGCAAGGAGGTGGGCCGGGGACCCCAAGCAGAACGCGGGGCCGCAGACCCCAAGCCAGCCCGCTAGGACCCCAAGCAGAACGCGGGGCCGCAGACCCAAGCCAGCCCGCTGGGACCCCAAGCAGAACGCGGGGCCGCAGACCCCAAGCCAGCCCGCTAGGACCCCAAACAGAACGCGGGGCCGCAGACCCAAGCCAGTCCCTGGGATCACAAGGACGGAATGAATGGGGCGAGAATGAATGGGCTGCGGGGCATGCCGGGAGCCGGCGGGACTCGGGGAAGAGGGGGCATTGTGGGTAACGAGCCGCGGCTCCCCCCAAGGCACTGTGGGAGCAGCCCTCACTTCCGGCCGGCGTGCGCCGGCGCCGCGGTGCCTGGTGGGACGCGAGGCCTGACCTTGCTGCCTAGCAGCCGAGTGCCGTGCAGCCTACCTTTACCTGTGCTCTTCGACCTCTGGCACGTTCGCCAATGAGAGCACCAGGCTAAGACGTCACCGAGGTCGGCCCCCGCCTTGTACGTACCGGAGCCAATCAGGATGCCGCGGGAGGAAACCAATTCGACCAATGGGAGAGACAGCTTCACTGCGGGGTGGAGTCGGGCCTGCGGCAGGGAGGTGGGGCGACGCGCCGCTGGGCGGTGCAAAGTCTGAGCACAGACCAATGGCAGGCCAGGACCGGATCCCGCGGCGTCGCCAGCCAATAGGCGCTGGGCACCGAGGCCCCATGTGAATGGAGGGTCGGGACGCTGTGAGCGTCATCCAATAAAGAAGCACCTCCGAGAGAGGTGGGTGGGACTCGCCGGCTCCCGTCCAATGGGCAGGCCCGACCCTGCGGCCGGGGGGCGGGCCCTGCGGCCCACGGAGCGAATGAGCGGGCCGGGACGGGCGGTGGCGGCGGCGCGTTGGGTTGCGCGCGGCGCACGGGGTGAGCGCGGAGCCGCCAGTGCGCACGGGGCCGACCGGCGCGCTCCCTCCGTCCGCCCTAGCCCCGCGCAGGCCACCATGGGCAACGTGTTGGCCGCCAGCTCGCCGCCCGCGCCGGCCCTCGTGGGGCTGCCGCCGCCGCCGCCCGCGCCGCCGGGCTTCACGCTGCCGCCGCTCGGAGGCGGCCTGAGCGCCGGGGCCAGCGCGGGCCGAGGCGCCGAGCGGCCCGCCGGACCTGCCCCGTCCCCACCGGGGGCCGCGGACGACGGGGCCTGCGGCTGCCTGCCCAACCCCGGCACGTTCGAGGAGTGCCACCGGAAGTGCAAGGGTGAGGGCCGCGGGGTCCCGGGATCGCGGGGGGCCCTCCGGCTCTCGGGGTGTGGAGTGGGCATGACGCCGGATCGCGGGGTGCGGTGCGGGGGTGCCCCCTGCTCTCGGGCGGGCATGGGGTCGGCCGGCGGTGCAGCGATCGCAGGGTGCAGTGCTGGGATCGCGGGGTGCGGGGGTACCCTGGCTCTCGGGCGGGAACGGGGTCGGGAAGTGCAACGCTGGGATCGCGGGGTGCGGGGGTTCCCCGGCTCTCGGGGTGTCGAGTGGCATGGTGTTGGCCGGCGGTGCAACGCTGGGATTGCGGGGTGCGGGAAGCCCCTGGCTCTCGGGGTGTCGGGTGGGCGGTGCGGCGATCTTGGGGTGCAGTGCTGGGATCGGCAGGTGCAGGGGTCCCCCCCGCGGAGCAGGCAACCCTGGGGTGCGCTCTCCGGTGAGCAGGACGGGACCTGAGGCCCAAGGTCACGGCGGGGGACGCAGCCCTGGGGTCCCCGAGCTCTGCTCAGGCCAGTGCCAAGCTGGCGGTCTGTGGCTGCTCATGCATTCCTTCCTGCTCTTCCCCCTAAAGCAGATACAGATCGGCGGGGTGAGGGCTCCTCAGCAGCCCTACGGGGTGTGCATTACCCCAAGTCACCCGGTCAGTGGTCGGGGGTGCAGGAAGGGCACTGGTGGGACCCTGTCCCGTGGGTGAGGGTGTCTGACAGCCTCTCTCATCCTCAGAGCTGTTTCCCATTCAGATGGAAGGGGTGAAGCTCACGGTCAACAAGGGTTTGAGTAACCATTTCCAGGTGAGGATGGCTCGGGTGGGATGAGGGGTGTCCTTCCCCCCAACACCAGGCATAGAACACTCTGTGTTACCCCCACTCCCTACCTGGGCCAGGGCCCCCCAGCCCCTGCCATCCTCTGGGGGTGCCCACAAGCCATCCCCAACACACCTCCTGCTCTCCCAGGTCAACCACACAGTTGCTCTCAGCACAATCGGGGAGTCCAACTACCACTTCGGGGTCACGTATGTGGGGACCAAGCAGCTGAGCCCCACGGAGGTGAGATTCTTTGCCTGGGTCATCGCTTACAGCTCTGTGGGAACAAGCAGAGCCCGGGGTCAAGTGGGACCCTGTTATGTCTCCTAAGATGCACTGTGGTGACCCCCACCGGACCCTGGCACCCCCAGGGCTTTGGCTCTTGCCAGGCCTCAGACGTTCTCTAGGGGGCGCTAGAGAGCCATGGATGCTCTTGAAGTAGGGGAGGTCTGGCTTTTGGGGTGTCTGCTGGGAAAGTGCTCTCTTCCCCACTCAGGCCGCCCTGAGGGGGCTGAGCCGGGGCCAAATCCTTGTGATGTGTTTAGGGTGGCCTGGGCTCCCAGGCCTGGGGTGTGAGTGTGCCCGCAGGGTGGGCCTCCAGCCCCTGCTTTCTGCCCACAGGCATTCCCCGTGCTGGTGGGGGACATGGACAACAGTGGCAGCCTCAACGCTCAGGTCATCCATCAGCTGGGCCCTGGGCTCAGGTCCAAGGTGGCCATCCAGGTGAGAGGAGGTGGCAGCGTCCACGTGGGCCCTGGCACAGCCCCCCAAGCCCCTGGCTGCCCTCACACCACGCTCCTCCCTACAGACCCAGCAGTCGAAGTTTGTGAACTGGCAAGTAGATGGGGAATACTGGGGTTCTGACTTCACCGCAGCCGTGACCTTGGGTAACCCTGATGTGTTGGTGGGCTCAGGTAAGAGGTGCAGGCTTCGAGGGGTGCACCCAGGGGTCGTGTGAAATAGGCAGATGTGGGTTGAGACCCCAGGATCACCAGAACCGTGATGCGGGCGGTGTCCAGCTCCTGTGTGGGCCTGTTTGCACGTGGGCAGCATCCAGGCCGGTGGGTAAGGAAAGACCCTCGGAGGAAGCAGCACACACACTGGCTGATGCGGGCTGCTCCTGCTGGCTTGGCCCTAGAGTGGCCCACGTGGCTGCTGTGCGAGCTGGCGGCTCCTGTGTGCGTTGGCCAGGGACAATGGCTGTCTGACTGGGGTCCAAGTTCCTGGCTTCGTGTGTGTCTGTCCAGCTTAGTGAACAAGCCCTGAAGAGGGGCAGCGCGTCCTCCAGGCGCTCGGGGAAAGGTGGTGAACAAAGGGGCTTCCAGTCCAGATGCGGGGCAGCCCGCAGGTGTCGTGGGGCAGGACTGTGGGCTGAGTGTAGGGCCTGCAGAGACGGCCTGAGCAAAGGCTTCATGGTGGGAGGGGAGCAGCTGAAGGGAGGCCGAAGTGCCCAGACCCTGGGGCAGCGGCAGCAGGACAGACTGCGGCCAAACTGCACGTGGGACTTTGACCTTGACTGTGAGTTAGTGTGAGGGGAGCTGGAGCCAGTGACAGTGAGACCTGACTTAGCCGCTGGTGGTTGCTATAGACCACAGGCTGGGAGGAGAGAAGTGAGGGGATCCTGGGGCGGCCTGTGGGTGAGCAGGTGGGTTTACTGAGGGAGGAGGGTCTGCTGAGCCCCAGGGACAGGGTCCCCAGGGGCGGAGTTCACTTGCCGTGGCTGCCTTCTGTGTGGCGGGGAGGAGGCCGTCTGGCAGGAGAAGCGGGGTGTGTGGGGCCAGGCAGGGTCAGGGCTGGCTGGGAGGGTGCCAGAGGCCAGGGAGCCTACGACAGGCCTCCCAGAGGAGGTCCTGATGGCAGGAGGGCGAGGTGCTAGAGGCCGGCGGACCCTGGCACTGCTGACCCTCCTGTCCGGGACCATCTGCCACACCAGCAGGGCCTCCCTCTGCTCCTGTCACACCCCTGTCGCCTTCCCAGACTGACAGGGACACCACCTCTGCCCTGCCCTCAGGCACAGTTGCCCTGCACATGGGGGGCAGGGATGTGCCGGGAGCCAGTAGGCACGCAGGAAACGCTGAAGCATGTGGGGACAGCAGGCTCCATTATTGCAAAGATGTGTTTATTTCTTTACTGAAAAGATTAATCTTCCACTTACTGTTCACCCAGGCAGGTGCCAGAGGCAGCCAGAGCCAGGCGCCTGAGGCACGTCCGGGTCTCCTCCGTCAGTGGCAAGGGCCCCCAGCTCAGCACTGAGGGCTCCGTGTCTGGCCGCCAGGACCCAGCTCTGCCTGACCTCAGGCCAGGGACTCTGTGCCTCAGTCTCCTTGACTGTCACAGGGCACGTGGAGCAGCACCGTGTTGGCAGAGTCAGCTCTGTGTGCGGGGTCACGTGTGCAGCTAGGCCTTGCCGTGCACTGGGGTTTCTGATGCCCACAGTGGGCAGGGAACAGCTGGCCACAGGTCTGTGACCACCCCCTGCACAGGGGACGGAGGCCAGGCCAGAGTCGCCATCTGCTGGCTCAGGAGCCCCACCTGCTGGAGCCTGAACCCACACTCCCTGCCTCCCTTCCCAGAGCCTGGCTGCTCTCTGGGCACCCACTCCGTGAGGGCATTGGGCAAGGGCTCCCCCCCCCCCCGGGACCTCTTCTCCGGAATGCAGGTGTTGGGGCGGAGAGGGAGCAGGAGGGCGCTTGGGGAAGCTGGCCCGATGTGGCATGTCACGCCCTGTGTGGCCACAGCCACTGTCAGGCCTGCTGCCACTCATCTCAAGCAGGCAGCCCTGATGTGGGCTTGTGGCCAGGTGTGGCCGCCCAGGCCACCCTCCTCCACCGCTGCCCAGCTTCCCCTCCAGCCACCTGTGCTGCGGGTGGACAAGGTGGGGCTGGCGGTGGGCCCCCGCCGGAGCTGCCTGTTTGCTCTCAGACCTGACTCGCTGCCCGTGCACCTCAGGCTTTGAGCTCAGCAGGCTCTGCATGTCACTTGTTCATGCCTTTGTTCACAAGACACAGACTTCTGGGTCCCCTGTGAGGTGCCAGTGGCCAGCCCGGGGTGAGCTGACCCACTCAGCAGTGGTCCTGGCATGGAGTTCTTGGGGGTCGCAGGGCTGGGCTGCCCAGGCTGTGAGGTGGCATTGTGACCAGGGAACCTGGTGCCCGGTAACAGGACTGCCTCTGCTGGGGGAGAGGCATCAGAATCTGGGCTGTAAGCAGGTGCAGGTGCGTCGCTGTGCACCAAACAGAGGGAAGGGTCGCTGGGGATAGTGCCAGCACTCGGGGGCTGCAGTGAGGAGGGAGCGGGGATGGCATGTCCAGCTGGGGTGCCATGGCAGGTTCCAAGCACAGGGTAAGCGGGGTGAGGACTCCTGTGTGTGGGGTCGTGTGGAAGTGGGGAAGGCAGGGCTGGGATCTCTTCCTGACCGTCATTGGCTGTCCTGCCCTAGGCCTCAGCTGAGGGGAGTGGGTTACCGTGAACAGGGTGGTGGGTCCGTGTCATCCTGAAGGAGAAAGGTGCCTGCTGCAGATGGGAGGCCCCTGGCCGGGTCATGGCCTGACCTACAAGCCTGAGTGCGCATGCCCTGGCCCAGCAGGTTTCTGGCCTGGGTGCCCTCACTCCCCTCCCTCCCCTTTCTTCCTCCTGCCTGTAAAGTGGACTTGGGGGTGTCAGGCCTCCAGCTCCTGCTGCAGGGGCCACTGCTGGGATCCCCGGTTGCAGGCTGAGCCACTGAGGGCGCACTGACTTGGTTCTGGCCACAGTGCTCAAGAAACAGAAAGGAGACATAGGAATGGCTGCAAGTTCCCCAGCTGGCAGAAGGTGTGGCTCTTTATTTTTTATATATTTATTTATTTATTTATTTTTTAAGATTTTGGGGCTAGCACCTGGCCCAGTTGGCTAATCCTCTGCATACAGGCACCAGAATCCTTTATGGGCATTGGTTCATGTTCCAGCCGCTCTACTTCCAGCTCCCTGCTGATTACCTGGGAGAGCAGTGGAGGAACCTGGGACCCTTGGGACCCTGCACCTGTGTGGGAAACTTGGAAGAAGCTCCTGGCTTCTGGTCAGCTCAGCTCTGGCCATTGCGGCTATTTGAGGAATGAACCAGTGGATGGAAGGTGTTTCCCTCTGTCTCTCCTCCATGTATATCTGCCTTTCAAATAAAAAAAAAAACAAATCTTTGAAAGTAAAAAGAATTAGGGCCGTGGCCTAGTGGCTAGGATTCTCGCTTTGCATGCACTGCGATCCCACATGGGCGCTGATTCATGTCCTGACTATTCCACTTCCCATCCAGCTCCCTGCTTGTGGCCTGGGAAAGCAGTGGAGGACGGCCCAATGCCTTGGGACCCTGCACCCGCGTGAGACATCCAGAAGAGGCTCCTGGCTTCAGATTGGCTCAGTTGTGGCCACTTGGGGAGTCAGTCAATCAACAGACTGAAGATCTTCCTGTCTCTCCTCCTTTGTATCTCTGACTTTCAAATAAAAATAAATAGAACCTTTAAAAAAAAAGATTATAAGAGATTAGAGAGAGAAAGATCCTTCATAAACTGGCTTACTGCCCAAAGAAGCCAGGAACAACTTCTGAGCTTCATGCAGGTGCGGGGTCCCAAGGCTTTGGGCCGTCCTCGACTGCTTCCCATCCCACAGAGAGCTGGAAGGGAAGTGGTGCAGCCGGGACTCAAACTGGCTCCCATATAGGTTGCCAGCATTGCAGGCGGAGGCTTAAGCTATTGTGTCATGACTGCAGCCAAGTAGCTGGATCCTGTGTTTGAGCGGGACAGAGACGTGGGCTGTGCCCTCGATGCACACTTGTGTGGTCGTTTGTGGGTGATCTGCCCTCAGCCCTTGTGGCCCTACCCCTCCCCAGGCTGGGGGTCCCACCGCACTCCAACGGCAGGGCACCCACCACCCACCCTCTCCCGCCCACAGGAATCCTCGTGGCCCACTACCTGCAGAGCGTCACACCGAGCCTGGCCCTAGGCGGAGAGCTGGTTTACCACCGGCGGCCCGGGGAGGAGGGCACCGTCATGTCCCTGGCTGGCAAATACACGCGTGAGCAGGGCAGGAGGCGGGGGGTGGGGTGGGGCGGGGTTCACCAAGGCCCACGACCCCCAGAGCCTGACCCCACTTTGCTTTCTTGCAGTGAACAACTGGTTGGCAACAGTCACACTGGGCCAGGCAGGCATGCACGCAACGTATTACCACAAAGCCAGCGAGCAGGTGACAGGCCGGGGCTGCCAGGGCCTGGGGTGCCAGGAGGGAGCTCCAGCTGGGCGGGTGGCTGACGTTGTATGGTCCTGGCCCTTCCAGCTGCAGGTGGGTGTGGAGTTTGAGGCCAGCACGCGGCTGCAGGACACCAGCGTCTCCTTCGGGTACCAGCTGGACCTGCCCAAGGCCAACCTGCTCTTCCGAGGTAAGGTTACACCTGAGCTGCTGGCTTCTGCCCCCGCCCCACCCTCTGACAGACGAGTCCAGGCTGAGCCTGGAGCACAGGACGAGGCCTCCCCAGCCACCCACTGGTTCCCCCTGGGGGCTGGCAGCCGCCTTGCTGGCCCGACGGGTGGGCACGTGATGATGTCAGCCTGCCCTTCCCCCACAGGCTCCGTGGACAGCAACTGGATCGTGGGCGCCACGCTGGAGAAGAAGCTCCCGCCGCTGCCCCTGACGCTGGCCCTCGGCGCCTTCCTGAACCACCGCAAGAACAAGTTCCAGTGCGGCTTCGGCCTCACCATCGGCTGAGCGCCCGACCCGCCTCGGCCCGCTCTCTTCCCGCCCTCCTGGGGTCGGGGGGCCGCGGCAAGAGGGGCCTCGGCCCGGGCTGGCAGCGGAAGAGGGGACTTTGTAACTGGGGGCCGTGTCTGGGTCTGACTGTGGGGCAGTGTGCCCGGTGGGCCTGGGATCCCAGAGGGGATGCCGGAGGCAAGCGCTGGAGGAAGTGGCGGCCTGGCCACCACCCTGGGGAGCAGCTGCCTGGCCACCACAGTGTCCCCTGAAGACCCTGGCTGGGCCAGCCCAGGAGGCCACAAGAGGAGCTTTCCCCGTTCCTGATCAGTCCTCCCTGCCCATCTCCCCACCCCCCGTCTATCCCTCGGTATAAATCATGTTTATAAGTTATGGAAGAACCGGGACATTTTACAGAAAAACAAACAAACAAACAACAAAAAAAATACACATGGAAAAAAAGCCGAGCCAGGAGGCCCTTGTGTGTCTGGCTAGTGGGTGTCGTCCCCGCGGCCGTCGGCAGGGGGCGCGCGAGCCCCGGGCAGCTAAGCGGCCGCCGGGCGGGGTCCGCGAGACCAGCCAGGGACACTGCGGACCTGGGCTGGCCCAGAGGGCGGGAGCTGGAGGTCACACGGCCTGGCCAGGCGGGCTCCAGCGTAAAGGATATCTGGGAGCCCGGTCCTTGCAGATAACCAGAGGAGGAGTAGCCAGGAGCTGTGTTCCCAAGGGAGCTGCAGAGCTGGGCTGAGCTCCACTCTGGAATGAACTATGGACATAGCATTTAGTCGCCCAGGGCTCGGGATTAACTGACCCATCTCCAGGTGTGAACTGAAACCCCAAAGGCCCCAGGAGGAGGCTGCAGGTTGATGCCTCCTAGTTACCTGAAAGAACTGCCTCTCCTGCTGCAGCGGAGTGCAGACCCACACCAGGTCTGGCTGTGCTGACCTCATGGGTCCCATTGCCTTCAAGACCAGGCGCTGACCAGCCCCTCCTCCGGTCCTGGCTGCAAGGCTTGGGGCCAGTTTGGCCCTGAGTCTTAGGAAGGGGACAGGTTTGGGATGCACTCAGCATGTTGGGTGCCAGCCTCCAACCTTGGTCCGCTCACTTGTTGCATCAAGACTGGTGTGGGGCACAGGCAGTCACTTGCCTGGCTGCTCAGGAGGCAGGAGGTCATTTTCCCAAGGTCACACAGCTGGGGACTGGTGGGGCCAAGATTCAAGCCCCAACAGTCTAGGTCGAGTTCTGACTAGGGTGTTTTGGAAGACACCACTGTGTGGGTGACCGCCGGTGGGCACACCACCTGGGCCAGACAGGTGCTGGGTTCTTGATAAACAAGTGGGGAATGAGGTTACCAGAGGGCATAGCCAAGGGCTAAATGCGGACTACAGCCGGGAACTCCGACCTGGGCTTTCCAGCCCTGCCCAGGGGTCTGGGGTCTCCAGCCCAAGCTCCCGAGCTGAGCAGTCCAGGCCAAAATGCTCCCACGCACACTGGAGCGGCAGCCTGCCACCCCTCCCCTCCGCTGCCTGCACCCTGGAATGGAGAAGATGCCGGGAAGCCCAGGGAGGTGTCACTCCCTGGGGGCGGGGGTCACAGGGCCTCCAAGCCCCACCTCCTCCCTCCTCACCCCGCAGCCCACCTCGTGACTAGGGGCTGGCCCAGCCCGCCCTAGCCCCGGGGAGGGGCGGGGCAGGGGGAGCCCTATAATTGGCCCCGACAGGGTTCCCTGTGTCCTGCTCTGCCCCAGCCAGGCGAGGAGGTTCCCAGGATACGGTGAGCAGCACGGGGTGACCATCGGACTCTGGGGCGTGGGGGCTGAGGGTGAGGGCTGGAGCCTCGGGAGACAGAGGGGTCGGGGGCAAGAAGGAGACCAGGCTGGGAGAGAGGCTGTGATGGCCGAGCATGGGCTGCGCTGGGCTGGAGGCAGCGATGGGGTTTCCATTAGCTCCTAAATGGAGAAGCCACGCTAGAGCTAAGCGCAAGGATGGAACGAGGACTGGGAAACCCAACTGCGAGCTAGCGCAGTGCCCAACCGGGAGGCACGGGGCCGGGGGCGGGGAAGAAGTGGAATCTGAACGCTGGAAGAGAGAGGTGGGATTTGGGACTGGAAGATGGCAGGGGACGATGCGGGAGCACAGCCCGCCGAGGCGCCGCCGGGCGAAGGATTGTGATTGGATGAGGCTGTCACAGGGCCCAGCCAGGCTCCGCGGGCCGCGCCGGGTGGAGCGGGGCAGGGGGCCGGGAGGCTGGGGGGGGGTGGCTGGGGGGTGGCTGGGGGTCTGTTCTCACCCGCTGTTGATTGGCAGATCCAAGACTGACCAACCGCAGGCGGGAAAAATGAAGCTGTTGTGGGCTGTAGCGTTGCTGGTCACGATCCTGGCAGGTATGGGGGCTCCTGGAGTTCCTTGCAGCTCCCCACTCCCATTCAAGCCCCGGGTCGCCCTCCCTCCTCCACACACACACACACACACACACACACACACACACACACACACACATGCACTTCTTCTCTGTCTCCCCCTTGGGAGTTGGAACACCAATGTATTCCCATCGAGCACTTAGCTAGGGGAACAGGTCTCTTTGGGGTTTGCCAGCTGATCACAAACCCCAACCCCTCTGCCCACCGTGCCCCCCACCAAAGCCAAGGCGCCCTTGCAGCACTATGCCCCAGAAAGACAGGGGGCCCAGGGACCCTGATACAGCTGCCCATTTGCTGTCCACCCAGGATGCCGGGCCGAGCCAGAGTCGCAGCTGGAGGGGGAGCCGGAGCAAGGCAAGTGGCAAACTAGCCAGCCCTGGGAGTTGGCCCTGAGCCGCTTCTGGGATTACCTGCGCTGGGTGCAGACCCTGTCTGACCAGGTGCAAGAGGAGCTACTCGGATCGAAGGCCACCCAGGAAGTGACGTAAGTGTCCCAGCCTGACCTCCCTCTCCCCCGGGCCCCAGGAGTGTGGGTACCTGCCCTGGAGTCCCTCTCCGCTCCCATCCGCACCCAGACCCTGGCCCACCCTCCCTTCCTGTGGGCCCGCAGGACGCTGATGGAAGAGACCATGAAGGAGCTGAAGGCCTACAAATCGGAGCTGGAGGAGCAGCTGAGCCCCATGACCGAGGAGACGCGGGCACGCGTGGCCAAGGAGCTGCAGGCTGCGCAGGCCCGGCTGGAGGCCGACATGGAGGACGTGCGTAGCCGCCTGACGCAGTACCGCGCCGAGGCGCAGGCCATGCTGGGCCAGAGCACCGACGACCTGCGCGCGCGCTTTTCGTCGCACCTGCGCAAGCTGCGCAAGCGGCTGCTGCGCGACGCCGAGGACCTGCAGAAGCGCCTGGCCGTGTACGCCGCCGGGGCCCGCGAGGGTGCCGAGCGCGGCGTGAGCGCCCTCCGCGAGCGCCTCGGGCCGCTGGTGGAGCAGGGCCGCCTGCGGGCCGCCACCGTGAGCAGCCTGGCCGGCCAGCCGCTGCGGGAGCGCGCCCAGGCCTGGGGCGAGCGGCTGCGCGGGCAGCTGGACGAGGTGCGCAGCCGCGCCCGCGACCGCCTGGACGAGGTGCGCGAGCAGGTGGAGGAGGTGCGAGTCAAGGTGGAGGAGCAGGCGGCCCAGATGCGCCTGCAGGCCGAAGCCTTCCAAGCCCGCCTTAAGAGCTGGTTCGAGCCCCTGGTGGAAGACATGCAGCGCCAGTGGGCCGGGTTGGTGGAGAAGGTGCAGGCCGCCATCAACAACAATAAGACCCCTGCGTTGCTCAACGAGAGCCAGTGAGCGTGCCCTGCGGGCCGCTCCTGCCGCGGGCGCCCGCTGCCCCTGCTCCCCACCCACTGGCCTCCTGCTGGACCACGCTCTCTCCCCCTGCTTAATAAAATGTGTCAAGCTCCACAGCAGCTGTCGGGCCTCCGTGTGGTTCCTCTCTTGTTCCAGCCTATTTCTTGTGTGTTTGAAAGGTAGAGTTAAAAAAAAAAGAGAGATCTTCCACAAATTCATTCCCACAAACTGGTTTATTGCCCACAATTGCCAAGGCAGGGCCAAGCTAAACCAGGAACTTCATCCGGGTCTCCCCCATGATGATAGAGGCCCCGGGACTTGAACCATCCTCCCGCTGTGCTGTCTCAGGTGCCTTAGTAAGGAGGCTCAAAAATCTGTCTCAAAAAATCAGGGCTCAAAAACCCGGTCTTTAGAGGGGATGCCTGCAACGCTCGCAGATGCCGTATCGGCTCAACCTACTATAGCATAATTAGCAGACAACCGTTTCCTTCCCCCGCACTGGCCACACGACACACGGTCCTGTCTTCTGCCTCCCAACATTTTTCTGCCCTGGTGGTTTGTCATGGGTATATGTATGTGTGTCATGTATGATTGATTTGAAAGGTAGGGACTCACACACACACACACACAGATCTCCCTTCCGCTGGTCCACTCCCCAAATGCCAGCTACAGCCAGAGCTGCTCGAGGCCACAGCCGGAAGCTCACAATTCCGTCTGGGTCTCCTGGGCGGGGATTCCAGTGTCCAAGCCGCCAGATACGCGGTGACCAGACCCTGGCTCCTGGACTCCCACTGCCTGGGCTGCTCTCCTACCTCCCGCTGTGCCCCGGCCCTCCCGCTGTGCCCCAGCTCTGCCGTCTCTTCCCATCCCACCACGGAGCCGTAGAGCCTGCCAGCACCTTCTGCTTTGATTTCCCGAGCAAAAACAAAGCCTGGATGTTGCAATAGCACCTGCTTCGCAGAGGCGCCCAGACCCGGAGGATCATCCTCCAGCCCTCCCTGCCGCTCCTCCGGGCTTATCTGATCCTCCCTCCTCCCGTCCCCGGGCCTTTGTCTCTGCTGCTTCTGTCTGGGAGACTACCTGTGGCTTCCACCTTCCTTTATCAAGCCTCCTACGGTTTCTGCTCCTGCCTGGCTGGCCGCCTGGAGCTGCCCGGTTCTGGCGCTCGCCCCCTCCGGATACCACCCAGCCCCTCCACGGCCAGTCGTTACTCTTTCCTCATTCCCCCCCTCCCTTTCCTCCCTCCCTCGCTGCCAACTGTGCTCCCCAAGGCCTCTCTGCTCCCACCCTTCTCCCCCCCAGCTCTGTCTGTCCCAGTGAGCCTCCAAGGCTCGGTGCCGAGTGGGGAGCTCCAGGAGAGGCCAGGGCAGCAGCTGGGAGCCGCTGGAGCCCTCCTCTCCCACCACCCCCTCAGTTCTCAAGGACGGGAGCTGGGGACAGGCCAGGGCTTGAGCCTGCGTCTCAGGGCCCCGGCCCCTTGGGTGTTATGGCACCCTGACTCCGAGGGGGGCTTTGCCTGGTTGGATTCTGAGCTCCTCCCTTCAGCTCTCCCCTCTGATGATCAGATTGGGGAGGGGTGCGGAGAAAGGAGGGGAAGGTTGGTGGGCTGCCTGTGCCCAGCAGGCCACGCCCCCTCCCTGGTCTCAGTTTCCTTGGATGCGAGGGAGGGAGGAGGCCTCACTTTGGCTGTGCGGGGCTGGCAGGGACTCAAGCAGCCTGAAGTTGGGGAAAGGGTGGGACAGACTGGCTCTGCCTCAGTTTGCCCACCTTTAAAAGCCCATGGTGCTGAGAAAAGCAGGGGCATTGTGGGTCTGCTCTTGTTGGGGCGGGGGAGGGGATGCGGGTAGGCGGCTGGGGAACGGCGGGCGGGGTACAGGGCAGCTGGACAAGGGACTGGCAGCCCCGAGTTGGCCCCCAAAATGGCGCAATCCTGCCAGGGTCTCGTCTGTCTTTGCCTGCCCCTTTCACAACCACCCCTCTTCTGCCCCCAAGGCTGGCACGTGGTTTGCAGGGGCACAAGGCCAGCCAACCTCAACTCCGGGGTGAGGCCACCCCCACACACGCGCACACACACACATCCAGCCAGCTGCCTGGGATCACTATCGGTCAAAGAGAACCCACAGGGGCCAGGGGGAGGCTTGGAGTGCAGCCTTGGGGGACGGAAGTGGTGAAGGGAGGAGAGAGACTGGGGATCAGGCTGGGAGCCAGAGAGACCAGAAGGCTGAACACCAGCAGAAGGAGGGGTGGGGGGAAGGGTGGCAGAAGGGTTGCAGGCGCGTGTGTGGAGAGCTTGCAGCTGAGGCCTTATAGTTCAGAGAAGCTGGAACCCCGAAACCAAAGGGAGATGGGGGGTGCAAGATGAAGACCCCAGAGGGCATCAAGAAAGGGCGTTAGGGAGCTCCAAGGGCTGGGCTGATTGGCAAGCTGCAGGTGGCTTGTGCAGGGGTGGAGATGGACTGGCCCAAGGCCCACGCTCTGAGTCCCAGGGAAGGGAAGGAGGGGGGCAAGTGACAGCCACCAGGCAGACGTGGAGATCAGTTCAGCGGCCCCTGCTTGGGGTACGAGCTTTAGCAGGCTGGGGCCCCCTAATGGTCAGGGAGGTGGAGGTGCTAAACAGCAGAAACCACGGCCCTAATTGGGAGCTCCTGGGCCCCATCTGGCTCTCCGCCCGCACCTGAGAGGGGGAGGGAGAGAGAAGGTGGGTGGGCATATCTACCAGGGGGAGGGAGGTTAGCCTGCCCCGCCCCCGCCCCAGCCTGATAAAGACCCAGACAGGGGCAGGACCTCCCACCCCTGCCGGCTGAGACTGTTCTTGAGGTTGGTGCTGAACCCCTGGGAGAGGAACCTCTGGCCCCTCCCCATCCCCACCCCACCCCGGCCAGCTCCCAAGGGGGAGGAGGTAAGAAAGATCACTGATGGCTCGCACCCCTCCCCACCTCCAGAGCGCCCCTCCGGCTCCCGCCATGAGGCTGGTCCTGTCGCTCCCCGTGCTGGTGCTGACGCTGATGGTAGCTTTGGAAGGTAAAAAGTCTTTGAGATTTGCAAGCATGGAGCTCGGCCAACACCTCCCAGGACCTGTGGGCGCTCCGGGGGTGCTTCCGCGCTGCCCGGGTGCCCCTGTAATGCACCCTCACCCTGCCCAGGAGGGGGCTGCTGGGGAGGTTGGTGCTGGAAAGGGGGAATCTCCAGATTTTCCCAAAACCCAAAAGCTTATCTGCGGGCAGCAAATCTGTCCCACGAGCCTAGCAACAGATTACATTTGGCGCCCCCGCTTCTGATTGGCTGTGTTGCTTATACAGCCGTGAACTGGTGGAGGGGGTAGCTGGGGACTCAGGGGACCTCTTATTCTGACCCCACAGCCCCTAAGAGTCCCATGCCAGGATCTCCTTCTCTGTGCTTGGGATTCCCCCAATCCAGGGCTCCCGATAATTAGAATTTCTGGCGCATCCCCTGCGTAGGCTCAGCCCCTGCCCAGGCGGCGCCCGACTTCAGCACCTTGGAGCGCATCCCGGATAAACTAAAGGAGTTTGGGAACACCCTGGAGGACAAGGCCCGCAAGGCTCTTGAGAAAATCAAGCAGAGTGAGATCACCACCAAGACTCGGTTAGGACCTTTGGGGGCTTGTGGGAGAAGAGGGTGTAGCCATTGAGGATGTTCCAGTTAACAGGCTGGGAAAACTGAGGCACAGAAAGGCTGACAACACCCCTGGAGTCCCAGAGCTGGATGTCAAGGTCCTGGGTCTGCAACCACAGCTGACCTGACACCACCCACCCACCCACCCAGCCCCTACTGGCCACGTGGCGGATGACCAAGGACCCAAGCTTGGACCGCCTCCTCCCTGAGTGGTCCTAAGAGAAGGGCGTCCCCCTGAGCCTTGCTGGTCCTGGCTCCTTGGCCATGCACAGCACTTCACCAACACCAGCTCCTACTCTCAAGTTGGAGAATCAAGAGAGAGAGAAAGCTTCCATCTGCTGGTTCACTCCTTGCATGGCTGCTAGACCACACCCAAGAGTCTGGAACGCCATCCCGGTCTCCTATGCGGGTAGCAGGAGCCGGAGCCCTTGGGCCAGCCAGGACTCAGACCGGCGCCCCTATGGGAGGCAGGTGTCACAGGTGGCGGCTTCATGTGCTGCACCACAGCACAGGGATGAGGGCAGGAAGCTGCCAAGTGAGGGTAGGAGCGGCCTTGGAGGGAAGGCTGAGCCGGAGTGGGGTGCTGGGGTCTTGAGGTGCTGTGATCAAGGAGGTGGGGGAGGAGCAGGTACAAGGCTGAGCTGTGTAACTCAGGGCCTCCTCAGAGTCCATCAGGGTCAGGGCTCAGGTGGGGGTGGCACTTGAGCATCCTGGCAGGCGGTGGGCGGGACCCAGTGACCCCTTTCCTTCTCCTCTCCCCCGCAGGAACTGGTTTTCCGAGGCCTTCAGCAAAATGAAGGAGAAATTCAAATCGACCTTCTCCTGAGCCCTCGGGCGTCGCCCACAGCACCTGGCACGAGGACGGGCTCCACATGGCTCTCCCTTCTCCTCCTGCCCCCCACCACACACCCCAATAAAAATCCCTTTGAGAGTCCGCAGTGTGAGTGATGGTTGCTGGTGGAAGCGCCTGGCAGGTGCCATGGCAGGGGTGTAGGGCGGGCCGGGGTGCTGCACCTTGGGGCCTCCTTGTTGTCACGAGCCTTTGTGCATACCCCAAGGCCGCCAGGGCCAGGAGAGGGAAGGTTGCTCGTGTCAAGGCACACAGCTCGGAAGTGGAGACCTGGAGGGGACCCTCAGCCCGCTGCACTGCCCGCACAAGTCTTCTTCCAAAAATAGACAGTAAAAGGAATACAAAAGACGTCACAGGTGTGTGGGGGGGGACTAGACACCCACACTGTTCTCACCTTTTAGGACACACTTCCCATGTTCCCTCCTCCAGGAAGCCTTCCCTGGACTCTGAGCTGGGCCACGTCCCTCCTGCCCCGCTCTGCCCACTCTGTGTCATCACCGTCACAGAGTTCCTGGGAGGTGGAAGCTGTCTCCACTCACTCCCATTCTCCAGCTGACAAAGCAGAGGCACAGCCGGCCTGAGGTCACACAACCAAAAGGGGGTCCTCCCAGCTCCCCCCCGCCGTCCAAGGCAGCTGCCGAGTCATCCTGCTGGATGGAAGTCCACAGACTGCGTAGGAAGCCAGATGCATCAGCCCACATGCACAGGGCGAGCAGCACAACCCAGTGTCAGAGTTCAAGCCTCCTTGCCCCATGATGCGCCTTGGAGGCAGCGGCAGCGATGGCCTACACCCTCAGGCTGCGGCTTAATCCGCTGCACCACCGTGCCGCAGACCCCTCTGCCCCTTGATATTGAAGAGAGGCACAAAATCTCAAAGCAAGACACAAAAACACGTCTCTGTGCAGCTGGCAGAAAGCAGAACAGGCCATGTGTGCTGTTTTGCATCCGTTTGCTTTTTTTGCTCATAATCGAAACTTTGTTGACTACCTGACTGGCCAACAGATTACTGTTGCACAGTTCATAAGATCAAACCTTCACAGGAGTTGGGTGGATTTCATAGAGTCGCCGAAGCCACCGTGCAGCCATCTGTGAGAAATCTCCGAGCTCCGGAAGTGCTGTGGGTCACCAGCCTAACCCTCCAGCAGACACGGGGAACCTGCTGCTCGGGGCATCATCCGTGGACCTGTACATAATGTACACAGTTACCAATTTAAGGATTAGTCCAAGGGCCTGGCACGGTTTGCCTAGTGACTAAAGTCCCTGCCTTGCATCTCATATGAGTGCTGGTTCGAATCCTGGCTGTCCCATTTCCATCCAGCTCCCTGCTTGTGCATCTGGGAAAGCAGCAGCAGATGGGCCAAGTGCCTGGACTCACGCACAAGACCCACGTTGGGATTTTAGCTTCTTGGCTTCGACCTGGCCCAGTTCCTGACTGTTGTGACCAGTCAGGCAGTGAACCAGGAAATAGAAGTTCTTTCTCTCTCCGTCACTCTGTTTTTCATAGATGTAAATAGATCTTAAAAAATAATAATAATTAAAAAAAAATGTTGGTGCGTGTCTAGAAACCCGAGGCCTTCTGGTAGCTTCTTGCAGGCGTCGCGTCGGTCAGAGAAGCAGGCAGCCCTGAGCTGGCCATTCCGTCCAAGCAGGAGGCGGCTGAGTCGGGTGCCCTTAGCGGTTCCCGAGCCCAGCTGGTCCCCAGGTGTGTGGATGACGGCGTGTGCACCTGGGCAGCTGCCCACGCAGCCCCACGAGTGTGCACTGGCCTCAGCGCAACTTCGCAGCATGCTCACACTGAGCAGTATGTGCTGGTGTCCCAGCAGGGCCACCCTCCTACACACACACACACACACACACACACACCACACACACGCACACACACACACAGACACAGGGAAGCTGCCAAAGCCCCAGAAGCAGCTCCCGGCTCAGACCCAAGGAAGTGATAAAACAATAAGACTCAGATTACAGCACAAGAAGAGAAAGGAGGTGTGGGATGCTGACACAGCGCAGAGGGAAAAGTCGGGGGGGGGGGTGCCAGGGCTCTGCGGGGGCCATTGCACCCCGTCAGCGTCAGCTGTGCAAGCCCAGGCGTCTCCATTGCTCATCTGTCTCGTTGCTGACATGCGTGGGGAGCGTGGGTGCTGGCTCAAGAGCTTGGGTCCCTGCCACCCGTGTGGGAGACCTGGATGAAGTTCCTGACTCCTGGCTTCAGCCTGGCCCAGTGCTGGCTGGGATGCTCCTCTGAGGAGTAAATCGACAGATGGAAGAGCGCGTGTGTGTGTCCCTTCTCCGTCACACTACTTTTTAAATAAATACAGCTTTAAAAAGAGAGACAGAGGGCAGGCAAGAGGGCCAACAACATCATCCTTGACATGGAATTAAAATAAACACACGTGTCATACAGCCACAAATGTTTCAGATTTTATGGGGGAAATATTTACAAACTAAATATCTGAAAAAACGTGTGTATTCAAGGAGCTGGAAGTGGTTCAACAGGCTAGTCTTCTACCCTGAAGTGCTGGCATCCCATATCGGCGCCGGTTCTAATCCTGGCTGCTCTACTTAACATCCAACTCCCTGCTTGGGGCCTGGGAGAGCAGTCCAAGATGGCCCAAAGCCTTGGGACCCTGCACCCATGCGGGAGACCAGGAAGAGACTCCTGGCTCCTGGCTTCAGCCTAATCCAGCCCTGGCTATTGGCGGCCATTAGGGGAGTAAACCAGCGCATGGAAGATTCTTTCTCTTTGCTTTCCCTCTCCTCTCTCTGTTGTCCTAACTTTCAAATAAAATAAAAGCAGTCTCTCTCTCTCTCTCTCTTTTTTTTAAGGATTTATTTATTTTTATAGGAAAGGAAAATTTACAGAGAGGTGAGGCACAAAGATCTTCCATCTGCTGGTTCACTGTGAAGAACCTCAGTATCAAAATCCCAAGCATTTGCTCATGGCTCATTGCTACTAACAAACTGTGCTGAGCGCCCAGGCCAAAGGGCTTATTTGACCTTTAGCACTGATGGGTTCCAGTCCTTATGAATCAGGGCCCATGTAAGTCTGGTTGTCTCACAGGTGGCTCCAAGTAATGAAGTGGGTGCTTGCCTTGGTTGCTGGAGGCCTGGGCTGTCCAGCCGAGATAGGCAGGGAATGTGTGGCATTTCCCCTCACCTTGCAGGCTCTGTGAATTGCCCCCTTTCTAGATACTGTGGATTGCCCCTATAAAAACCCTATGAAGGTGCTGTCCGGTAAGGGGCCAGCCAGCTGTCTGCTCTCACCCAGGAACCCGAGCTCGGACATGCTGAGTTTGGATAAACCATCCTTGTGCACTCGGATCAATTCAGACTCCTGGTGGTTTCTGGGGATCTCAACATCTGGGCTCAACAACTGCCCAGATGGCCTCAATGGTCAGCACTGAGCCGATCTGAAACATGGAGCTTCTTCCAGGTCTCCCACACGAGCGTGGGGTCGCAAACACCTGGACCGTCCTCCAATGATGCTTTCCCAGGCCTTAAGTAGGGAGCTGGATGGGGAGTGGAACAGGCAGGGCACAAACCCCTGCCTATATGGGGTGCTGGCACTGCAGATAGAGGATTAGCCTGTTGAGTCACCGTGCCAGTCTCAATACCAGTCTTGAAAAAAGAAAGGGAGAGTTCCCATTTCACACCTGTTTCCACCTGCCACAGCCCCGAGGGAGCAGCAGCAAGGGGGGTGACGGGTTTAGAGAAGGCAGATCAAGGTGTTGAGGAGGGCGAAAAAGGGTCCCAGGGTGGAGAGAAAGAGCCAAGAGGGTGACTGGGGGCTTGACAGCCAGGCCTGGAGACCTGGAGGACACCCGGCACCAGATCACAGGCCCCTCTGCCCCCATCCCCCCTGCAGCTGTTTGTCAGTGGCCCCGGAGCCCCTCCCCACCCCCCTCCATGACCTTCAGCCCGTTCCTGTCCCTGAGATGGACAAACATTGCAGGCAGCGGACAGCAAACAGCCGCGGTCGCCCTGTAAGCCAGCCTTGGAGCTGGGGACAGAGGTCAGAGAGCTCCCTGGCCCCAGCCCAGCCCACCCAGCCCCACTCCAGGTTTCCCCCTGTGCTGCCTCCCTGCTGCTTTGTGTGGGACCCCAAAGGGGTCCTAGTAGGGCTGGAGAGTGGGGGAAGCCCTCATGCCCTCCTCAGGCTCAGTTTCCACATCTGTAAGATGGTGGCCATTAGACATGGTCTGGCGTCTTCTAAGGGGTAACGGAGGTTGTGCAGGGGGGAGGGGGGAAGAGGTGCGTGCTAAGTCAATAGCAGCTGACAGGGACCGGCGCCCTTGTGGTGACGACTCTCCAAGCCACCCGCTGCCAAGGCAGGAAGTGTCTGGGACTGTCCAGAGGGGTTAAGCAACTTGCACGGGGCAGGATGGGGGGTGGGGTAGGGGGATTGTCACACGACTGGAGAGGGCTGAGGTTAGTCTCCGAACCCCACTCTGAACTGCTTTAACGCGACGGGCAGACGGCCTGTTTGCATTACATACTTGTTTTTCCTTTCGTTTGAAAGAGAGACAGAAAAAGTTCCCATCCACTGCAGCCAGAGCCAGGTCAGGCTGAAGCCTAGAACCCAGCACTCCATCTGGGTCTCCCCGTGCGGGACAGGAGCCCAAAGACTTGGGCCCTCACCTGCAGCTTTCCCAGGAACATGAACAGGAAGCTGGAGCGCAAGCAGAGCTGGGACTTGAACCCAGGTCCTCTGCAGGAGGGTCACCAGGGCCGACCTCTGGTTGTGCTGTGGTTAAAGCTCACATCACGTACTGCTTGGAGAGGTGTGTCAGTGTCAGCATGAGGCACACTCGCTGGGTTGAGCAAGCTTGGCCTCCTTCTGCTGCCAGGACATTTTCACCATTCCAAACAGAAGTGGGTGGTTGGATGTTGCTGAGTACCAGAAAACCCGTGTGGAGAGGACTCGCTGGGGGCGGGTGCTGCGGGGGACCTGAGGTAAACAAGCCGCCCTCTGATGGGTGCTCCGGTCCAGTTGTTCAGGCTGGGGAGGTCAGCCTCTCCTGAGAAAAATGAAAAAGCAAGCTGTCCCCCCTGCATTTGCATCTCTGCCGCACAGCCAAGCGCAGAGGGTTAGGCAGTTTGTGTGCAGTTCCTGGGTCTCGCCTTGAAGTACTGGGGTCTTCCAAAAGTTCCTGGGAAATACACATTACAGGCAATGACACGTGGGCTTCCCAGTGGCTCAGCCTGCAGAGGAGCCCTCCGGAAAGCCCCCCTCCCATGAACTTTTCGACACGTCCTTGCACATACGCTGCTTCTCTCAAACTCAGACAAACCCGGGCATCCCCCAGGGGTGCGGAATGTTCTGCAAATCATGTGGTCCCGTCCTACCAAGGTCACTGAGGGTGGGACTCGAGATCCAATGCAGTAATGGTGGGCTGACTTTATGGTGGGTCCCTGGGGATGGTCTGTGGACTGCGGGGTGTGTGCACACAGCCCTGGCAGGAGCGAAGTTCCCTGCCCTTGCTAGACCATCCAGCCCCCTGGGTCCCCTGGGACCAGGCCAAGCTGCATCCCCAGGGGTGAGGCTGTGTGTGTGAGTGTGCACATGTTGTTTGTATGTGTGAGAGTGTATGAGTGTGAATTGGGTGCTGTCACACCCATTTCACAGATGGAAAGACTGCAGCCCAGAGAAGGGAATGTCTTCACCCAGGGGGTACAGTGAAGGACAGGGCAGCTGGGAGCCCAGGTGTGCGTGTGTGTGTGTGCGCGCCCTGTGTCCTAGCTCACCAGGGAAGGAGAGAGGTGGAGCCCGAGGCTGGGCCTTTCCCCCTGGGGTGGGGATGCCTCAGCAACAAGGAAGAGTCCCTGCTGGGAGCATCCAATGGGTCAGGCTCCCCGCAAAGAGCAAGTCTCCTGTCCTGTTGTTCTGGAAAGTTCTGATGCTCAGATCCAGCCTTCCCCTCGACCTCCCCGGACTTAGCAGACAAGGAAACCAGGCATACCACACACACACACACACACACACACACACACACACACACACATGCTATTAGAGGCCACAGAGCCTGGAGCAGCAGCCGCTTCAATGCTGGAGGTCCAGCAGTCTGTCCTCCGTCAGGCCTGGGAGCGAGAGGCCAGCAGGGGCAAGCCCTGTCACCTGGTGCCCTCTCCTGCAAGTCCCTGCCAGCGGGCGTGGGAGGTGGCCAGGGGAGGGCTCTGCTTGGGGCAGCCCGTCCCTGCCCCCCTACCTCTCTCTCTGCCCCCCTGCCTAGGCTGGACAGCGGAGCACAGAGGGACAGAGGGAAGAAGCCCCAGAAATGCTGCTTCTGAGTCACAGGTGCCAGAGCGACCCTGCCCTCCCTGTGCCTCGGGGTGCTGGTCCTGGCCTGGTGAGGAAAGAGCGGGCAGGCACGGGGACCCTATCCGGGAGGGGTGAGTATGACCCGGGAGTTGTGTGGGCTTGAGGCTTGGGACTTGTGTGTGTGCGCGCACGGCTGGGGGTGGCCGTGTCAGGGGCTGAGTGAGGAGGAAAAGATGTTGAAACAAATGGTGGTGGTCCTTGTGTGCGCAGGTAGACGGACATGTCTGTGAGCGCGCATGCGCAGGGAGGGGCCGTCCGCTCGGATAAGGTTGCATGGAACACATGAGCCGCACACACTCAGCTGAGGATGCTTGTGATACGGGCACGCAGCCGCACCATTCTCAGCGCCGTCTTTTCACGACGTTCCCTAAATGCATGAATTTGAGGTGCTTTTTCAATGGTGCTGTTCATTTCCCTTTTTTTCAGAAGGCTGAGGGACAGGAGAGAGGGAAGAGCTTCCATCTGCTGGTTCATTCCCCAAATGTCTGCAAGGCCCAGGGCCGGCCAGCTGAGTCAGAAGGCCAGAACACCATCTGCGTGCCCCACGCACGGGGGGCGGGACCCGAGTCCTGAAGCCAGCATCTTGTTGTCTTCCATGAGCAGGGGGTAGAGGAGCAAGGACTGGAACCAGATGTGGGGTGTCTGTGGAGTGACTCCTGTCACAGTGGCTGTGGGGGAGAGGGGGTCCTTATCGTCCCATTCTACACAAGAGGAAATCAAGTGCCAGAGAACCTTGTCATGGCCGAGACCCCACACAGGGCCCAGGCTGCTTCTGTGCCAGGCGTGTACATATGTATGCTCCTGCAGTGGGCTCTGTGGGCTCTGTCCAGGTGCATGGGCCCAGGGTGGACAGATGTGCCAGGGTGCCAGGGTGCCAGGGTGTAAACTGTGACCCATGGAGGCAGGGGAAAATCCCAGGCCAACTACAGGGCGGGGGGCGTCCAGGGCAGCCTGACAGTGAGGGAGAGGAGGCCTCGGCAAGCAGGGGAGGGACGTGCAGGTGGACAGAGGTGAGAGAGCAATGGCCCAGGCCCTGGGAGAGCAGAGACTGGGGCAGAAGGCACAGGTGGACGGAGGGCCAGGAAAGCAGGCAGTGAGGGGCCTGCCGGAGGCTTCCCCAGGCCACGGAAGTGACGGAGGGGCAGACCTGAGCGGCTGGGAGGAGGTCAAAACTGACCGTGGGTTCCTGAACTGCCGTCTGGCTTCCCCCAGTGTGTGTGACTGTGGAGACCCCTACCCCGGCACCTGAGGACAGCCACTGGAGCCTGGTGCCAAGTTTGGTGAAGAAGCTGGTGGCGCCGCTGGTGGCCAGGACCAGAGACAGGCGGCAGCAGTTCTGGTGAGGGCTGGACCCCTGGGTGTGAGGGAGGAGGGGTGAGTAGGGGTGGACCCCTGGGTGTGAGGGAGGAGGGGTGAGTAGGGGTGGACCCCTGGGTGTGAGGGAGGAGGGGTGAGTAGGGGTGGGCCCCTGGGTGTGAGGGAGGAGGGGTGAGTAGGGGTGGGCCCCTGGGTGTGAGGGAGGAGGGGTGAGTAGGGGTGGGCCCCAGGAGTTGCAGGGTTTCCAGCTACTGCCTCCTGTCTCCTGCAGGGGCCCCAGTACTCTCCACCTGCCAGACCTGGGTCCCCGCATGCAGGCCTGGTTCGCCAGCTCCAGGGACAGCCTCCTCAGCAAGGCCTAGGGCCTGTGCCCCAAGATTCTGTGTGAAACAGAAGATGAGGCCTTAGGTGCCCAATTCACAATAAACCCCTGCTCATCTGTGTCCCTGCCCGCCCCCTCCCAGCATGCTCCACCACCACTCCCAGGGAGTTAATGAGTGGTGGTACCTGGACAGTCTGGGGAGACGGGATGGGGACTTTACCATCCCCTGGACAGGGGAGGAGACTTCATGGCGCCTGGGTTTCCGGAGGGAACAGGTGCAGGTCAACAGGTTCCTGGTGGGAGGGGCAGCCCCTGCCTCAGAGCTTCACCCTCCAGCGACCCCAGACCCTCTTCCTGGTGGTGTATGTCAACCCTCAGCAGCCCCAGGCTCCGACCCCACTGATACAGTGTCGGGAGGGAAAACCTACCAGTGCGGGGTCCCTGCCGCTGACCTCAGCTAGGGTCACTGCCCTTCCTGCCCTCCAACCCCCCGCCCCAGTGGCTGTGTTGGCCAGGACTTTGGCCGAGGCCAGGAGAAGGTGGTGGTTGGGCCAGGGACAAGGGCAGGCCAGCTATAAAGCCCGTCTGCCCGGCCTGGGTTGGCGAGGACTGCCTGCGAGTTCGGTAAGAGGAGTCGGCAGTGGGGGTCTGTGGGAGGAGGCAGAGGCTGTCCAGTGGGACCCTGCGCGTGTCTGAGTATTGATGTGGAATCTGTGGAGTTTAGGATATCCACCAGGCACGGGGCTGTGTGTTTAGTGAGCGAGTGGGCAAGCACTGGGTGTTGGCTTTTTTTTTTTTTTTTCTTATTTATTTAAGACAGAGAGATGGAAAGAGAGATCTCCCATCCACTGGCTTGTGTCCCAAATGTGTGCAAACTCAGGTTGGGCCAAATCAAAGGCTGGAACTCCTCATGTGGGTCTCCCACGTGGGTGGAAGGGACTCAGTCCTTGGGCCATCCTCTGTCTCCCAGGAGGCACAGTCATAGTCACAGTCACTGGAGACAGAGCCAAGATTTGAACCCAGGCCTTAGGCTATGGGATGTTGGTTCTTAATTGTATCAACGGTGTGCCTTCCTGCCCCAAGGTGACCTTGGCCCAGCTTGCTTGGAGCACCCCGGGCTTGGTGCTCCACAAAGCCTCCTGGAGTGAATGAATGAGGTACCAGTGACGGGCCACCAGGGCTTAGGTGTTTGAATCTGCGTGGAAGCCCAGAAGGTTAGGACGTGAGGCCCCAGGATGCCGCCTGGTCCAAGATGTGCATTAGGGGCGTAGGGTTCGGGGCAAGGATCCCAGGCCCCTTTGCCAGCGGGGCCGGCCAGAGGTAGAAGCTTCCCCTGACCATCCCGCTCAGCATTGCAGGCTACCCCAGACGCCATGGGCATTCGACTCCTCCTGGCTCTCTGTGCCATCCTGCTGGCATTGGGCTGTGGTGAGTGCGGGGCGATCTGCTAGCAGCTTCCTGGGCTAGTCCTTTGCTGGGAGACCCTGCCTCTGTCCATCCCCACTCCCCTGCTGTCCTCTCCCTGCCCCTGGCTGCTTCCCCTCCTGCGGCCCCATCAACCCTCACTCCCCATCCCCCCCACGCTCTTGTGCCCCTGCAGCAGTCCAGGCGACCCCCGTCCCTGCACAAGATGAGCCTGCCCTGATGGAAAAGGTGCAGAAGTCCCTGTATGAGTACTGGGACTCGGCTAAGGCAGCCGCCCAAGGCCTCTACCACAACTCCTACCTGGCTTCCGTGGATGAGAAAATCAGGTAGCCACTGCGGAGACCCCGACAGCCGCCGCCTCTAGTCCGGGGGTGCAGCTCCCCCAACACCCCTCCGTCTTCTCTCCCCAGGGACATGTACACCAAGGGCACAGCGGCCATGACCACCTACGCTGGCATCTTCACCGACCAGATCCTGTCCCTGCTGAAGGGAGATGCCTGACACGGGGGAGGGGAGACTTGCGGCCCCCGCCACCCTCCTGCCAGGACCCCCTGGCTGTCCTGACCCACCACGGGGGGACCACACTCAGCTCCAGCCCCAGCAGCCCAGTCCCAGCTCTAGCCTGAATTTTGACCAATAAAAATAATAATAATTAAAAAAAAAAAAAAGACTGAATTCATTCTCTGAATTGCACAAAGCCTCAGGTTCTTCTGAGGCCCCCGGAGCCCACCCGGAGGGGTTCTTTCAGTCCAGGTGGCACTAAGTCAGCGCCCGCTGTATGCATGGGGGGTAGGGGAGAGGTGGCCATCAATTACCCGCAGGGCAGCCAGGAGCCCACTGTGCATGCAGGTCCAGTTTTCTCTGCTGTAAATGGACAAACCAGACAGTCCACAGCGGCCAGCTCTGGGCTGGCACTTTAAAGGTGCCTGTGACCCACATGGCTGGCCCCAGATGGTGTGCTGCGTTCCCCGCTTTGGCCTGGCTGAACCCCTAACTGTTGCAGGTTCTTGTGGGGGAGTGGACTAATGGTTGGAAGTTCTGTTCTCTTGCCTTTTAAATTAAATGAAAAATAAATACAAGTTACTTTCTTCCCCCCTTTTTCAATGTGCCATCATTGTGCGTTTGTCCAGTGGCCCCCTGTGACTGGGAGGTGGGGTGCGGGTTGGGCAGGGGAGACTGGCGTCCACATGGCCCAGCTGAGCTGCTGGCAGGGTTGGTGTCCAGCTGGGCCGGGGCCCGGGGAGTCGGGTCTCTGAAGGCTGGGTTCCTTGACAACTCGGCCACATTCGTCCTTCTGTGACGAAGTCCTGGGTCTATAGTCCTGCCCTGTCCCGCCCCCCACCAACATGGGGACCCTCCCAGTGCCAGCCCCTGGGTCCTGGCCCAAGTACAACGGGATTCCAACTTTGCAGTCTGTTTCCCTACTGGGAAAGGTGATGGCATTTCCTGGGCTTGCTGGCGCTCTGGCCAGGTCTTGATCTCCGATAGAGGCCACGCAGCCAGACCCCTGCATCCTTGGCTGGTAAGACACCGATGCTTGGAGGGCGAGGTGCCAGGTTGACCCCCAGCTCCAGAAGGGGAGGGTGGAAGAGGGTGTCTGGCAATGCTTGCAGGAATCACAGGAGGTGTCCGGTGCCAGGGGCCGCAGACAGGAGCACAGGTGCCATGGGGACTCGGCCGCTGGCCCTATTTTCTTCATTGCTTGGCTGTGACCCCGCAGCCAGGGTGTTTCGACGCCCTCAGGGCACCGTTCCCAGCTCCTCAGGCCGAGCAGCTGTAAGTCCAGTGGAAAACAGGGCCCCTGGGGAAGAGCTGTGGGCAGTGCCCCCGAGTCCCCAGAGCCTGGGAAGAAGTGAGGGCTGCCAAGCACACCCAGGGGGTGACAAGGAGGGGGAGACCCCGCGGGAACAATCCCGGCTTTGTGCTCTTGTTTCCCACGGACTTGAGCCAAAGCAAGTCACTGCCCAGGCCAGCTCTGCCTCCGGCCAGCCCTGGGCGGCTCCCAAACTCTCTGCCTCTCTCCAGCCTTACTCCCTTCAGGACCCCAGACCCCTCCTCCCCGAACCTAGAACTCAGGAGTCCAGCATCCCAGACTCCCTGTTTCTCAATTCAGGAGTCTGAAAGCCCCCACCTTTCTCCCAAATCCGCGCTGTCCAGGACCTTCAAGTGCGGGTTCTTGCCCCTTGGCCGCCTTTCCAGCTCCCTGACTGGTGCTGGGCGCCCCCTAGTGGAGGGCAGTGAGGCCGTCCCGGGGACTCTCCCGGCCCTTGGCGGTAAACAAGTGATTTAGTGGCTGGACAGCGGTGCAGCAGGAACGTGCTCCACAGGGACCATCCTGCTGCGACAGGGGAACACAAGTATATCAGATGTGGAAGGGAGAATGGGATGTAGTGTATCAAGGCCTTCAGTGCCATCTCATACAGGTGCTGGTTCAAGTCCCAGCTGCTCCACTTCCAGTCCAGTTCCCTGTTGAGAACCCGGGAAAGCAGCGGAGGATGGTCCAAGTTTCTGGAGCCCTCCACCCATGGGGGAGACCCGGAAGAAGTTTCTGGCTCGTGACATTAGCCCAGCACTGCACTGATGGTTGTGGCCACCCGGGGAGTGACCCAGCAGGCAGGAGATCTCTCTCTGTAGCTCTGACTTCCGATGCATAAATATTAAAAATAATAATAATAAAATGGGTGAGCATTTGGAACAGCAGTTAGGCCACCTCTCGGGATGTCCACAACTCACATCAGAGAGTTTCCGTTGTGCTTCCAATCTCAGCTTCCTGTGGGGCAGAGGGGATGGCTCCGGGGCTTGGGTCCCTCTTCTGCGCTTGGCAGACCCAGTGTGAAATCCGGTCACAAAATGGAGTCACTTTGGCTCAGGCCTGCATGAGCTTGCTAACCTGCTCTTCATGCTTCTGTACAAAATGGGTTGCCAGTTTCCTGCTTTGGGGGCCAGGTCACTGGGCTAGCACGCCCTGCCAGCAACCCTCGTCCCAGGAATCAATATTGCAGGAGCTACTCACCCATTGTTCCTAGACTGCCTCCTGTGGCTGCTGGACCACCCACTGTTCACCCACTGTCCTCCAGGGCAGCCTCCTGTGGCTGCTGGACCACCCACTGTCCCCCCACTGTCCCAGGGCAGCCTCCTGTGGCTGCTGGACCACCCACTGTCCCCCCCCAGGTCAGCCTCCTGTGGCTGCTGGACCACCCACTGTCCATGCATTGTCCCCGAGGTCAGCCTCCTGTGGCTGCTGGACCACCCACTGTCCATGCATTGTCCCAGGGCAGCCTCCTGTGGCTGCCCAACTCATCCACGGCTGTATAACTCACTCTTTCTCTCACCTTGGGGTCATCCCGGAAGGAGAGCTGACCCAGCCCGCTGGTCTGTTTACCCGCCTCCTCAATAAACCTTGGCAGAGTTGTCTGGGCTGCACGTCCTGGGGAGAGACTTCCAATGTAGACTAGAGCATTTTTTTTTAAAGATTTATTTATTTTTGTTAGAAAGGCAGATATACAGAGAGGAGGAGAGACAGGAAGATCTTCCATCCAAAGATTCACTCCCCAAGTGGCCTCAACAGCTGGAGTTGAGCTGATTTTGCCAGAGCCAGGAGCCTCTCCTGGGTCTCCCACACAGGTGCAGGGTCCCAAGGCTTTGGGTTGTCCTCCACTGCTTTCCCAGGCCACAAACAGAGAGTTGGAACGGAAGTGGAGCAGCCGGGATTAGAACCGGCGCCCATATAGGATTTCAGTGCATGTAAGGTAAGGATTTATCTTCTAGGCTACTGCACCGGACCCAGATTTAAACGTTTTTTAAAACGCACTCAGCACTTGAGCTTCAGTGTCACTTGCTTTCTGTGTGTTCAGCGTGCTCACTGTACCCCTGCTCTGCAAGCCTGCCTCTACACATTCCGGGGCGTCTATGGAGGGGGCTCCCAACTACCGCTACCTTTTCTCCTGCAGGTACTCCAGGCCAGGGCTGAAGGGACCACGCTCGTCTGCCAGCCCAACGGGGGACACACCTCCCAGCCCCCCAGCACACACAGTGTGATGTCACAAAGCCCAGGACATCAGGCAGGCTGAGCGGGGGTGTCCAGCCTGGAGGGTCCGGGGAGAGACGCCACTACAGTTGAGAGGCCTCGAGGAGAGCAGAAGAGACAGACAGTACAGCGATCAATATATATTTATTAGGTCCCAACGCACCGCCCGTCCTTCTTGACAGGTGATGATGAAGTTTCCTAGCAACATGGACCATGCAACCATGGGGCCGGACGCTTTGCACTGGAGACCCCGGGGTGAGGGAGAAAAGGAGAGAGCTGGTCCCGCTCTAGGCCTGGCTTCTACAGCGGGGAGAGGACTGTGGCCCCAAGAGCCACAGGTCCCCTCTGGGCCTCCCCCCAGCCCGTGTGCAGGGCCGCGAGGGCACCACACATGTGCACCCCGACCAGGCCGCCCATCAGCTTCCCACGTAGCAATGGGGTGGCTGTGGGAGCCCCAACCGGCGAACTATGAGAGCACAGAACAGGGGGACTCGTCAGAGACAGGTGTCCCCAGGTGGGGATCCCGGTGAAGGGCCCTTCCCTTTGTAAGCTCCAAACAGATCCAAGACCACGGACAGACCGGTTCCCACAGGCAACAATGCAGAAGCAAAGAAACTATTGCTAACTCGAGCTAGGTCCGCGTCTCATTCACCTCACGGGGTCTGGACAAGGACCCCGCCCTGGCTTCAGGCAGTTCTCACAGCCACAGTCACATACACCACATGAAGGACAGTGATGACTGGCTGGCCCCCTCACCCAAGCTCGGGGGGCTTCTGGCCTGTTCCCAGTTGGCCAGCCGGCAAGGGGTGAGACACCATCACTTTGGGAACCGCAGCTCAAGGTCTGGGGAAACGCTCTCCGGCCTGGGCTGGCCCCGAGTCTGTCATGGCGTTAGACTGGTGCTTTGTACAGCAAACCAAGCAAGGATCACAGGAGCCAAAACCAGCGGTTCATTTAAACAAAGCTTAGGAACCCAACATTCTCCCCTTTTCTGTTTTGCACATGAGGAATCTTCCTCAGACGCCTGATAAGTGTCGGTACTGTCGCCTGAGAACTGGAAGTTGGACGGTATTTATTTGGTCTTTAATGAAAGTTATTAACCTATTAAGAACGCAAGAGCTAAAAGTCAGGACAGCAATAATGTAATTGATAGAGCTAATAATGTAAATATTAGTTGGTCAAGGGGACTCATTAAACCGTGACTCAAAGCAACTTTCCCGTAGGCCTCCTCCTCTTAGCTAGTCCCTCCTGAACCTTGGCCATAGACGCTCCCCACGCTGGCGTGGTCTGCGTGGACACAGCATTCTCGTGCTAACGCGGCCGGCCTCCTGCTGTAGAAGGCTTAAGTCAAACCCCCTTCTATTTGGGAGCACTACTTCGGAGCGGGAGGCGAGTGATTTTTCCAGGTAACTTAGTGACCATCAATTCTCTCTGTCTCTCGTCTACCACGGCCCTCACGGTGGGCCGGCAGAGGAGCCATGCCAGGCCCGGCTAGCCCAGGGTTACAGCGGTGACGCTTCTCGGCGCCGAGGGGACCCCGAGTCCCGGCGGGAACACACGGCAGAGTCGGGATGATACACGGCAAACACGGTGACCACGACACAAGATTCCTGGGACTTGTTAAATATCTGTAAACTGAAGCAGGGCATGAGTCCCACTCCCCGAAAATGACTGCATGGTCAGGCCTATTTCCCGGTCTCCCCAGGGACAATGGGGGGGTGCTCTGTTGGTTAGAAATGTTAAAAGTTGTATTTAAGGCTATTGCTTCATAGAAAGGTTTACGTCAAAGCCTAAGCAACAGGCCGCTGTGGCATTGGGATTGGTGGAATTTAGGGCCTGATACGCTGACTCAGTTATAGAGGGGGTCCTTTGTGTTGTTTTCCTGGTCAAATTGATCTGGCCCATCTCTCTCGCAGGCCGTCGTATCGGCGGGACTAGTGGCATTCGGGGGCTCCACGTCTGAGTTATGAGCAGAATGCCTGCGGGGTGGCAGAGGTCATAGATCATGCAGCCAGGTCAATCTGGACAGCCATCTCTCATCCCTTGTTCCCTGCTCAGTGAATGTGACTTTTATCAAGTCACACTGGGACCCGCCGCAAGTTTCCAGTAAAACGGGAGGACCATGTTTCTGGTTTCATTGGCTGGACAAAGGAGAGTTGGATTAAATCAGACCCTTTAAGCGACCATTTCCAGTCCCCGTCGTCGGAGGTTCCGCAGCTCCAGCTCTTGCAATGATAACTATGCACGCCCCGCATTGTCTGACATTCTGTCCAAGGTGTCCGGGACACGCAAAGAACCCCAGCTTGTGTACAAAGTCTGGAGCCCATGGGACCCCAGTTAAGTCCCTTGGGCTGAAATACAGATCCGGCCACCACGAATTAAAAGGGTGTGTGGCAGTAGTCTGGTTTAGAAGTTCGTAGGTCTTACCGTTACTTAATTTCCAGGTGATCTCATAGGGTTGATGAGGACTTTGTCCGTTAACTGTAGCCCAGAGAGCGTTGAAATGGCGCTCATGGCGGTCAGGTGGCGGTCTCGAGTTGTCATCACTGTCTCCCGATGGAGTCAGTGTTGCCAATCTTGGCCACTTTTCGGGTGTTAGTTCTTGGGGATCATCTGGGTTGACAGTTGCCTTCCAATCCTTTCTGAACTGTTCCTTCTCTTCTGTACTGGCTCTCCGGACGTGGGAGTGATGAACCCAGGGTCTGACTCCGTCCACTTTAAGGGCAGTGGGAGTTATAAGAACAACATAGGCCCTTTCCATCTGGGTTCTAAAGGCTTAGGGTGATGACATTGAACCCAAACCCATTCTCGGGGCTCTAGGTCACGTGCAGGGGTCTGTGGTCTCTTAGATCCATTATACTGTCAAAGCCAGTGGCGTTGGACACCCTGAATCTGGGTATAATTTCTCCTAGCAACTTTTTAGCCCCTGTTATAGCTGTTTCCCGCTTCGTGGGGAAGGCTTCAACCCAGCCCGAGGTGCCTACCATTACTAACAGATACCAACCTCAGTAAAATCTACTTCCCAGTTCCTACCCGGCCACCAGGCCCATCCCTTTGCATCTGTATGTTGATTTCTTATTTTTTTTTTTTAGATCTATTTATTTTTATTATAAAGTCAGATATACAGAGAGGAGGAGAGACAGAGAGGAAGATCTTCCATTCGATGATTCACTCCCCAAGTGGCCACAATGGCTGGAGCTGAGACGATCTGGAGCCAGGAGCCAGGAACTTTATCCAGGTCTCCCACACGAGTGCAGGATCCCAAGGCTTTGGGTCGTCCTTGACTGCTTTCCCAGGCCACAAGCAGGGAGCTGGATGGAAAGTGGAGCTGCTGGAATTAGAACCGGCGCCCATATGGGATCCCGGCGCGTTCAAGGCGAGGACTTTAGCCTCTAGGCCACATCGCCGGGCCCTGTATGTTGATTTCTAACTCTTCCTGACTTTGTGACCTGGTAGGCCTGGCACTCATCCACGATTTTGCGGGTCACCTGTCACTGATACTGAAATCGAGGTCTGGCCGATTCCAGGAGGTCAGATGAGTCAAGTGACATAGATGGAACAGGCCCAAAACCTTGACCCTGCACCCTTGTGGGAGACCTAGAAGAGGCTTCTGGCTCCTGGCTTTGGATCTGCTCAGCTCTGGCTGTTACAGTCACTTGGGGAATGAATCATCGGACAGAAGATATTTCTGTCTCTCCTCTTCTCTGTATATCTGCCTTTCCAATAGTAATAATAATCATAAAAAAAGTAAAATGAATCTTAAAAAAATAAAAGAAAGACTGGATGGAATCTGATCTGGGTCCATGAGGTCCAGGGTCCAGGATGAACCGGTGAACCTGTACAATAACTTTAGGGTCAAAAGTTCCTTCCCTAGGCCGTCCAGCATTGAAAGTCGGCCATTCTACTGAACAGAAAGTGACTAATTTAGCTTTTTTTTTTTTTTTTTTACTTCAACCGATAAATTTTTACCTTGGCCTCTGACATCGGAAAAGCAGTTAACATAGACAGTGCACCAACTCTGTCCCGTAATTAGGCAATAAACAAAAAATTCAAATATGCAAAGACAAATGGATCAGGATAGCAGAAATCCCGCCCTGGAGGGGATCTAGGGGAACCAGTTTAATTTGGGCGGTACACACACAACAATATCAACATTAATAACAAAGCAATGTGCAAACAACCAGCAAGCAAAAAGACATTTATAACCTAAGACTATTTTACACCAGACACAAACACACTTCAATCAAAACAAACAATATCCTATGCGCGATTTCAGAGACTCAAATGCCCCGCTCCTTACCAAAGGGAGTTGACTGCTCTCGGGGCAGCTGTGCGATGGGGGACGCGTCCCTCACCTGCAACCCGCGACCCTCCTGCTTCAGACAAGTGTCTATGTTCCGTGCGGAGGCCTGTCCACAGGCGGGGATCCCGGACGATCCCCCAAATGCAAAGTCCAAGGACAGCTCCCAGACCGCGGACAGCCCAGTTTCCACACGTAACAATACAAAAGCAAAGAAACTTTATTGCAAGCTCGAGCTAGGTCACAGTCTCACCCACGCCGGCTTGAGGCAGTTCTTAAGCTCAGGGACACACCAATACAGGTCAAATTGCTCAAGGGGACAAAGGGGACCTTTGTGATTGGCTGGCTTTCCTCACCCAAGCCCCTTTTGGGCTTCTCCTAATTGGCCGACCGGCTTGGGGTGAGACACCATCACTTCGGGAACCGCAGCTCAAGGTCTGGGGAAACGCTCTCAGGCCTGGGCCGGCCCCGAGACTGTCATGGCGTTACACTGGTGCTTTGTACAGCAAACCAAGCAAGGATCACAGGAGCCAAAACCAGCGGTTCATTTAAACAAAGCTTTGGAACCCAACACCTTCCGCCCCGAGTCCGAGTATGGCGGCCCCGTGGGCTCCTTCCGCGCCGACGAAGCGCTACGGCGGCCGCGGAAGCCCAAGCACCACGGACCGCAGAGGCCTCGGAAAACACGGCAGCTCGACCTGATGGGTCGGGAGGGACACAAGCTCCTAAGCCGGCCGGCCGACGCCTGACATGTTAGCGTTCTAGCGGAAGAGAAACGCGCCGAGGGGGAGACGCGAACTACGGCGGCCCGCACGGCCCTCGCCCAGCCGGAAGAGGCGCCGCTGAGACGTTCTCGCCGGATGCGGGGTGGCCCCGCGGCCCCTACGGAGGCGGGGCGTGTGAAATCTCGCGCGATCCTGCGAGCGCCGTCGGGGACGGGGCGGGGCTGGCGGCGGGGGCGGGGACCCGGAGCGGGAAGATGGCGGCGGCGCAGGAGGCGGACGGAGCCGGCAGCGCCGTGGTGGCGGCCAGGGGAGGCGGCTCCGGTCAGGTACGGAGGCCGAGAGGGGCCTGAGGGGGCTCTTCCTCAGCCGGGGGGGCCTCTCCCAGGGCGTGTCCTGTCCCCTGGTCTCCGAATGCGGTGCACCGGGGGCTCCGTGCCCAGAGGGACCTTGAATACCGGGGCCCAGGCGGGGCTCGGCCTGCTGCCCCCACCCACCCCACCCCGGGAGGCCGGACAGTGCTGGGGACGGGGAGCGGGGAGGTCCGGGTTGCCCCTCGGGTTCCCCTGCACGCTCGCGCCGGGCTGGCTTCCGAGGCTCCTTGCTCGAGCCCGGGGCGCGGAGACGCGCCAGCGTAGGGACCCCAAGCTCCCTGGGTGCTCGCTCCTGCCATTCCAGGCTCCAGGCCGTTCCTGGGGCGCAGGGGGAAGGTCTGACGTACAGGGGCTCCCGCGCAGGTGGAGGCGAGGACGGATGGGCCCCGAGGACCCATTTTACAGACGGCAGTCCGAGGAGGGGCAGGGGGACAAAGGCGCCTGGAGGGAAGGTCACCCAGGTTAGGGTTGACATCTTGGTCCCAGAGTCCCGGCACACGGTGCTCACCCCGGGGTGGGCTGGCCTTGGGATGTGCGGGTGCTTTTTAGTAGGAACGGGTCTTGGAGCCCCGGGAATCAGCCCTGGTGTCCCTCCCACTCCCTCCCCTTGCCGCCCAAACTCCACGCAGGCAGCCGGCGTGCAGGCATTCGGGGAGCGGATGACAGCAAGCAAGGTGCTGTGGAGCCACCCACTGGGATGTCACAGCCATGTGGGAGGCAGCTAGGGGGAGAGGAGGGTGGTGTGCCAGGGGGAAATACAGCTGACTCCCTGCGTGACCTTGGGCAAGTTCCTTTCTCTCTCGGGGCCTTCATTTCTTTCGGGGATTCCTGGAGGGACTGGACAGGAAGGCCAGGCCCCCGCAGCGTGGGCTCCAGCTGTGGCCTTGCCGTGGGGCAGTGGGAGGGGCAGTGGAGGATGTGACTGCGAGCATCTCCTGGAACGGAAGGACTTGGAAAGGACGGTCCCCTCTCTGTGGACAGTGTCCTGGAGCCCAGGCCTCCCCTCACCCTGACTGCTGTGAGCCATCAGACTCAGCCCAGTCTTTTTCTTGTCCCACCTCTGCCTCACACCCTTCCTGGCTGACCCCTCCGCCCGTGGGGTAAAGTACAGGTCTTTACAGTCGACCTAGCCTGGCATGAGCAGGCCCTCCTGCCTGCCCTCGGCTAGGATTTCTTTGGCTCGTCAGCACTGGCCACGTTTGCGTCCGTTGGGTTTCTGCCAGAGGGGTGTGGTGTGGGGTACCTGTCTGGGGGTCAGGAGCACGGTGGCCTGTGCGCAGCATGGTCAGTGGCACCCTCACCCAGTCGTGACAAACTGTCTCCAGACTTGAGTACACTGTGCCCTCGGGCACGGATGGACCTGGAGCAGCCTCCCGCACAGCTTACCTGGCAGCGTGGCCTCAGCCCTGTCCTCAGGCTGCCTGTCTGTCCCCTTTCCTGGGTTGATGCTTAGAGCGTGTGTAGGTTTCAGGTGTCCACTTCCCCAGGAAGCCCTCTGATTGTCCCTCTGGGGTGTCCATGTCTGGGGGACAGTCTGCCTTCCCAGCTGGCCCGAGCCCCAGTGGGGAGAGCCACCACTGTGTCCAAAGCGCTGCTGAGCTCCAGCCTGGGCCCAGCGGACGAAGGCCCAGATCTGAAAACCCGGTCTAGCTGAGGCGGGGTGCCCCTGTGGATCCGGGCTGTCAGTGAGGCCTGCCCGGCCCTGTGCTCCTTAAGGTGTCCGTGGGAGTCCTGTGTAAGTCTGCATCCGCAGGTGGGAGCTGGGTGCAAGTTCCTGCTGCACCCGCAGCCCTGCCTCCCCTCCGTCAGCTGCACCCGCAGCCCTGCCTCCCCTCGCTCAGATGTGGTTCAAGCCAGCGGCCCCTCAGCATAGCCTTGTCCACAGGCAGCCTGCTGCTTTCACCGGGAGCTCACACTCCGCTGTGCGCATGGATGAAGCTGCACGCTGCAGCTGGGCACAGCCGGGCTCCACACAGAGGCCCTGCCCTCTCCGAGCTTGTGGTTTGATTGGGGCTGGGGAAGGGGGCAGCATGACCAGGACACACAGTGAACAAGATAAAGAGGAAGGAGGGATGTGGGAGCCGGGCAGTGTAGGGAGGTCCAGGAGGGCCTCCGGGAGGAGGTGACCAAGATACTCGAGGGAAAAACCTTTTTGGTTTTTTGGAGACCATGCTGGAGCTTGGAGTCCCTGCTGAAGGTTTGTCTTTTTCTTGGTAGGAAGGGCAGTGCCAAAGGGCCAGCATCTGTGTATCAACGTGCAGTTTTGCATTTGCCTTTGTGCTTTTAAAGATTTATTTATTTGAAAGGCAGAGGTAAAGAGAGACAGAGTTCCCCCACCGTGGGTTTGCTTCCCAAAGGCTGGGATTGGGCCAGGCCTAAGCCAGGAGCCAGGAGCTCTGTCTCGTCTCCCACGCGGGCACAGGGTCCCAAGGCTTCCGGCCGTCCTCCCCTGCTTTCCCAGCCACATGAGCAGGGAGCTGGACGGGAAGTGCAGCAGCAGGACACAGACCGGTGCTGTTTTGGGATTGTGGTAGTTTAACCCCCATATCACACTGCCAGTGTCAGGATAGACCTACGGCTGGGGGGTGGTGCATGTGGCTCTGTGGGTGCCCGTGCAGCTGTGCAGGACACTCCTGAGCAGGGCAGGCGTCCCTCAGCAGTGTGGCAGAGGGGGTCAGGACCCTGTGCGGATGGCGGACTGCACAGCCACTGCTGCCTCCCTCTGGGTAGCACGCCCCCTCCTGTGCACCTGTCTGCTCCCCGGGGGTCTCAGGGTCCCTGAGGCTGTGTTGGTGCCATGTAGTAGCTGTTGGACTCCAGTTACGTAGAATTTAGAGAATAGACACGAGGGGAACAGAGCCTGGCCAGTCAGGTCCCATTTTCTTCTGTTTGTTTCCAACTGTGGTTGTTCAGATCTCTGGACAGGGACCTTGGCTGTGTGTTGGCCGCTGCTCCCAGCGCAAGGCACCCGGGTCTCCTGTGTGGGTACAGGAGCACAGGGACCTAGGCCTTGCTCTGCTGTTCTCTAGGGTGCATCAGTAGGGAGCTGTATCAGGAGTGGAGCAGCCGGGACTCGAACCAGTGCCCTTATGGAGTGTCGGTGCCACAGTCTGTGACTTAACGTGCTGTACTCTAGTTGTGCCTTTTCTAAAACCCTGCCACACACAGATGAGCTGATAGCTAGTCTTTGCTTCCTGCCTCTCGCCCTGGGACTGTGGCATGGCAGTGCCATGTAGTCGGACCTACGGGTGTTCACTGCATTGTTGCCTGGCTCCGCTGCTGCCTGTTCATTTGTGTGCTGAGGAAACACTGGGGAATTTGTAAAGGTGGGCTGTGTGCGTACCTCTGCTGTGAGCATGGATGGTGTTGTAGCCACGGATGCAGGGTTGTGTGGCAGGTGCAAACTGTGAAGGACCTGCTGTGTTTCCTGCCAGAGGTGTCTGGCCTTGCCATCTCCACCTCCGCTCCAGCACTGTGGCTGGACTGTCCTGAGCGACAACTCATTGTGGTCTGATTTGCAGGGTGTACATCACTGTGGGTAGGAGTAGAGGCCTGGGGTCGGCGGGTGTTGGTCCAAATCCTGGGCTGGTGGGCCCGGCATGATAGCGTAGCTGTTAAAGTCCTTTCCTTGCGCGCTGGGATCCCATATGGGCGTCAGTTCTAATCCCGGCCGCCCGCCTTCCTACCCAGCTCCCTGCTTGTGGCTTGGGAAAGCAGTTGAGGACGGCCCAAAGCCTTGGGATCTTGCACCGGCGTGGGAGACTCGGAAGAACTCCTGGCTTCGAATTGGCTCAGCTTCAGCCGTTGTGGGTGCTTGGGGAGTGAACTATCGGACGGAAGCTCTTCCTCTCTGTCTCTCCTCCTCTCTGTAGATCTGCTTTTCCAATAAAATAAATAAATCTTTAAAAAACAAATCCTGGGCTGGCCTGAAGCCGTGTTCCTGAACTGCTGTCAGCCCAGCCTGCCAGCCTATCTCCCCCTGGCTGTGCCGGCCTGAGGAGAGGGCTGCAGCTGGCTGGCCTCGCTCCCTGGCCACCCCTGCCTGCAGCCCAAGGGGCTCGGCCAGATGAACGAGGCAGCCCCTCGGGAAGACCTCTGACCATCCCCACCGTGGGTTCCTGTTCCCCTCCCCAGGGGCTGCCTCACTGCGGCTGCTGGCAGTTCTCACTGCCCTGCGGACGGGCCCACAGACGTGTGTCCCTGTGGTGCTGAGTGCCGGGCAGGCGGGCAGGGCCCCTGGCTGTGGGGGCGCTGCGGGCTTCTCCCGCCTCGCACAGTATGTTTACTTTTCAGCACACAGCCAGGGGTCCGGCTCTTGCCAATATTGCCACTCCCTGGCACTCAGCACAGACAGGTGACGTGATATGTCTGAGATGTCACAGCACAGGGGCACAGGGAGGTCCCCCTGGCCCTGGGCAGCCCCCTGTCTTTTAGCACAGGGCTGTCCATGCTTGGGGAGAGGAGGGCAGGAGTGCTCGCTGGTGAAGAGGGTGGGAGGTGAGGAGCAACCCCTTTAACAAATGCAGGCCCTAGTGCAGGTGCTGTTGGGGAGGGGGTGAGGTGGGCTGGGACACCTTGCAGAGTGAGACCTCAGGGCTGTGATAGGGCCTGGCAAAGTGGGCATGGCACCCTGGTGTCCTGGCCTGGCCCTTCAGGGAGTGGGGTTGGGCTGCAGGTATTATCTCACCCCGCTCTGCCTGGCCTCAGCTAGCCAGTGTTCCCTAGCCGTGACCGTGACCATGATCCTGACAGCCCAGGGCCTGTTTCCCCAAGGTCAAAGCAGGTGCGGGCCCTACTGAGGAGGAAGGACAAGGACAGGACTCGGGGTGCAGCCTTCCCTTCCTGAGCCCCTGGGTCCTGAGTGAAGGACCCTGCTCTGGGAAGCCTGTCCGACTGCCAGGCTGCCCCCTCCCCAGCCCTATGGCTGGATAGACCACCTGACCTCTCCAAGCCTCCTGGGGGCTGCTCCCGCCGCGGTGTCCCTCCTGCGCCCCTCCTTGTGGCTCCCTCCCACACCCCTCCACGTGGTTCCCTCCCGCGCCCCTCCGTGTGGCTCATGCTCTGCCTGTGTTTGCGGTGACTTTCTGTCCTGCTGGCCAGGATCCCCTGGAAGGCAGGGGCAGTCACAGAGCAGGCCTCGGGCACCATGGCCTTGCAGACTCCAGCCTCTGCCGCTGTCCCCAAGAACCACCTACTGGCATCCTGGCTGCAGCCCCAGGGAGCATGGCCTGTCCTCGCACTCGGCTCTGTCTCGTGCCTGCCGCTTCTGCACTTGCCACTCCCCTCCCCGCCTCTGCGTGCTGCCAGCTTGCTGTGTTCTATATCTCCACTGCGGGGCCCTCGCCTCCAGGAAGCCAGCCTGAGCCTAGGCTGGGCTAGGCTTCCTTGGCGTGCTTCCACCCCAGCCTCACCTGCTCTGGGTCATTAGTGTCCAGAGCCTGTCTGCCCCAGGTACTGTTGAGCCCCAGAGGGCTGCACAGGCCCATCAAGGTGCCCGCTATGTCCCCCCAGCATGGGACAGGCGCTGTACTGCCTGTGGGGGCTCCTATTTCTGCTCCCTGGATGTAAAGCTGGCCTCCCCTACCCCCCTGCACAGGGGCCATGGTGCTGCCCACTGCCACAGTGCCATCTCCCTCCTCACCTTGGCCTCTGTCCCCTGCAGGTGACCAGCAATGGCAGCGTCGGGAGGGACCCGCCAGCAGAGACCCAGCCCCAGAACCCGCCCCCCCAGCCAGCACCCAACGCCTGGCAGGTCATCAAGGGGGTGCTGTTCAGGTGAGAGGGGAGGAGCAGGTACCCACAGCTGTTCGGGTTCTTTGGGGTCTGGAGCGAGGAATGTGGGATCCATGTGCAGGGGCTGTGGGGCAGATCACACGGGCGGGTCAGGGAGACCCGAGGTCTGTGGTCGGGGTGTTGGCGGGTGCTGTCTCCTCGCCATGTTCTCACTTCTCTGTCCTCTGTGTGTCTGTCCTGCCACCTTTTGAGGGTACGTGCGTCAGACTGGGTGAGGACTCCATGAGGGTCCCATCGCCCACGCACAGTCTCCCAAGGGGTAGGACTTCAGCGGAGGCAGTGTGGACAACACCCATGTGTCACCCGCCAAGTCCCATGTTAGCTGTTTGCCATGCCCAGTCCCATGGTCCTCACAGGCCATCCCCTGTGTCTGCAGAAGCCTCCCTTCTGGCTGGCCTGTAGCTATGTCCCCACTGGAGCCCAGCTCCCCCGTTCCTTCTGCCTCACGCCCAGCGGCCCTCTTCCTGCTTTCTGCCCTTTCGGGGCCCAGTGCTCACAGCTGCGTTCACAATGGGCTCGGACGGCGATGACTCTGTGTGGCTACCCATTTCTGGGACAACAGAACTGCTTCTAGCCGAGGCACTGAGCAGAGATGCCGGGTGGTAGAAGCGGATTGACCTGTCCTGGCTAGACTGGTGACAGCCCCCATCTCTACTCGGGGCCTCCCTCTACTTACCCATCTGCAAAAGGGACATTTTCTCTTTGGGAAGTATTTTAGTGAAATGGCTGAGACCCAGGCCATGTGGGTAGGCCGTGAGCAACCTTCCATCAGCCACAAGGACTCAGGCTTTGAAACCAGCGTCCCTCTGGTAGGACACTCACGGGCCGCGGACACCTGCGAGGCAGGCTGGGAAGTGTGGGGCTTCTTCCTGCACAGCAGAGGGAGCGGGGGAGTGGTGTGGGGGCGGCTGATGGCTACTTCCAATCTGCTCACTGGGCTTTCCCCTCAGCTCTTCACAGTCCAGGCTTAGCACACAGACTCCAGCCCCTCCAGCAGGCCCAGGGACTGGCCAGGAGAACGGTGCGCTGGTGCCTGGGGCTGCGGGGGCTGCGAGGGCCTCAGGGCGGGACCCCATGCGGATGCTGCAGTTCCTTGTTGCTGAGAGCCTCCGGGTGCCTTAGAACAACACGCAGCACGGTGTGAGGACTGAGCAGGTGGCCGTGAGGCCTGGCCGCTTGGGGCACCATGGTGGGGAGAAAAAAGCTCTAAAAGGGAATAGCTGAGCGGTGGTGGGGGGCCCCGGGAGCACCGGCCTCTGTGGGGGTGCCAGATGGGGTCCTTGAGGATGCTCGGAGCCGGAGGTCCTCGGCAGAGAGGCACTGGGAGCAGCTGTGTGTCCAGAAGGTGTGGCCAGAAAGCCCACATTACCGTGAGCCCTTCCTCTTCCTCTTTTATTTTTTTTTTTTGACAATTTTTTTTAAGATTTATTTTATTTTTATCACAAAGTCAAATATACAGAGAGGAAGATCTTCCATCCAATGATTCACTCCCCTAGTGACCACAATGGCCAGTGCTGTGCCAATCCGAAGCCAGGAGCCAGGAACTTCCTCCAGGTCTCCCACGCGGGTGCAGGGTCCCAAGGCTTTGGGCCGTCCTTGACTGCCCTTCCAGGCCACAAGCAGGGAGCTGGATGGGAAGTGGAGCTGCGCTGGGCCCTATTATTATTTTTTAATTGGAAAGTCAGACTTGCAGAGAGGAGAGACAGAAAGACCTTCCATCCTCTGACTCACTCCCCAAGTGGCCACAGCAGGCAAAGCTGAGCTGATCTGAAGCAGGATCTTCTTCTGGGTCTCACCCATGTGGGAGACCTGATGAGGCTCCTGGCTCCTGGCTTTGGATTGGCTCAGCTCCAGCTGTTGCGGCCACTTGGAGTGAACAAGCAGATGGAAGATCTTTGTCTCTGCTTTCTCTCTTGTAAATCCGCCTTTCCAATAATAGGTAAATCTTAAAAAAAAAAAAAAAAAAAAAGGAAAACTAGCTGAAAGTCAATTTAATTTCCCAAAGTGCCGGGGATTCAGTCTGTTCGGGGATGAATCCCACCCGTGTGGCCCACATGATGGGGAGCAGCTGTGCAGGGAGGAAACCCCGAGACCTGGTCGCCTGCCCTGTCTGGGCTCTCGGCCCCGGACCCCCGTCCTGTCCCTCTCCCTCCCCTGCCCGAGGAGGAACCCCTTAGAGAGTGTTCTCGGCCCTTACTTTGCCTTTCTCCTTAATGTTTGCATAAGCGGGAGCCTGTCTTGCACACTGCTCAGCTCCTGCACATCCCTGCCTGGGGCACTTCCTTCCACAGCCTCGTGGGTGCCCCTCCGTCTGGAGTTCAGAAAAGGGTCAGGGTTGTTCTCAGGAGCCCAGGGATCCCCCAAGGCCTCAAGCAAGTGATGCGAGAGCCTTTTGAGGGACGCTGGGACTGCCACACGTGGGAAGTGGGGCGGGCGGGAAGGGGGCAAGCCGCGTTGGCTCTGCTGGCCCGGCTACGCTGGTTCCGAGGCAAGGCCCGAGGCAAGGCCCGTGGTGCACTTCTGTCAGATGGGGAATGGTGCTGGCTCTGATCTGATCTCTTTCACAGGCCCTCCACAGTAGGGGGGCTGCAGAGCTGGGCACGTGCTGGGAACAGGAAGAAGGGGGCCGGGAACCCCAGCAGGGTGGGATGAGGCTGCTACCCTTGACCCTGGGGCAACATGGCGGTGTGTGGACATCTTGCCCTCTCTCCCCAGCTCGGTGTATTTACCAAGCAGTAGCAGGATCCCTAGGGATTGCCATTCTACCCCTAACTCAGCCCCACACCCCGGGGACTTCTGGGTGGCAGCAGATGGCTCGTCTGGGCTGTGGCCCCGGACTCCCCAGCAACTGAGCTCCATGGCTCCTGCAGCTAGAAGCAGGTCTGGGCGCGGGCCTGTGGGGAGTGCCCATGCCCCGCCTGCACCAGGACGCCGTCACGAGGCTTCTCCGGCCTTCACTTCATGCTTGGGAACAAGGAGAATTAATGCTTCTTCTGGGGTCCCCGGGGACTCCCCCAGGCTGGTCCCCTCTGAGCTGCGGGCATGTGTCCTCAGCCTGACGTCCCAGGAGTCCCTGGACCCGGAGTGTCCTGAGCTCTGCCCCGCACCTGCCCGTGACAGGGCCGTGCCTAGGTCGGCTCGGGCACATGCGTGGTGAGTGATGGAGCCTGGAGGAGCCATGCGCTGGTGAGGGTGATGGGGACACAGCCTTGGCTCATGTAGCTGGTGTGGCTCTCCCCTTCGGGTGTCGGGAAGCAGTGCTTGGCCTCCCGCAGTGAGCTCCAGGCAGGGGGATCAGGGGGATTGGGTAGACTGCTGCCAGAGGGCCACCTGTACCCTGCCCCACAGTGCCACCACCATGCATCTGAAAACGGAGCAGGCTGCCTAGCAGCCCACCAGCAGTGTGGCAGAGGTGTGACGGACACCTCAGAATAATAGGGAAGTTACAAATTGTTTCTGGAATTTTCCATTTCACATTTTCAGACTGTGGTTGACTGTCACCAGAACTATGGGAAGTCAGCCTGCAGGTGGGCGCACATGTGTGGGTGCAGAGCCCGTATGTACTTGATTGCTTGCAGGTACCCCTGGGGAGGTGGATGTCCAGAGAGGTTAGAGGCCCGCCTGTGGTCACACAGCATCTAGTGGCCGAGCTGGGCTTTAGGTCCAGCACTGTCGCCGAGGGCTGGGCTGTTCACTCTTCTGCTGTGTTGCTGTTGGTAGCTGTATGCGATAAGTTAACATTTAATCATCATACACTTACTTGCATGTGTCTGAGAGACCTAAGTTAATGCAGTAGAAGCGTGTTTCCCTTTTCTCATGTCTGGAATGGGCAAGTCACAGTCCTGCTGCTTCTGCCTTCTGGCCCATCTTTGCTAGGCCCCTACTCTCCACACCCATCCTCATGGCCCAGGAAGGCTGAGAAAGAGCCAGCCATCACATCCATGTTCCAGGTAGTGGAAAAGAAAAGGAAATTAAAAAGGGACAATCCTGGGCCCGGCGGCATGGCCTAACGGCTAAAGTCCTCATCTTGAACGTGCCAGGATCCCATATGGGCACCACCGTTTTTAATCCTGGCAGCTCCACTTCCCATCCGGCTCCCTGCTTGTGGCCTGGGAAAGCAGTTGAGGACGGCCCAAAGCCTTGGGACCCTGCACCCGCGTGGAAGACCCAGAAGTTCCTGGCTCCTGGCTTTGGATCGGCGCAGCACTGGCCGTTATGGTCACTTGGAGAGTGAATCATCAGACAGAAGATCTTCCTCTCTGTCTCTCTTCCTTGTGTTTTCCAAAAGCCCAACATAACATGTTGTTTCTGTATATTTTTTTTAAAAATTATTTATTTTTATTGGAAAGTCAGGCTTATGGAGAAGGAGAGACTGAGAGGAAGATCTCCCATCTGCCAGCTCATTCCCCAAGTGGCTGCAATGGCCAGAACTGCGCTAGTCTGAAACCAGGAGCCAGGAGCTTCTTCGTGCCTCCCATTCGGGTGGGCTTTGGGCCGTCCTCAACTGCTTTCACAGGCCACAAGCAGGGAGCTGGATGGAAAGTGTAGTTGCCAGGGTTTGAACCAGCACCCATATGGGATTCTGGTGGTTGCAAGACGAGGACTTTAGCCATTAGGCTACCTCACCAGGCCCTGTTTCTACATTTTATTGGCCAGAACATATTGAGGAACCATATGGCCCAGGCATCTGTAAAGGGGATGAGAATCGTAGAATTTCTTTCTTTCTTTCTTTTTTTTTGAGAATCGTAGTTTTATTCTGGTGACCGTGACCCATATATCTACAGTTCAGGACTTTAGCCACTAGGCCACCGTGCTGGGCCCTGCTGCTCTGCCTCTGACCAACCCCTCACTCATGGTCTGGGGAAGGTAGCAGATAATGGCTCAAGTGCCTTGTGCCCTGCCACCCACGTGGAAGACCACGTGGGTCAAACTCCTGGCTTTGGCATGGCTCAGCTCTGGCTGTTGCAGCCAGCTGGGAATAAACCATCAGTGGAAGATCTCTCTCTGTCTTGCCTTTGTAGCTCTGACTTTCAAATAAACACATAACTGAAGTTTATTTATTTATTAATTTAAAGTGGGACCAGTAGGTCTGAGCCCAGATGCTCCTGTACGGCCCTAGGTGTCCGGCGCCTGCTCTAGCTGCCTCGCCTCTGTCCCCCACACCCCAACCTTTAGACAGTGTTCTGGGTTGAGGCTCTTTGTTCACCTCTGCGTTTTGTATGCTCCCACAAGCCAGAGGACTCAGTCTTCCAGGCTGATGTGTCTCTATGTCCTTATTGCTTGTTTGACTCATGTTAATATACACAATATAAAATGGACACAATATAAAATGGTCAAGCGCATAGCCCCGTGCTGTTAAATGCGTTCAGGCTGTGCATTTAACAATGCCATCTGTCTCCAAAACCCTGGCTTCCTTCCTCCTCGCTGGAAACCTGGACTCCCCCAGCTCTCCCACCCCCTGGTCAGATGGGGTGGTATTAACAATTTTTCATTTAATTACTCTTAATGTCAGAACGTGCACATACTCCTATCCACTGGTTTACTTCCCAGATGCCTGCAACAGCTGGGACTGGGCCCAGCCTGGGGGATGAGAAATCAGTAGGGCCCGATATGGGTGTCAGGAAGTCCACCACTGGAGCCAGACCTGCGGGCCCCAGGTGCGCATTAGCAGGAAGCTGGGACTGGGAGCGGAGCGGGGCCTCTGAGCCAGCTGCTCCCCGTGGCCTTGGCCACGTGGGGATGGCCTGGTGTCCGCACCTGCCTTCCCCTGCTTTACTCCTTTCACAGAGCATCAAGGCAGAGACCCAGATGCCAGGGCCGGACCGGATCCAGGCGTCGCAGGCAGGGCCATGGCCACTGCGTCCAGCACCTGCTCCGTGTCGTTTTAGTTTTTAGTTTTTGCTGATTTCTCTTAATTTTGATTTGAAAGGCACAGCAAGCAGATGGAGAGAGACCTCTCACCTGCTGGGTCCCCCTCCGCTTCCCGGAAGCAGCCAGAGCTCGGCCAAGCAGAAGCCAGGAGCGGAGTACTTGGGCTGGCGTGCAAGGACGGGAGCGCCCTCAGCTGCTGCCTCCCACTGTGCCCAGGGGCAGGAGCTGGTTGGCAGGTGGAGCAGCAGGACTGTGATCTGCACTCTGACAGGGCATGGGGGAGACCCAAGGGGTGACTTAGCCTGGCACCAGACAGCTGCCTCGGTGGTTTAAAAAAGAAGAACGAGAGGGAAAGAGGAAAGCAGATTCTCCATTTATTAGTTCACCGTTAAATGGCCAGGCTTGAAGGCAGGAGCCTAGGATTGGGTCTTGGCTTCCTGTGTGGGTGGCGGTGTGCAAGGCCTGGGGCCATTCTCCCCCCCCCCCCCACGTGAGCAGGAAGCTGGATGGGAAGTAGAACAGTTGACACTGCACCCAGCACAGCATGTGGGGATGCTGAACAGTGGAGTGGGGGCCACCCAGTATTGTATTGTTAATATGTTATTCAATTGCAGTGTATTTTTTCCTTGGTCCTTCCTGAAGGGAGAGTGGGTCTGGAGAACCCAGGCTGCTGAGGTTGAGCTGCTGGCTGCTCGCTCAGGTCCCAGCCGGCTGGAAGCTTGCTCTCTCCAGGGTTCCGTTCCTTGGAAGTGCTGGGATTCTAGGTTCTGGGGCTCTGCTCACTGGGGTCCCCAGGGCCCTGGCACTTCTGGTTGCCCAGCTCAGTGGTTTTGCTGGCATAAGTCCTGTGGCTGGTCACCAAGAGGACCAGGCTGGAGGCTTTGTGTGAAGACCAGGTGCTGCCAGGTGCCCCAACCAGAGGCATCTGGAGGAGGCCTTGGCGCCTCCTGGAGCTGGCACTGTGGTGGTCTCTGGTGCCTCCCTTGCCTGGGCCCTGCTGCCCCGGCTCTGCAGTCCTGGGCAGGCCTGGCGGGTACTGCGTTAGGAGACCAGACAGCCTCGAGGAGTTGGGGAAGGCCCAAGTCTCACAGCTGCCCACTTCCCTCCTAGGATCTTCATCATCTGGGCCATCAGCAGCTGGTTCCGCCGAGGGCCGGCACCTCAGGACCAGGCTGGTCCCGGAGGAGCCCCGCGCGTCGCCAGCCGCAACCTGTTCCCCAAGGACACGTTAATGGTAACAGCTGGTGGGGGGCGGGGCAGTTGTTTGTCAGCCATCCTCAAGGTGCTGGCCCCTTGATCACCCAGTCAGGCTGGGTGCAGGTGGCAGGGGCATGAGCAGGTTGGCCACTGCCCAGCTCTTCCTGATCGTGGGCCAAGGGGCAGGGAGAGGCTGCACTTCTGCGGGCCATGTTGTCAGTGGCTGTGTTCCCAGCAGCCCTTGCGGCTTGTGCCAGCGCTGCCTGGTGATGTGCAGGCCAGCGGCAGCTGAGGAGGAGGAGTCCGGGGCCGCTGTGGCCGCTCTTCTGCCTTCCCGTCCCCACATGTGGCCGTACACGCGAGGACGCTGCCTAGCCCTGAGCTCTGTGTCCCCCCACCGCCTCCAGAACCTGCACGTGTACATCTCGGAGCACGAGCACTTCACAGACTTCAATGCCACGTCCGCCCTCTTCTGGGAGCAGCACGACCTCGTGTACGGCGACTGGACGAGCGGCGAGAACTCGGACGGCTGCTACGAGCACTTCGCTGAGCTCGACATCCCGCAGGTGGGGCGTCCCACTGGGGGACCTATCCTTGACATGCATCTGCTCGGGGCCTGTGGGGGTCCCCTCTGAAAACAGGGGGCTGAGGGTAGGACTGGCCAGGGCCACCTCCAAGATTGTACAGTCCTGGGATTTAAACCCGTGAGGGAGTCGAAGTTGTCCCCACATGTCCCCAGGTTGTCACCATTTGTTTCAAGATGATGTCAGCCAGTGCTGGCTGAGCACAGCTGTGTACAGGACACTCAGTGAGGCCGACTCTCAGACACCTCCTGGCAACCCTGTGGCACTTGGGCTGTTGTCATCCGCGCTGATGGATGAGGAAGAAGACGGGCAGAGAGGTGAAGCAGGTGCCTACGGTCACACAGCTCAGGCTCTCTGACCTAGTATGAGCACTGTCTCCCCCAGGAAGCCCTCTCTGCCCTCCCAGCCCTGTCCACTCTGGGTCGTTACTGTTGGAGTCGGGTCTCTTGCTCCTGACGGAGCTGTGAGTCCTCTAACGGCAAGGCTGGCACTGTCGTGGTCTCTGGCATGTGGTCTCTGGGGGTGGAGCCTCTTTCTGCCGCCTGGACCGAGACTGCCTTCCTGCCCAGCAGGCCTCCTGGGGGAGGAGGGCAGCCCCACTTGGGCTTTGCTGGCTGGGACAGGGGTTGCACCCCGCCTCTCCGAGGCCACAAGCCCAACACCCTGCGCCAGGCCCCAGCAGGGTGAGGGAGGGCCCAGGACCATCAGCTGCCACACTGCAGGCTCTGGCCAAGGTGGAGGTGCAAGGCGGGACAGTGAGAAAGACAAGCAACTCTGTGACAAGTTGGGGTGCAGGGCTGGGACATGGCCTCTGCAGCAGCCCCCCAACTCTTGCCGGGGGCTCCCAGGACACCATCTATTGGGGTCAGCTGCTGCCCTCGGGGAATCTCACTGCGCTCTCCCTGGCAGCCAATGAGCAAAGTCCCGTTACTGGGAGGCTGGGAGGGTAGGAAGTGGGCAGATGAGGCCAGCTGGAGTGATCATGGTGGGGGGCTATTGGTCTCAAACCCTAGGCCCCTTTACCTGAGCAGCCTATGCCTGGTGAGCCACCTGGCATGGCCACCTGCTTGAGGTTTGCCCACAGTGAGGGCATCGCGCTGTTGGCCTCTTCCTAGACTGAGCATCAGGCTGTGCTGGGGTCTCTGAAGAAGCCACAGCCCTCTCTGGGCAGTGAGAGGCTGGGACATCCTCGGAGGGCCAGGTGCTGAGGAGCCGAAAGGAGGCTTGGCCCACGTGGCTGTGACAGGCTGGAGTAGGATGCGGAGCTGAGTTGGCCTGACCTCAGTGACCCTCTGGGCTCCAGTATTGGCTCTTCCCCACTCAGCTGCGCCAGGCCCCCTGGGTGCAGGGTTAGGGGCGGCTGGGGTAGACCTGGCGCTACCTGTCACCTGTCTTCTCGCAGAGCGTCCAGCAGAATGGCTCCATCTACATCCACGTCTACTTCACCAAGAGTGGCTTCCACCCAGATCCCCGGCAGAAGGCCCTGTACCGCCGCCTCGCCACGGTCCACATGTCTCGGAGTAAGTGGCTTGCCTGCATCCAGTAGATGGGGCCCTGGGAGTCCCAGGAAGGCATGGGGCCAGTGCAGGGGCCCTGCTTCCAGGAAGTGGATGGGGGACTGGATCCATGCCTCGACAGTCCTCCATGAGATCCATGGTTCCTGGCGGGTGGAGTGCAGAGGGGGCGGGATCCATGGTTCCTGGCGGGTGGAGTGCAGAGGGGGCGGGATCCATGGTTCCTGGCGGGTGGAGTGCAGAGGGGGAGGGATCCATGGTTCCTGGCAGGTGGAGTGCAGAGAGGGAGGGAAGGGTGCGGTATGTGAACATCAGGCTGCCGCCTGGGAAGCAGCTGCGCTGTCACGCTAGGCAGTGGACAGACACTTGCATGTGCAGAGGGAGCCCATGGGGGTCCGAGGTCAGCATGGGGCCCCCCGGGTATGCCTCCATCTCTGGGCGGCCCCTGAGTGGCATTGGGGTCATGCCGAATCCCAGACCCTCGCATGCACACCAGGCCCACCGTGAGCCAGGTGGGGGGTGGTGCTGAGGGCTGGCTGTGGTCCCTGTTTTCATCCTGCTCAGCCTCAGGTGGAGTTGCACACCCACGGGGCATCCTCTGTGGGTGAACAAAGCCTATGGTGACCCGAGGACCTCGCTGGGGGTGGCTGGCTGGGGTTTGCTCCGTGCAGAGCACCTTGCTAAGTGCTTTTTTTTTTTTTTTTTAAAGATTTATTTATTTTTATTGGAAAGGCAGATATACAGAGAGGAGAGACAGGAAGATCTTGCATCCGCTGGTTCACTCCCCAAGTGGCTACAGTGGCTGGTGCCGAGCTGATCTGAAACCAGGTGCCAGAAGCCTCTTCTGAGTCTTCCATGTGGATGCGGGTCCCAAGGCTTTGGGCCGTCCTCGATTGCTTTTCCAGGCCACAAGCAGGGAGCTGGACGGGAATGGAGCAGCTAGGATACAAACCAGGCCCCCATTCCCTTTTATTTTTTTGTTGTTAACTTATTTGAAAGACAATTAGAGAAGGAGGTCTCCCATCTGCTGATTCACTTCACAAGTGGGCAATGACTGGGGTTTGGCTGCACTGAACCCTGGTATTGCAAGTAGCAGCTTAAGTATTCTTTCGTGTCCAACCTCTTGTTTTCTAGGTAGTTAATAATTGTCATCTTGGAGCCAGTGGTGTGGAATAGTGTGTTAAGTCACTGCTCGCAGTGCCAGAATCCCATATGGGTTCCAGTTGAATCCTGGCTGCTCCACTTCCAGTCAACTCCCTACTAATGGCTGGGAAGGCAGCTGGAGATGGCTCAAAGCCGTGGGACCCTTAACCCGTGTAGGAGACCCGGATGGAGCTCCTGGCTCCTGGCTTTAGGCCAGACAGGCCTGACCATTGCAGCTATCTGGGGAGTGAGCAAGCAGGTGGAAAATCTCTTTCCCTTTGTCTGTAACTCCACCTTTTAAAAAAATAAAATATTTTAATAATAATCAAAATAAGTGTACCTTGGGCCTGGCGTGATAGCACAGTGGTTAAAGTCCTCGCCTTGCACGCGCCAGGATCCCATGTGGGCACCAGTTCTAATCCTGGCAGCACCACTTCCCATCCAACTCCCTGCTTGTGGCCTGGGAGAGCAGTGGAGGACGGCCCAGGGCCTTGGGACCCTGCACCATGTGGGAGACCCGAAAGAGGCTCCTGGCTTCGGATTGGCTCAGCTCCGGCCGTTGCAGCCGTTTGTGGAGTGAACTATTGGATGGATGATCTTCCTCTCTGTCTCTCTTACTCTCTATGTATCTGCCTTTTCAATAAAAATAAATAAATCTTTTTTTAAAGAAATAAGTATACCTTTCAGCTTTTCGTCCCCTTTTCCTTCAGTTCACTGTCCTACAATAGGCTGAGGGACAGTGGTTCCCTCGGAGGATCCCACTTGCCTACAGTGGATTGCTTCTTTGATTTTGTGTTTTGTTTTTTATAAATCTTTACCTAATGATGTGAAAGGCAGAACTACAGAGAGGGAGAAACGGGACGCTTCCATCTGTTGGGCTCACTCCCGAGTGACAGCAGCCAAGTCTGGGCCAAGTCAGAGCCAGGATGGAGCAAGCCAGGAGCTCCTTCCCAGAGTGGTTGGCTGCAGCCCACGGACTTGGCTCATGGCCCACTGCTCTCTGCGGCTCATTCGCAGGGAGCTGGGTTAGAAGCAGAGCAGCTGGCACTCCAGGGAGCCCTCTGCGAGGGGTGCCAGCAGCATAAGTGGCAGCTGTGTTGTGTCATAGCCCCTCCCTCTAGAGCAGCGTAGCTTTGCTTGGCGTTCGTGTATGTCTTTCCTTTTGCTCTTTTCTAATCGAGAGTGTACTGACTGCTCTTGGTGCACTGATGGAGAGCCCTCTGTGGTTCGTGTGATGCAGGAACAGATGTCAGCCCAGTTGCATCAGTCGGCTCTGTCTTACTCCTTGTAAAAAACGTACCGTGTTTTTGTTCCTGCTGCTGCTGTTAGCTGCACTCGATAAGCCTACGTGATCCCTAAAACTGATTTGGAAAATTCTTGCCGAGTTTGCCGAGTGCTGTTGGATATGACCTGTCTGCGGCACATGGGCCAGCGGGTACCCCGGCAGTGAGATGTTTGAGGAAGTGTCTGGGGTGGTCCCACAGCTGTGTCCCTGCAGGGGGTGCCGTGCCTGACCCCTGGAGCATCCTGCTGACCTCTGACCAGAGCCTCTGTTTGGTGTGTTTTTTTGTCTTTGGTGACTGTGACGTGTCACTAAGTGTCCGTGTCAACATGACATGTCAGGATGACCCGCAGAATCAGCTCTGCAGTCAGGGGTCCACCAGGCCTCCCTCAGCCTTGGAGTGGGGACCCCTAGGGCAGAGACTCTGTGGGCCCCCTCCAAGGCAAAGAACAAGTGTGGGACCAGCAGAGGCCCCTTTGCCTAAAGGCCCCGTTGAGCAGAGCTGTCCCAGGGATACACCTGAGCCGTTGAGTGCCTCCTAGTGGAGAGAGAGTGGAGCTGAAACTGAAGTTGATGCCGAGTGTGTCCAGCTTAACACCCCGCACTCTTTTTTTTGTTTGTTTAAATGAATTATAGAGAGAGGAAAAGAAACACACAGAGATCTTCCATCCACTGTTCACTCCCCAGTGGCTGCAGCGGCTGGAGCCGCCCGGCTCTGCTCTCCAGGCACGTGAATAGGGAGCTGGGTCAGAAATGGAGTGGCGAGGACCTGAACCAGTGTTCAATGGGACACCAGTGTCACAGCTGGTGGTTTAAGGTGCTGTGCCACCATGTTGGACCCATCCCACACCGTCATCTTGACGAGTCTTAGCTATGGAGACATGAATGAGACGTTCTTTTTTTTTTTTTTTTTTTTAAGAATTCTTTATTTTTATTTGAAAGGCAGATTTACAGAGAGGGGATACAGAGAGAAAGGTTCTCTGTCCACTGATTCATTCCCCAGTGGCCGCAATGGCTGGAGCTGAGCTGATCAGGAGCCAGAAGTTTCTTCTGGATCTCCTACGTAGGTACAGGCTCCAGGCCGTCCTCCATTGCTTTCCCAGGCCACAAGCGGAGAGCTGGATCAGAAGTGGAACCAGTGACCACATGGGATGCTGGTGCATGCAAGGCGAGGATTTAGCCTCTGAGGCATCACACCAGCCCTGGATTTTTTGTTGTTGTTGTTGTTGTTTTTCTTCCTGCAAGTTCCGGAATTTGATGCATTTTGACCCCCACAGCATATTTTGTTTTTCAGTCCTTGGTGGTCATGCGTAGCCAGGGCGTCTCTTGAGACCAGGAAACTCCTTCCTCCCTGGGGAGCCAGGTGCACCTTCTGCCCCACCCCCTTCGCCTGGCCTAGCGCCACCCTGCAAGCCAGGCACCAGTTCACTTCCCCATAGCGGCCCCCACGTGTGGATCAGAGTGAATCCTCCTGAATGCCTGCCCCAGTATCTGCTACTGGCCCGGACATGGGGGACGTGGTAGATGTGTGTGTCGCTGTGAGAGCCTGTGGGCCTCACTCCCATTCCCAGGGAAGTGACGTAACTCCCCGCCGTCTCTTGACTTGTTGGAATTAGGGTCATGGCCAGCTCCCTCTCTCACTTCCCCATCTGGCCCCAGGGCCAGGCCGAGTCTTCCCTCCCCAGTAAGCAAGAGCTAAAAGTGCCCACACAGAAGTGGGCACGAACCCCTATTCCTGGCAGTCAGGACTGCGTGGCCCCTACAGCAGGAAGTGAAGCTGGCACTCGTGTGGGGGTTCACGGCCCGGCGGTGCTGGGCACTGTCATCGTGGCCGTCTCATTGTGGCCCAGGCTGGAAGTGCAGCCCACGCATCCCTGCTCTGTGCTCAGTGGAGTCCTCGCTGAGCCTGTGGGGGTCTTTGCAGACAGCCCCGAGTGAGGCAGCGGGCTATCATTTTGTGGGGCTGTAGGAGGGAAACTGGTGAGGGCCTTGTCACATCAGCAGTGCTGGCTGACGGGGAGCCCGTGTGGAGTGTATATGGGGCAGCTCCTCCCAGGGTCTGGGGCGGGGGAGTCGTCGGGGGGGCCGTGGGGAGGGTTGGCCCAAAGAGCAGCAGGTGCCATGGCCTGATCCTTGCACCGGCTGTCCTCAGGATGGAGGCTGTGCCCACTAAAGTGACCGATGGCAAGGCAGTGCAGGGAGCTGTGATTACCCAGGAGTCTGCCTGTGGCTCTGCAGTCCTGGAGGTGGGAGGCACGGTGGGGTGTGATGGTGGAGGAGGGCATCCCAGTGCTGTATAGACAAAGCACAGTGTGCAGAGGATTGCTCCAAGATGCTGCCTGGGCACCACGGCCCACGGGAGGGTGGGCTCCGGGGCTCCACCTGGGCACGCATGGGAGGGTGGGCTCTGGGGCTCTGCGTGGAGGGCCCTGTGTTAGCCCACGCACTGGGATTTGCACTCTGTGTGTGGGAGAGCTGGGCGGGGTGCCTGATCCCCGGATTCTGGCCCTGGCCGGGCTGTTGGGGCATTTGGAGAGTGAAGTAGAGGATGGGAGTGTACGCTCTTTTCTCCTCTGTCTCTCAGATATCTAAAAAAAAATAAAGGAAAGGCTGAGGTTTGGGGACCAGTCCAGATCCAGGTAACGGGATTCCCAGCGCGTACCAGGAGGCTGGGGAGCAGCTGCTGGCCCACCTGGTCCATTTCCTGGATGTTGCAGTTGCCTGCAGGTGCCTCACCTTCCTCTCACAGCCTGCCTCCCGCCCCTGCCACCTCTCTGCCCACAGTGATTAACAAGTACAAGCGCAGGCGATTTCAGAAAACCAAGAACCTGCTGACAGGAGAGACAGAAGCTGACCCCGAAATGATCAAGGTAAACAGGAGCCGGGCCACCATGGCTGCAGGGCCACTTGGGCCCCGCCTCTGAGCTGCCCGCTGCTGGGCCTGGGGAGCAGTACCTCGGCTGCTATGTGGGGGAGCAGGGGCAGGGCCTAATCCAGGCCCACTCTGAAGTTCCACAGCCAGGAAGTGTCAGGGCACGTGGCTGAGCACCCAGCAGACGCAGGAAGAGGTGGCTCAGTTCACAGGGCAGCTGGACATGGCTCCTGGGGCTGCAAGGCCACGCACGTCATCCTAGAGATGGTGGTGAAGGCAGGGCCTGTGCCACACTGCCATCCCAGGGCACCATCTTGGGTGGTGCCCTCAAGGCTGCTGTGGGCCCGCCAGGATGCTGCCTCTGGTGCTCCCAAGGTGGTCACAGGCTGTTACCATGACTGTCCTGGGATTCCTCTGATGCCCATTGGGCACTTCCACGTACCACCCTCATCTCCCCTCAGAGAGCTGAAGACTATGGACCTGTGGAGGTGATCTCCCACTGGCACCCCAACATCACCATCAACATTGTGGATGACCACACCCCGTGGGTGAAGGGCAGCGTGCCTCCGCCCCTGGACCAGTGTAAGCTCCCAGCCTGCTGGCACCTTGGGGGACCCTGGGAAGGGTGCCCTGGATCCGTTTCCTATCTTCTTTTGGCCCCATCTCCCCAAAGAGATCTTTTTGGACTCCACCCCTTCTGATCTGCCCACGCTGTCCTGCCTCCCTAGTTTCTCCCCACCCCCGACACCCACTTCCTTGGTGACCCCCCTTGACCACCACTATAGCAGGCTGCATATCTCATCCAGCCCACAAGCCATGGTCAGAGGCCTTGTCCCTAAAATACCCCCAGTCAGGGTGTGGGCAGCCACAAACTGAGCTGCCCCTTCAAGGGCTGAGTGCCTCTGTCACCATGCCTGGCAGTCTCCTGGGCTCTGTCAGTCCCTGCCAACACTGGGAGGCCTGGGGCATCCGTCCCTGGCCAGCTTACTGGTGCCTCCGCACCTCTGCCCACAGACGTGAAGTTTGATGCTGTAAGCGGTGACTACTACCCCATCATCTACTTCAATGACTACTGGAACCTGCAGAAGGACTACTACCCCATCAACGAGAGCCTGGCCAGCCTGCCGCTGCGCGTCTCCTTCTGTCCGCTCTCGCTGTGGCGCTGGCAACTCTATGCTGCCCAGAGTACCAAGTCGCCCTGGAACTTCCTGGGTGACGAGCTGTACGAACAGTCGGATGAGGAGCAGGACTCGGTGAAGGTGAGGGTGGCTGTTGTGCCTGCCCCCCACCATACCTTCCAGGAGGCCCAGGGCACCTGGCATCCTGTCCCTTGGGCTTCCTTTGTTCCTTGCCCCCCGTCTCTGCTCTCCCAGTGTGTCCCTAAGTCCCTCCCATGTTCTCACTGTACCTGTGGCTGGCTGCTGTGGGGTCTCTGTTCCTCACTGCAGCTACTGCCCCCTCCCTTCCCTGTGTCCCTACCTGTGGCACAGCCCCAGGGCAGGTCTGCGGAGTGTGACAGTAAGGGGTCGGGGCAGGGGCTGAGGGGCTGCCTCCAGCACAGTGCCCTGCCGGGGCAGAGTCGTGCTCACCAGAGGCTCCCTGCCTCCCCAGGTGGCCCTTCTGGAGACCAACCCCTATCTGCTGGCACTCACCATCATCGTCTCCATTGTGCACAGTGTCTTCGAGTTCCTGGCCTTCAAGAACGGTAGGACGGTCCCTCAGACTAGGGAGGATGGGGTCTGTCCGTCCTCGTCCCCCTCCCTCCCACGTCTTCCCCCTGCCTGGGCTGTTGGCCCTTGCCAAGCAACAGCCGGGCGCCACGGGAGGGGTTGGGCCTGCCGCTGGGTAAGGCCAGGACACACCTCCAGGAAGCAGGTCGGGGAACTCCAAGGCCAGGAGCAGGGAAGCCCCGGTGCCACTCCCACTGCCCTGCCCAGCCCCCTGCCCCTAGCTCAGGCCCCCTGAGGAGTGGCCGTGTGCAGGTGCTGTCTATTCTGGGCACCCTTACCTCTTAGCTCTTTGGGATACCTAAGTTGGAGGCTGGGGACAGGGGCTTGGGGAAGTTGGGGGGTGACTCGTGTGGCTACCCTGCTCCTAAGTGGCCGCCCGTTCCCACTGCTACTGTGACCCTCTAGACCGTGGGGCCCTGTGTTCCTTCCCTGGTGGGCCAGGGATCAGGGATACTGTGTCAGGAAGGTGGCTGCATTGCCAGCTCACCAGTGGCTGGCAACTCGAGCTATCCCCGTGGGGACACCCTAGCTACACCCTCCCCTGTGGCTGCCTGGGACCTCTGTCCAGATGCGAAGTGAGCCATGGGGAGGCGTGGCCACTGAGGGCCAGGCGACAGAGGGCTGTCCCCCCACTTGCATAGAACCTGTCTCCTTGCTGTTTTCCTGCGGGGCTCAAGGAGGGGGCTGGTGCACGCATGTGTGTGGCCCGCGGAGCCCGGTATACAGTGGGGGCTGCACTTCTCAGCCTTCCATACTAAGAACAAAGCTGTCCCCACTCACCACCAGAATGGCCAGAATGACCGGAGCAGGGTGGTGGTGTGTGCTCCTGAAGGATGCCCAGGCTGGCGATCTGAACCCAGGCCTCACTGGTGCCATGAGGGCATCTGGCCAGTCTTGCAGGTTCTGGGAGCTGGTGGGGGCCGGTCTCACAGCACATGCCTCTCCATGACACAGGCCCTTCGTCGCTTTGGAGCTTGCTGTGCTGGCTCCATGGGTGCCCATGTGTGCATGGCAGGGGTCCCGTTGCTGTCATGTGGGCACTGTGTGTGACTCCAGGTGCTTCCGTGGAGGATCGTATGGTGCCTGCCTGAGCTGAGTGCCAGGCAGCGTTGAATGGAGAAATGCCCAAGGGACGGGGTGAACCCCAAAGGGCTGAGGGGAGGAGGCCAAGAGGGCAGCAGGAGCGTGCTGGACTGGGTGCGGCGGCTCCTCAGCCTGCGGTGCCCCTGCCCCCGCAGATATCCAGTTCTGGAACAGCCGGCAGTCTCTGGAGGGCCTGTCCGTGCGCTCCGTCTTCTTCGGCGTCTTCCAGTCGCTCGTGGTCCTCCTCTACATCCTAGACAATGAGACCAACTTCGTGGTCCAGGTCAGCGTCTTCATCGGGGTCCTCATCGACCTCTGGAAGATCACCAAGGTCATGGACGTCCGGGTAAGGGCAGCCCCTGATCTGGCGGGGGATGGGATGGGGAGGGGGCCATCGTCCAGGCCAGCCAGACCTGGAGCCAGCCCTGGGGCTTTCCCAGTGCCTGCCTCTCTCCCAGGACCCAGGGGACTTTCAGAGCAGGGGATTTTTCAGGTCACACGTGGGGCAGGGGAACTGGGAGCAGTGGGAAGGGCAGGGGCTGGGGCTGGCGTGGGGGCGGGAGTCAGGGAGGCAGCCTAGCCAGCCTCTCTCTCCCCACAGCTGGACCGGGAGCACAGGGTCGCAGGGTTCTTGCCCCGCTTGACCTTCAAAGACAAGTCCACGTACATTGAGTCTTCAACCAAAGTGTATGACGACGTGAGTGTCCCCAACCCAGGACCAGGCACGATCACTGCGCACCCCTCCCCACCAGGCCTGTGCCCTACCGCCTGTCCCTGTGTCCTCTGGGCCTTGGGTCCCTCCCACTAGCAGTCACTTCCTTGCTGAGTCCAGGGTTCCCAGGGCCACCTGGAAATTCCCTCAGCCCCGCCTGCCTGGCCAGGTGTGGGTGGGTGAGGGCAGGGAGCAGGGGAGCCCGAAGAGGCCCGCAGAGCCCACCGCAGGCTGCCCTGTGACCCTGCAGATGGCGTTCCGGTACCTTTCCTGGATCCTCTTCCCGCTCCTGGGCTGCTATGCCGTCTACAGCCTGCTGTACCTGGAGCACAAGGGCTGGTACTCCTGGGTGCTCAGCATGCTCTACGGCTTCCTGCTGACTTTCGGTGAGAGCCCTGGCTGCTCCGGGCCCTCCCCCACGGGCAGAGGGCAGGTGTCAGCACACATGGCCAGGTGGGAGAGACAGACCTGTCCCCACCCTGTGCCGACCCAGAATGGGCAGGGCTGCCACGTGGGAGCGGGGCCCTGTCTGTGGTCATGGAGGGGATCTGCACGAAGGCATGATGGTCTACCTTAGTCCTCATTCTCGGTAGCATTCTATCTTGTGGGAAAGCAGGAGACAGGAAGCAGATAGGAAGCAGCGAGTGCATGAAGGGGTAGAGGGAGGGCCGCACAGGCTCGGGGGCTATGTCCTTTTAACCCAAGGGGCCGGGGGAGGGAGCCAGGTAGATGTGATGGCAGAGCAAGGGCAGAGGCCTCAGGGCAGCTCAGGGCACTGGCCTTCGAAGTGGGGCAGAGCCGGAGAGGTGCAGGAGGGGGCTGGGGTCAGAAGGCCCAACCCTGCTCTTGGGATTCCTTTTGGCCCAGGTTTCATCACCATGACGCCCCAGCTCTTCATCAACTACAAGCTCAAGTCTGTGGCCCACCTGCCCTGGCGCATGCTCACCTACAAGGCGCTTAACACTTTCATTGACGACCTGTTCGCCTTCGTCATCAAGATGCCGGTGATGTACCGGATCGGCTGCCTGCGGGACGGTGAGTGGCGCAGAGCGCAGTCGCCAGGGGTGCGTCAGTCAGGGACGGGGTGGTGTCTCCCCACTGTCCGCCTGACAGCTGCTCACACTGCCCTCGCCCATGCCTGCCGCAGATGTGGTCTTCTTCATCTACCTCTACCAACGGTGGATCTACCGCGTCGACCCCACCAGGGTGAATGAGTTTGGCATGAGTGGGGAGGACGTGACAGCAGCCGCCTCTGTGCCCGAAGCCCCCACAGCAGCCGGGGCCCTCTCCCCCGCGCCCACCACCGCTGCCACTGCTGCCGCCAGGGAGGAGGCCGCCACGTCCCTGCCTGCCCAGGGGCCCAGCTCCGCCCACGAGCCCCAGGAAGCCACCCCAAAGCCAGCAGAGGACAAGAAGAAAGATTAGCTGGCTGGGTCCTTGGCTGCCCCGGCTCTGGTGACAGCACCCCGCCTCCCCGGCCTCCTTCACCTCCCCTCCCCGCGCCCTCTCCCTGGACAGATGGGCCGGGGCCCAGCGTGTGATGTGGGGGTCGGACAGGCCAGGGCTCGTTGTTTGTGGAGGCGCCGTCTGTCTGTCTGTTCTCTGTGTTTCCAGCCATCTTGCCCTGCCAGCCCAGCACCATTGGGAATCATGGTGAAGCCGTCGTAGCGGTGCCAAGGGGTGGGCCAGGCGGGGGCGGGGCCGGGGCCCCTCCGGGACGCCCACGGCCATCCATCATCTTGTCCCTCGTTCCCGACCACCCCACTCCTCCCAGACCGCCACCCTTTAACAGTCTGGATTTAATAAATTCATATGGGTGTTTAACTTAAATTCAACCATATCCCCTCTGGTGTCTGTCTGCGCTGCTGGCTAGGCGGGCACTTGCCCTGGGTCAGAGGAAGCCCTTTGCTGCTTGTCCCTACCCCACCCCCAGGCCTCTTCATCCCTGTCCTCCCCATGTTACAGATGCCCCAAGCTGCTTGCTCTGGGCTCCCCACTTGTGCTGAACCCCAGCCCTGTGCCCTGATGCAGTTAGTGGTTGAGGCACCTGGACTGGCACACCGGTCCTCCCAGCCTGCCCTGGACTCCCGTGGGTGAAGCCTGACGGGATGCTGTGGCATGCTCCATTGTCTCCGTGGGGCTCAGCGCCTTCCCAGAGTGTGCTTCCACAGGAAGCTGCATGGGAAGTGGAGCAGCTGGGATTTGAACAGGTGCACTGCTCACAGGAAGTGTGTGGGCATCTCAGGCAACAGTGCCCGCTTCTGTCACACACACAGCAGATCTGCCCACTGGAGGTCATCTCCATTGTGAACCACCAGGGCTGCAGAGTGCCTGGGTGCAGCCAGCCATGGCAGCAGGCTTCGATGCGCACAGCCCAGGACGTCTGGCTTGTCCTGTCGGTCACTCAGTTGACAACTGTGAAGGAAGCCTGACATGGACAGAGGCCTGGAAGGAGCCGTGGGGAGCAGGAACCCCTGTGTGTGGCTCCCCGGTCACAAGCCCAGCTCTAGCTTAAGTGCTGGAATGGTCTGCTTTGGGACATTGACCTTCATGTGCCCGTCACCTTACAGGCCACCTCCCTTCTCTGACTGTCCCCTCCAAGTTCCCCTGTGCTAACCACGGCTCTCCCTGCCACCAGGCCCCTGCCAGTGCTGTTCCTCCATGCCTCGAACACTTGCCCAGATGGCTGTGGCTGCTCCGTTGCTGGCCTTCAGCTCCTGCATGATGAGGGCTTTTGTGGAACAGTGTCCAGCGCTGTGACCCTGTGTGGAATGTGCACAATAATCCCGTGAGGTGCGCTATTTACGCCCAGCCCGGAGATGAGAAATCCAAGACCTAAACAACTTAGATAACTTGTCAGAATCACAGAGCAACCGGGAAGTACATGGAAGTACTGGCCGGTGTGAGACGCATAAGGAACACAGTTACTGCTGTCTCTAACCTCTTCATAGCCCGTTTCACATAAGGCCTGTTGCCTGACGTCTCGCGGCTGGCACAGGGGGGACCTAGGCGTTGGACGTGGGTAGTGCGATTCCAGGCCCTCTTGGGGTGTTTTTGTAGTTGGAGTTCAAGGGCAGCCTGTCCCCTCTGTGATTTTTACCTTGTAAGTGGTTGTAAACAATCTAAAGAAGATACAACAAACATCTCAATATCCAGCAAGATTGTATTTTAAAGTTTGTATTGATTCAGGAGGCAGGGAGAAGAGAAACAGATGGTCTTGCTGCTGGTTTGCTGCTTAAGTGCCTGCCACAGCCAGGCCTGGGCCATGCTGCCACCAAGAGCCTGAAACCCAGCCTGGTCTCCCCCACATTGAGCCCGCCAGGCACTCCAGCATGCGGTCGGGGTGTCCTAGCCGCTGTGCCAAACGTCTGTCCTCTAAGAAGGGTTCCAGTGGCGTAAAGCCACACTACAGGGCATTCCTGCCTGGCTTTTTTCTTGTACCACAAGTCCTGGAAGCTGACCTTCGCCATTTGAGCCACAGCACATCAAGTCTGTTCCCCCTCCCCACCCCTGCTCCATGCCCACAGGCAGGGCTGGGACCCACAGGCACCAGGCGGGAGGCTGGGGACCGCTGAGCCACACGCAGGGGGTTCAGGAAGTGGACGTGGGGATCATTCAGCTTTTCTGTACATCTAAATGTCGCCCTAGGGGGCGGGGGAGGTGGTGCTGGACACTTACTCCGTGCTCAGCCCTCACTCACACCCACCCACCCACACACACACACCATGTCCCTTCCCAGAGGGGTCACTGGGCTGGGGTCTCAGAGCACCAGGCTCTTTACCAATACCCTGAAGGGGCTGGGAGGAGGACCAGCACACGTCATCCCTTCAGCTCAACCTGCACTGGTCATCCTCAGCCATCCAGGCACTGGGGCAACAGCTGGGGCGGTGGGGGGACAGGTGCACGGAGACCTGGGGGTTTTCCTAGAAACCACTGTCCAAGCTGGCTTGACGCCCTGGCCCCGCTCTGCAGCCCTCTGCCGCCCTAACGGCCTGAGAAGCAGCAGGCCCACCAAGTGGGGGTCGGCCTGTTTCTAGGGTGAGAGTGTCCCCCCTCCAGGAGAGACCAGGGGCAGCGAGGCCGCCTCGGCACCCCCACTCCAGCGCAGCGCCCAGCCTCCCCTTCCCGGCCGGCCCCGCCCCCGCGGTCACGTGACGTGTGGGGGTTTTCCCGTTCCCCTGCCGTGATGTCACGACGGGGCGCGAGCCAATGGGCGCGCGGGCCGGCGGCGCCGGGGAATTCCGCCGCCCCGCCCCCGCCCGCCGCCCGCCCGGCCCGGCGCCCCCCGCAGCCCCGGGCGCCGCGCGTCCTGCCCCGCCTGCGGCCTCGGCCCTGCGCCGCTCGTCCGCCTCGCGCTCTCCGCCGCGCGCGGGGAGCTCACGGCCCGGGCCATGCCGAGCCGCCGCGTCGCCAGAACGACCGCCGCGTCGGAGCTGGGGGGCCTGGGTAAGCGGAGCCGAGGGCCGGGGGCGAGCAGGCGGGGTGGGCGCTGGGGGAGACTGTGTGTGTGTGTGTGTGCAGGGGGCTGTGCGAGGGCTCCCGGGTGGTCTGCGGGATTCGGGGGGCTCTGCGGGACGTGGGGCGGCTCGGGCGGCCCGGGATGGTGAGGGGTCCGGCCGAAGGCTCAGGCGAGGCGTCCCACGGAGGAGTGAGAAGGGGGCGGGGCCTGAGCCTGAGGCGAAGAGGGGGGCGGGGCCTGGCCGCAGCGGGCGGAGTCTGAGCGAGGGAAGGGGGCGGGGCCCTGCGCCCAGAAGGAAGCCGTACCCGAGCCTGGGCCAGAGGGGGCGGGGCCAGGGACCCAAGGGGGCGGGGCCCGCCCCAGGAGGAAGCCGGGTCTGAGGGGTCGGGGAGCTGAGGGGCGGAGTCTTGACCCGAGGGGGCGGGGTGAGGCGTGGCCCAACTCTGAGGAGGAAGCCTGGCGTGAGGGGCTGAGGGGCGGGGCCTGGACCCGAGGGGCGGGGCGCGGCGTGGCCAGAAGCCCAAGGGGCGTGGCGTGGCAGGAGCCGGGTCTGAGGATGCTGAGGGGCGGAGCCTGTTGTAAAAGCAGAAGGTCGGGGTCTGACGTAGAGAACCCAGGGTGAGTGACCTTTGCCTCCAGAGGGAGAAGTTGGGGACAACTTGTCCCTGACAGTAATCCTGTGAGAAAGAAGGGCGCGGGGACTTGGGTCACTGAGCTTGGCAAGGGTCTTCAAGGCCCGATCTAAAGGGGAGATGGAGTAGGCTGGAGGCTGAGGCCAAGGATGCAAGCCCAGGAAGAAGAAGATGGCCCGGGCGTTTTGGTGGCGAGGGGGAGGGCTCTGGGTCCAGGGGGCGGGCGAGCAGAGGGATGCCCCGGTCCCCCGGCTGCCCTCCTTCCGGTGCTGACACAGGCCCCGCTCTCCGCAGGGTCCACTGACCTCTCCTCGCTGTCTCTCGCCGTTCACAGGAGCTCAGGTGAGCAGCGCTCCATGGCCCTGGTTCATCTTACCTCTGGCGCTTGCAGGTGGGGCTGCTCGGGGCCAGGCATGTGGCAGTTCCCGGGGCTCTCTGCTGATGGACACCCACTCTCCAGTGTCCCTTCCCTCTGCGACAGCAGGGGCGTTGATGGGAGTGCCAGTGGCCTATTGGTGCTGAAAAAGGAGCTCTGTCTGTGGTTGACACCCTGACTCTGAAGTTGGGGGTTACATGCTGGTGCCGCCTTCATCTCGACCAGGTGACTCTCCTCTCCCACCCAGGCCTCAGTTTGCCTCATCTGTAAGATGGGCACGCTGCTGGTGCCTCTTCTAGGGGGATGGAGAGGACTCAATGAGTCTTTCACAGCTGTGTCGAACACACAGGAAGGCTTAGTGAGCCTTCAGGATCATTGGCGTAGAAGTAACCATGTAACAATGAGCACCAGTCTATACCAGTTCCAAAGTTTAAAGAAACTGTTTTTGTGCCTGGTGCAATAGCCTAGTGACTAAAGTTCTTGCCTTGCATGCACCAGGATCCATACGGGCCTAGTTCATATTCTGGCAGCCCCACTTCCCATCCAGCTCCCTGCTTGTGCCCTGGGAAAGCAATAAGTGGTGGCCCAAAGCCTTAGGACCCTGCACCCATGTGGGAGACCCGGAAGAAGCTCCTGGCTTCAGATCAGCTCAGCTCTAGCCGTTATGACCGCTTGGGGCGTGAATCAATGCAAGAAAGATCTTCCTCTCTCTCTCCCTCTCTACATCTGACTTTCCAGTAAAGATAAATAAATCTTAAAAAATAAGTAAAAGATTTATTTATTCTTATTTGAAAGGAAGATTAGATTTACAGAGAAGGAGAGTCAGAGGGGAAGATCTTCTATCCAATGGTTCACTCCCCAAATGGCCACAGTGGTCGTAGCTGAGCCGATCCAAAGCCAGGAGCCAGGGGCTTCTTTTGAGTCTCCCACGCGGGTGCAGGTCCAAGGCTTTGGATTGTTGTTGACTGGTTTCTCAGGCCACATCAGGGAGCTGGGTGGGAAACAGTGCAGCTGGGACATGAGCTGGTGTCCATATGGGCTGCTGCTGCTTGCAGGCAGAGGATTGACCAGTTGAACATCTCCCCGGCCCCTTTTAGCATTTCTCTGAGACGCTGAGAACTGCTAGTGTGTCAGCTCCCTCAACTGCCGTCCAGTGGGGCCCAAGGAAATGGACGATCTTGGCCAAATGACCACATTGTCTCCCACGTCCCTTTGCTGGGACCTGGAAGGTGCAGGAATCCTGTCGCCCTAGGTACCGGTACCCAGAGACCACGCTTGGCTGGGTGGGGCCTCTCTTAGAGGCGGAGTCGGGCTGGACCCAAGAAGTGCTGCCTGGGTGTGACAAGGTCCCTGTGTGTGCCTGCTGACAGGCAGAGCCCCAGGGCTGACTCAGAGGGTCCTAGGCAGAGCTCTTGCTTTCAAATGATAGCATTGATAGCATCATGTATTGTTATCTTTTTTGAAGGTTTTTTTTTATTTATTCATTTTTATCAGAAAGGCAGATTTACAGAGGAAAGACAGATCTGTCCATGGTTCACTCCCCAAGTGGCACAATTGTCGGAGTTGAGCTAATCTGAAGTCAGGAGCTTCTTCTGGGTCTCTCACATGGGTGCAGGGTCCCAAGGCTCCGGGCTGTTCTCTATTGCTTTCCCAGGCTACAGTCAGGGAGCTTGAAGGGAAGTGGAGCAGCCGGGACATGAACCAGCGTCTGTATGGGATCCTGACTGATGCAGGGCAAGCATGTAACCACTGAGCCATTGTGCCGGGACCAAGATTGCTTAATCTATTTTTTTTTTTGAAAGGCAGAACCATGAAGAGAGAGGGAGAGAGTTCCTGTCTGTTGGGTCCAAATGACTCCAGCAGGCAGAGCTTAGCCAGGCCAAGGCCAGGAACCAGGAACTTCATCCGGGTCTCCCCTGTGGCTGGCAGGGGCCCAAGCTTGGGGCCATCTTCTGCTGCCTTCCCAGGTGCATGAGCAGGAGGCTGGTGCAGAAGCAGAGCAGCTGGGACGCCAACCAGTACTATTATGGGATGCAGTATTGCAGGTGGTAACCCGATGGGCCACAACAGCAGTACCCATCCAGTGAGAGTGATTTGTGATATTACCCATTCAATAAATATTTACTGAGTGCCTATTCTGGACCTGTTCCTGTGCTGGGCACTGCTAAGGGCCCGGCCATGAGCGAGGCAGTCCCATCCCTACCTGCTAGGGGAGGCAAACATATGGGATCTTAAAATGTGATAGGAACCACGTAGAAACTCTGGGGTTCCTGATATTTAATAGCAGTGTGGGGACAGGAGACCCAGGGAGGAAGCTGGAGGGATAATGACAGCTCCCTTCCTTCCTGTGGGCTGGGCCCTGCAGAGCCTGGGGACAGGACAAGGAGGAGGGGACAGATGTGTTCTCCAGCTCCTGCGTGTTAGTGATAAATGGGCAAAGATGCCACTGTGTGTGCCATGGAAAGCATGAACTGAAGGGGCCTCGTTTCCAAGCCCCTAGAGCGGGGTGCCTGGGGTCTGCCTTGGATGCAGTGGCCCCAGGGTGACCTGTCCGGGAGCAGAGCTCTGAAGGGAAAGACATAGGAGGTGGAGACGTAGGAGGCATAGGAGGTGTGTGCTAAGGTCCTGAGGTAGCCGCTGCATGGCTGCCTGCCTGCTCACACAGCTCTTCCCACGGATGCAGCTTGCTGGTGGCAAGGCTGCCTGGGAGATGGTGTGTGTGCATGTGTGTTGGGCATTGCTATTTGATCAGAGCTTTGAATAAGGAAAGGAAGTTCCCGGTATGCCCTATGTGGAAAAGGACATTTTTGAAGGGTCAAGAGTGGGGAGACCCGGTCTTTGTGTTAACTTGGAAACTCAGAACGCCTTGTTCTTAGATATATTGAGTTACTTGTCTGGAAGAGTGAAAGAGAGAGAGGGCCTGGCACAATAGCCTGGTGGCTAAATCCTCACCTTGTATGCACCAGGATCCCATAGGGGTGCCGTGGAGTTCCTGGCTCCTGGCTCCAGCCTGGCTCAGCCCTAACTGTTGTGGCCATTTGGGGCATGAAGCAGCAGATGGAAGCTCGCTTTCTCAATGCTGGCATCGTGGCACATCGCGTTAAACTGCTGCTTGCAATGCTGGCATCCCATAAATAAGTGTGCTGGCTCATGTCATGGCTGCTCCACTTCTGATCCAGCTAGGAGACTCACATGAATGAAGCTCTTGGCTTCCCTCTGGCCCCGCTCGGCCACTGCGGCCGTTGAGAAGTGAACCGGAGGACGGAAGGCTTCTCTATTTCTTTCTCTTGCTCTGTGATTCTGCTTTTCAAATACATAGATAAATTTAAAAAAAATACATTTTAAAGATTTATTTTTTATTGGAAAGGCGGATATACAGAGAGGAGAGACAGAGAGGAAGATCTTCCATCCGATGATTCACTCCCCAAGTGAGCGCAACGGGCCAATGCTATGCCGATGAAACCAGGAGCCTCTTCCGGGTCTCCCACGCGGGTGCAGGGTCCCAAAGCTTTGGGCCGTCCTCGACTGCCTTCCCAGGCCACAGGCAGGGAGCTGGAAGGGAAGTGGGGCCGCCGGAATAGAACCGGCGCCCATATGAGATCCCGGGCGTGCAAGGCGAGGACCTTAACCACTTGCGCCACCGCACTGGGCCCCAATGTTCCCATTTTACAGACAGGCAAACCAAGACCCAGGGAGGGGAAGGGATTTACCCAAAGCCCTAATCCTTGCCCAGGAGCAGCTGTCATTAAGCTGGCAGCTACTTTGTCTCAGGTCTGTTTGAGCTATTTCAGCCCAATGAGATGAGCAGTATTAGTGTGCCCATTTTAGAGATAAACCGAGGCACCAAAGAGGTTCAGAAGGGGGCCTCTGGCCACACAACAGGATTTGAATGGAGGCCGTCAGGCCAGAGTTTCAGGCATTGCACCCAGAACTCCGTCTCCCTCTGCCTGTGTAGCCTAGAACTTTCTCGAAGGCCCAGACTCAACTGAGCTGGTCTGGGGGCTTCTGTGTTCACGCAGGTTATTTGCAGGAAGGAGTTTGCAGGTTGAAGCAAGCCAAACTTGGCCGTGCTCGTGACCTTGAGCCGAGTCCCCATCCTGTCTCAGCCTCAGTCTCCCCGTTTGCCACATGGGGACTTGGCACCCTTCTAGCCACTCCGATCACCCGAGATAAGGATGTGGTGAAGCTGTTTTCCCAGAGCAAAGGTCTGGCTCACAAGCCACTCCCCGCGGGCGCAGGGAAGCGGGCAGGCCTGCTGCCCGGTGGCCAGCACAGGCTGCCCGGGGACGGACCTGTGGCCCGCTTGGCCGGCTGCCCCTGCTGTGTGTCTGTCGCCAGGCCGCCCGGCCTCTCTGGGCTTTCCCGTGCTGCCTGGGACATGACAGGAGGTTGGTTTTGGTTTCTCCGCTGCCCGGGCAGGGCTGAGTCTTCCCAGGAAGGTGACCGGGGGCTTTCCTGAAGACCCGGAGTTCCTGTCACTCCTCCCTCGAAAAGCAGAGCCCGAGCCAGGATTGTGGGCGGCCGCTTCCGGGGCCTGGCCCAGCATGTGCAGCAGCCTACCGCCGCAGTCTCATCGGCCTATGGGGATCCTCAGACACCAGCCAGTGACTTTGTGGGTCTAGGGTTGCACCTGGGAGAGGGGTCACCCTGAGAGGTTGCTGCTGGTCTTGGAGGGAAGCAGCTTGCTTTGTTTGCTTGGGAATAGGAGCTTGGATTTTTCCAAAGGTGTTTCCTAGACCCCTGGCCCGAGCATTTGTTAGAACACCAGGCACTGGCACCCTCACCCCAGTGGCTGATGGGAGGCCAGGGAGGGGGCCTAGCCTGACGCTGCTCTGGGTCCGAGGCAAGGGTTCCCTAAGTCGGAGCTTGGGGAAGGGCTTCCGGGGGACAGGGCTGGGGACCAAGCCTTGATCACTTCCTGGAGCTCACGTGTCTCTTTCTCTTCCCTCCACAGATGAACTGGGTGAGTACTACCAGGCAGGTGCGCCACTGGGAGGCCAAGGGGTTCCCGGATGGGGTCTTGTCTGATGACAAGGGGAGGGGTCCTCACGGTGTGTGGCTTCCAGGACTGTGGTGGGATGGGGGTGGCAGGTGGGCGCCAGCCCCTGTCAGTCCCGGGCACTGTGCTAGGCCACAGGGGCTCATCCATGCTTTGCTGGAGTCCATGCTGTCACCAGGGAAAGCAGCAGCTGGGGAAGCTAGGGCCGTGGTGGGCTGAGCACACGGGGTGGGGCGAGAAAGAAAGCTGAGGGCTGGTGTCTGAGCGAGGAAGCCGGTGCTGGCCAGGTGGGACAGCAGGGAACAGGCAGAGGGAGGGCCCGGGACAAGACAGGGACAAGGGCCCGGGGTCAGGCAGGGTGGGGGCAAGGAACAGGAGAGGCTAGGGCAGAAGGAGCGGTTGGGACAGCTGCTTAGCCTAGGGATCCATGGCCCAGGGAAGGGGTGAGGTTTTGTTCCCTTATTTATTTAAAAGTCAGGATTACAGCGAGAAGGAGCAACAGAGAGAGAGACCATCCATTCACTGGTTTGTTCCCCAAGTGGTTACAACAAGCAAGGACCAGGAAGTTCACTTGGTCTTCCAGGAGCCCAAGCCAGGGACTTGGGCCGTCCTCCGCTGCTTTCCTAGGCACATTAGCAGCGAGCTGGACTGTGTGCCGAGTGCCCATACAGGATGCAGCATTACAGACAGAGGCTTAACCCACTGCACCGCAACCCTGTCTCCCCTCATCGTTCTGGCCAGCAGAGCCAGTAAGGTGGACACCGCGAGGGTCTGGGGATGAAGCACCAAGGGGAGACCAGTCATGGTGGAAGGTCGAAGTCTCTCTCGGCCTCCCTTTATTAGGCCTTATATGCTCTTCCCCCAAGCCCTTTAACAGAACAATAGGATGCTAATGAGTCTGAATGGACCAGGAGCTACTAACCCCAAGCCCATTTCCTGTAGAGGCTCAGCTTAAGGAGTGCTAATCAACTCCTTAGCCCACAACACCTTGTCCTGTCTTTTCTGAGACCAGAGAAGTTCAGGGAAGGATTTATGTGGGGATGACATTGGTTTTGATGGCTGGGGGTGGGGTGGGGTGTTCACAGGAGGGTGTTAGGTGGAGAGTGGGGGCAGACTGCAGCGGGTTGGAGAGAGGCAGGAAGGTGGGACTGCATAGTGGAGGCTGAGCTGGACATGTCAGGCAGGTGGAGGTGGTCCTTTCTGTTTCTGCACCAGGGGGGTGGCATCCCAGGTGGGCACACGTGGGCCAGAGTGGCTGTGATTGCCAGTATACAGGGTGAGACAGGCAGGGCACCTGGGGGTCGTGTCCTGGCCTTTGTCCAGCTGGAGGTGGCCAACCGGGCGGATGCGGGAGTGTTAGCTGGGCTAGGGGCCGGGGAGGCTGGAGGAGGCAGGAATCCAGCCAGCCGCACACGGGTGGCTCTGCTGGGCCTGGCTCGGGTCAGACACCATGGCTCGGGCGTCACCAGGCTGCGTTTGCTTTTCCTGCAGAAATCATTGACGAGTACATCAAGGAGAACGGCTTCGGCCTGGAGGGGGCGTCGCACGGCCTGGTCGAGGGGTCGATCCGCATGGTGTCCCGGGGGTCCACCACGCTTAGCACCGTCACCCTGGGTGCCCCGGTCCCTCCAGCCACCCCGCCGCCCCCACCACCGCCCTGGGGCTGCCAGCTCGGCCGGCTGCTGCCCCCCACGCCGGGCCCGGGCCCGCGGCCACACCTGGTCATCACCGAGCAGCCGAAGCAGCGCGGCATGCGCTTCCGCTACGAGTGCGAGGGTCGCTCGGCCGGCAGTATCCTGGGGGAGAGCAGCACGGAGGCCAGCAAGACCCTGCCGGCCATCGAGGTGGGCCGGGGCGCCTGTGCACTGGGTTGAGTTGGGGATGGCGGTTAGCGTTTAGGGGTGGCCGGCTCACCTGGCCCCAGGGATGAAAAGACGGAGGGGCCTTGAAGGCGCTTGGCCAGGGCTGCGGAAGCTGGACACGCATTGTTGGAGCTCTCTGGGTTTTAATAGGATGCTGAGTGCAGGGGAGAGGGTGCTCCTCCCACTGAGGCCTGGCCTGGCTACTCCTAGACAATTTTTTAAAAAAACGTTTATTTATTTTTACTTTAAATACAGAGTTACAGAGACAGAGAGAGAGAAATAGAGACTTTTCATCTGCTGGTTCAACCCCTGAACACTTAAGTAGCTGCAATGGCCAGGCCACAGTCAGGTTCCTCATCTGGGCCTCCCACATGCGTACTGGGACCCAAGCACTTGGGCCATCCTCTACTGCTTTGCCATGCACATTAGCAGGCAACTGGATGGGAAGTGGAGCAGCCGGGACAGGAACTGGCACCCATAAGGGAATTGGGAATTGTAGACAGTAGCACCGTCCGCCACCACCCTGCCGCTTCTAGTTTGTCTTGGAGCAGTGCTGCGTTTGGGTGGGAGCAGGGAGGCATCGCCTTCCCCTCGCAGCCTTGGTGAGTTAATCTAGCACTGGCATGGTCAGTGTGGCTCGGTAGGGAGGGAACTGGCTGGGTAAGCAGGCAGATGTGACAGGTGCATCCGGGCGGGGAGGTGTGCGAGCACAGCCGCCCACGCATGCGTACAGAGCAGTTGCAAAGTGAAAGCGTTCTCAGGGCGTTGCTGAGGCGGTTTCCACAGAGTTATACCAGTAACCCCAAAAAACACCCGCGGAGGTACACCAGTAACCCCAAAAAAACACCCGCGGAGGTACACCAGTAACCGGGAAACACCCGCGGAGGTGCACCAGCGGCCCAGGAAACACCCACTGAGGCGTAGAACTGCGTACGCGCTGTACTAACGCTCCTGGGGAGGGGGGCGTGTGCCGTGTGCTGCTCGCTAACGCTGCCTGGGAAACCAGATCCCAAACGGGAGAGCTGCTGAAGCTCTGATTCTAATCCAGCTCCCTGCTAAGGCAGCTCAGAGAGAGCAGAGGATGGCCCAAGTGCTGGGCCCAAACACCCCCGGGAGACGCAGATGGATTCCTGGCTCTTGCCTGCACCGGCCTGACAGCTGCTCCTACTTGGGAAGTGAACCGGCAGATGATCCTGCTGGCTCTCTCTGCCTCTCCCCATTGCTCTGGCTTTCAGATAAATGAAAATAAACATAATTTTAGATATTTTTGAAGATGTATTTCTTTTTATTAGAAAGTCAGATTTACAAAGAGAATGAGAAGCAGGGAGAAAGATCTTTCCATGAGCTGATTCATTCCCCAAATGGCTGCAATGGCCGGAGCTGAGCCGATAAGAAGCCAGGAACCAGGAACTCTTCCAGGTCTCCCTCGCGGGTACAGGGTCCCAAGGCTTTGGGGCCGTCCTCGACTGCTTTCCCAGGCCACAGGCAGGGAGCTGGATGTTGAGTGGAGCTGCCGGGATTAGAACTGGCACCTTTATGGGTTCCTGGCATGTGCAAAGCGAGTGCATTAGCTGCTAGGCCACCACGCCAGGCCCTCCCTAAGCTATTTTTAATTACAGTTATTTCTAGGCAATTACGTGTGAAACATTATTTGTTTCAAAGGCAGAGTTACACAGAGAGAGACAATAAGATCTTCGTCAACTGGTTCATTCCACAAATGGGTGCAGTGACCGAGGCTGGGCCAGGCCAAAGCCAGGAGCCTCGGATGCCACCCTGGTGTCCCACATGGGTGCAAGAGCCTAAGCGCTGGGGTGTCTTCTGCTGCTCTGCCAGATTCCTTAGTGGATTGGAGGTGGATTAGCCGGGACTGGGAGCCAGTGCTCATAAGAGATGCCAGCGTCTCAGCTGGTGGATTAACCTGCTGCACCACAGCACCTGCCCAGCATCGCACTGCATCATGTGAGCGGGTGGCCCTCTCCTGGGCAACTCTTCAGTTGGTGGACGCAAGGACGCTGGCTTCCCGTCTCTCGCTCTCACAAGCAGGGCTGCGGAGAACAGCACGGTTTAACCACCGCTTCTTTCTCCTGTGTCCCCTGAGTAACTTCTAGAAGGGGAATCATTGGGGAAAGGGAACTTGATGGCTTTTCCTCACCCCACACCTTGGAGGGGGATTACCCAGCAGGTTTTTCTCCAGTCCTGAGGGGGTCTCCCATGTGGGCGGAACTCTGGGTGTTACTGAGCTGAAGCTGTGTGTCCGTTGCGCCCAGCCCAGGGAAACTCGAGTTGCAGCCCCTCAGCCCCCAGGCCTCTTCCCTGGGCTCCAGCTTCCTACGCCTGCTCATTGGGGGTGGCCAGTGGTATCTTGACCCATCACATGTCTGCTGCCCTCTCCTTGCCTCCCTTCTCCCCGGCCCCTTCGCCTGCCAGCGTTGGGTTCCTTCCCTGCAGCCACTTCCCACGCAGCTGCCTTCAGCCACTGAGCTTCTGCCTGTGCTGTCGCTTCCTTGGCAGGGCACCTGCTGCTTACCTGAGGCCTCAGCTTTCCCTGCTTGTGCCTGCACCCTGGTCCCTCTACTTGAGCTCTCTTCCCATCCCCACTTTTGCTCGCTTGCTCACTCATTGAACGCATACCCCCCTTTTTTTTGTTAGTTTTTTGAGAGTCAGCTGGTTTGCCCTCCAAATGTTCACAATGGCAGCTGAGCCAGCCCCAGCTGGTAACTCCATCCTTGTCTTCCATATGCGAGATGGGAACCCCAGGTCACTCCCTCCTCCATGATGTGCTCCTCCAGCCGGAAGCTAGGGCTGGGGGCGGGAGTGCTCACTGCTGGGCTGACTGACCGCTCCCCTGCTGGAGCTGGGTGTTGTTCATGGATGCTCACATCTAGGTGTGTGTCTGAGGCCAAGGGCAGTTCTCCAAGGTGTAACAGGATGGCAGAGACAAGGCTGCGACCTCACCCACATGTTATCTGATAGGAGGTGGTGTTTTAAATGACTGATTTGAAAGAGAGAAACAGAGAGGGAGAGAGAGGGACCATTTACTGGTTCACCTCCCAAATGCCTGCAGGCACCAGGGCTTGGCCAGGCTGAAGGGAGGAGCCTGGAACCGCACCCAGGGGCCCAAGCCCCAGGGCTGTCTTCCACTGCCTTCCCTTGCGTTGACAGGGAGGTGTAGCAGATGGGGAGCAGCCAAGACTTGAACTGGCACCCAGAGAGGATACCCGTGGTAGCTTTAGCTGCACCGTAGCACTGGCCCCAAGTTGTTTTCTGATTGGCACATTTGGCCCCAGAATGTTCCCCGGTAGCTGCTGATTCTGTTCTCAGCTTGTTTCCTGGCCACCCTAGGCTCCGGTGCTGTGTGCAATGTCAGGTGCCTTCCGTCGGCCTTGCCGTTCATGACCCAGACTTGGCTGAAAAGAAGACAGAATTCTGGGCCAATGGTGACCCCAGCAGGGACACTGTGGCCTTCTTGTTCTCTTGCCATCAAGGGACGAGGTGTGGGGTGGCACGTCTGTGAGGGATGGTCAGGCTGTGTGTACTGCTGATCATCAACAGGTGCCTGGAGGCTGCTCTGTGCTTGGGCCTGTCTCCTGAACATTGTGTTCCTGAGTCTTTGCAGGCGCTTGCTCTGGCTGTGACTGCAGGGTTGGGGTACGATGTGCCTGTCTCCAAGTCTGTCCCCAGGAGGACACTGAGGCTAGGAGAGGGCGAGGCACCTGCCCGGGGCACATAGCAAATGCTGCATGTCTCTGTGGGCCTGGCACTTGCCTGGTTACTTATTTTTTAAAGATGGACTTACTGACTTGTTTGAAAGGTGGCATGACAAAGAAAGAGGATGAGAAAGATCTTCCATCTGCTGGTCACTCCCCAAATGGCAGCTGCAGCAGTCATGCCTGGGCTGGGCTGAAGCCAAGAGCTTGGAACTGCCTCCAGATCTCCCACATGGCTGGCAGGGGCCCAGGCGCTTGGGCCCCGGATGCTTTCCCAGGCGCGTTAGCAGCAAGCTGGATCGGAAGCAGAGCAGCTGGCACTTGAACCCATCCAATGACATGAGATGGCAGCATCACAAGGGGTGGCTAAGCCCACTGCCGCCCCACACTGGTTCCTGTGTGTCTGCTGATAGCCAGTGACCAGCACAGGAAGATGACACAAACCACAGTGCCTGGGTTTGGTGCCAAGTCGGGCTGACTCCATGCAAAAGGCCCACGATTCCGTGTGACCTCTCAGAGATAAAAAGTTGTCGGCTCTGAGTCCTCATGAGCCCTGACAGGCAGGTTGTGTGGCCCTGTCCCTGGAACTCCCAGCTGGCTCACATCTCTGGTCGTGTCAAAGTCACTGTACTTCCTTATATGGTCGCTAGAGGGCAGTACTACCTAAATACCTTGCTTATGGTGTTCTGTATAAGCCCGAGTTTATTTTAAATTTATTTATTTATTTATTTTTTAATGGTTTGTTTATTTCTGACCAGTATTGTGGCCTATCTGGCTAAGATACCAGCCTCCCATACAGCCGCTGGCTGGAGTCCTGCCTGCTCCATTCCCATCCAGCTCCCTGCTGATGTGCCTGGGAAAGCAGTGGAGTATTTGGGACCTGCACCCTGTTGGGAGACCCAGATAAGGTTCCTGAGCTCAGCCTGGCCTGGTCCCAGCCATTGCAGCCACTTAGGGAGTGAACCGGCAGATGGACCTTCCTCCATCTCGCTCCGTAGGTTTGCCTTTCAAATAAATAAAAAATAGTGGCCTTTAGTTCTTTCTCATCTTTTTTTTTTTTAAATAAAGATTTATGTATTTTTTATTGAAAAGTCAAATTTACAGAGAGGAGAGATAGACAGAAAGATCTTCTGTTTGCTGATTCACCCCACAAATGGCTACACCAACCAGAGCTGAGCTGATCCAAAGCCAGGAGCCAGGAGCCTTTTCTTAGTCTCCCACCTGGGTGCAGGGGTTCAGGCTTGGGCCACCTTCGACTGCTTTCCCAAGCCACAAGCAGGGAGCTGGATGGGAAGTGGGGCAACTGGGACACAAATCAACACCCATTTGGGATCCTGGTGTTTGCAAGATGAGGATTAGTCACTGAGCCATTGCACCCCAGACAACAAGAACCTCAGGAACAAAAGCCTGAGCAGGGGAGGTTCGGCGGCAGCAGGAAGCCTGTCCTCAGGAGGAACTGGAAGGACCCCAGCCTGCCCCGCGGCCCGGCTGACCTGTCCGAGAGGAAGCACTGGGCTCCCGTGTCCAGGACTAAAGAGCAGGAGCGGGCCCTTGCTGCGGTCACAGACCGGTTGATGGTGACGAGCAGGGTGTCCTCAGGGTGGTTAAGCTCCGCAGGATGCCTGGATACTGTCTCCTTGAGAGCTGTGCAAGCCCTTGGGTCGGCCTGTGAGGAACCTGCGGGCCATCCTGGCAGTCCTCGCCGGGCTCCCAACGGTGAAGGGATGCAGCTCCTGTGGCAGCCGAGCCAGTCTGTTCCTGTGGCTGCACCTGTTAGCTCCGTCACACTCCTCTACACAAACCCCACCAAGAATCTGGCATCACCACCTCTGCTAAAATTGGCATCAGCGGTGAGAAAATTCCCGAGCACCCTCTGCTTATTTCTAGAAGCTGCAGCTGCAGCAGCTCCAGACTCACGCAGGGCAGATCTTTAACACAAAGCAGAGATCAGAGGTGACAGAGCAGCGCGAGGTTGACCAGAAGCCTATGGATTCACAGATGCTGTCAAAACTCGAGTTCTTCAGCCAGCTGTGATCTGCTGTTGCTCTAACATAGGGAACTCACTTTGCAAGTTCTGAATTTTGTAGGAAGAATTGCATTAAATGACTAATAGCAAAAAGAAAAAGAAAGAAATAAAAGTTAATCTTTTTTTAGGAGAGAAGACTTGAAAGGTAGGGTTACAGAGAGGAGCAGACCTTGCATCTGCTGGGTCATTCCCCAAGTGCCCATGGCAGCCAGAGCAGGAAGAGAGAAAGCAATCGAGGATGGCCCAAAGCCTTGGGACCCTGCACCTGAATGGGAAACCTGGAAGAAGCTCCTGGCTCCTGGCTTCGGACAGGTACAGCTCTGAGCATTGCAGCTACTTGGGGAGTGAATCAGTAGATGGAAGATCTTCCTCTTTGTCTCTCCTCCTCTCTGTATATCAAAACAAATGAAAAACTTGTGATGTCACCTGCCATAAAATGCAGTGGCTGTCTTGTATTGCTGTCACTGCCTGGTAGTTTGACCTCTGACCCTGTGCCAGGGCTTCTCTGCCACTGCCCCGTGGTCTGAGGCAGGCCCTGCCCAGGTGGGCCGTCCCAGAGGCTGTGATGCCTGCTTCCCAGCACACAGAGCATCCCCAAGCTGGGAGTCTGAAATGTTCCCAAACCGAGACATCTGAACACCCCCATGATGGCACAAGTGGAAAGTTCCACACTGCAGGCTGTCTCTAAAGTGTCTGAAACACACGAGAATCCCTTCCCCAAGAGAGCTCATTATGCATATGCAGATGTTCCCAAATTTGGAAAAATCTAAAACCTAAAATACTTACAGTGCCAAGCTGGCTTGAGTCCATTTGCCCCAGCATGGGAACAAATAGGTGCGGCGCCCACCCAGCACTGGGGACAGGTGTGACCCCAGCATGGGGACAGGTGTGACTCCCCCCAGCACTGGGGACAGGTGTGACCCCAAGCACTGGGGACAGGTGTGGCCCCAGCATGGGGACAGGTGTGACTCCCCCCAGCACTGGGGACAGGTGTGACCCCAGCATGGGGACAGGTGTGACTCCCCCAGCATGGGGACCGGGAGTTTGGTTGCCTGTCTGGTGGTGTCCACTAGGCCTGTCCCCAGAAAGATGTCTGTAGAGCTGGTCAGCTGTCCACAGCTGTGCATGAACACCCCACGTGCATTCTGCTGGAATGGTGGGACTTTAACCCTGAGGTTAAGACACCAGCTGAGGCAGCTGCCTTCGCGGTAATGCAGAGTGCCCGGCTCTGCTCCTCTCTGCAGCTCCCTGCCAGCGCTCACTCTCGAAGGAGCAGATGACGGCTCCTGTCACTGGCTTCCTGCTGCCCGCATGGGACACCTGGGTTGAGTTCCTGACTCCCGGCTCGGCAGGGCCTGGGTGCACTCTGTGGGAATTTGGGGAGTGAACCAGGGAATGGGATTGCTCTGTACTTCTCTATGCCTCTGAAATTAGAAAATTAAAAAATGAGTAACTGCAGGTAGGAGGCATCCCGAGGCCAACGATTGTAAGTGATCGTAAGTGAGAAGCGTCTGAAGGGTCCCTGTCTGTACTGCTGGTGCAGCCACAGGGAGCGACTGAGGGGTACCCGGGTGGGGGTGTCGGCGAGGGAGCCCCCCTGAGCCCCTGTGTTCCCACAGCTCCGTGACTGTGCAGGGCTGCGCGAGGTGGAGGTGACGGCGTGCCTGGTGTGGAAGGACTGGCCGCACCGGGTGCACCCCCACAGCCTGGTGGGCAAGGACTGCACAGATGGTGTCTGCAGGGTGCGCCTCCGGCCTCACGTCAGCCCCCGGCACAGGTACCTGGTCCGGGGGACCCCGGGTGCGGCCTGGCCGCAGCCCCTCAGCGGGGAAGTGCGGGCCTTGACTGCGCATGCCTCCCAGTTACCCTCACTTCCAGAGGGTTTGGGCGCACATGACTGACGTCAGCTGCCTCGCCCAGTCTCCCCGTCACTGTGCAGTTGGTGCGCTTTAGTTCATGGAGCTCTTAGGTGGGGGAGGGTTGTCCTCCCTCCTGTCCTTGCCTCCTCCCACGTGGACTCCTTCCTGGGATGCATTGTGGGTGTGCAGGCACGTGCTCCGTGTGTCTGCGCTCCCTGGGCAGGCCCTTGTGTAACTGTGAGGCCGCGTGTCATCCTTCCTCAAGATATTTGAAGCTGCCGGTGCTTTTTCTTGGCTGCATTGTGTTCCGTGCGCCAAGCCCCAGTCTGGCACTGCAGAGTTCCCAGCTAGCTCCCGCTGCTCTGTGGCTAACTGCCACTGGGCATTGCCTCCCGCCTGGCATGCCTCGCCCAGGATGCCCTCCTAGACAGCAAGTTGCAGGCCAGGCACTTGGACATTTCAGTGTTTATAATGTAGCAGAAATGATAAACTATAAGAGCAGGAGTTTCTCCCCCGCCCCTTTGGTTTTCTGCTGTGTACCCCAGAACCTAGCACAGCTGTAGCTGCTTGAGAATAGTGGAGGAAAGAATGAATGTGACTGGCACACAGTTTGTGAGTTCCAAGCTCTCTGCCAGTTTGTCAGCGCTGGGTATTTGGAGCTCTGCTATTTTGATGAGTTCAGACTGGGGGTGGCACTAACCTCATTAGTGCTTAATCTACCATTTTCTTCCTTGTAAGCGCAGTTGGGGCAGGGGTTGGGTGGCTGGTGCCTTCAAGGCCTGTTCCTGGGGACCCCCCATGGGAGGCTAGAGCCCCAGACCCTGGAGGCAGCTCCTCCGCTGAAACTGCAGGAGCCCCTCAGGAGCCTTGCTGCCCCTCCTCCTGCAGCTTTAACAACCTGGGCATCCAGTGTGTGAGGAAGAAGGAGATCGAGGCCGCCATCGAACGCAAGATTCAGCTGGGCATCGATCCCTACAATGGTGAGACCTGCTCCACGCCTGGCTCCGCCTCGTCCTGGCCCCCCATCACGCCCGCCCCTTTCCTACAGGCTCCGCCCTAGCTCCTGGCCTGGTCCTGTCCCCAGTCCCGCCCAGGTCCGACCCCGTCCCTGCTCCTGCTCCAGGCTGTATCCTTCCCTTCTTGCAGCTGGGTCCCTGAAGAACCACCAGGAGGTGGACATGAACGTGGTGAGGATCTGCTTCCAGGCCTCGTATCGGGACCAGCAGGGGCAGTTACGCCACATGGAACCAGTGCTGTCAGAGCCCGTGTATGACAAGAGTGAGTGCAGCTGCTGACCCCGTAGTCGGCAGCAAGTCTGTGGGACTGGAGCCCCGTGGGGAGTGGCGAGGCGCGCAGGCGGTGGCTTCGTGTTTAACCATCTTTATGCCTTTAAAAAGCAGAATGACAGAGAGAGAGAAACAGTGTACTCTTTGCCTAAATGGCTTCAAGGGCCAAAGGGCTCCATCTGGTCTCCCACGCGGGTGCAGGGCCCAAGAGCTTACATCATCCTTTACCGCCTCCCCAGGTGCTTTAGCAGGGAACTGGATCTGAAGTAGAGCAGCTGGGAGTCAAACCTGCCCTCCGACCCGGGGGTGGACATCCCAAGCAGTAGGTGGCTTAGTCCTCGGTGCTACCACACCTGCACCCAGCCTTTTCCTTTATGGAGCAGGAAGCTGCCAGGATGTCCCTAGTGGACATCTGTTTTGTCCCATGGTCGCTCCTAGCTGCAAGGGAATCTGGGAAGAAGATGACTTGGGTCTTCCTCCTCCAGGGAGGGGTCGGGCTTGGGAGAGGGTTAGGGTGGAGCTTTGTGTTTTAGCCAACCTGCAGTGACTGGCACCTGCTCCAAGGTGGGGTCAAGGGGATGGTGCACAGTTGGTGCCTGGGACAGAGCCCAGCTCACATGGGCTTAAGGGAAAGGAAGAATTTGTCCCACCAACTAGAAACACTGAGAGGTGGCACCCTGACTCAGGGCTAGGTGCTGTCAGCTGGCCCTCTCTGTCCCTCAGTCGTGCTCCTCACGGCGGTCCTGGTAGGCAGGGCCCTCCACAGTTGTGCCAGCTGTGGGCTCACATCCTGCCCCATGGGCAGCTGTTCTGCTCTCTCCTGTCCAGTGTTTGGGCTCAGAATCTCAGGGCTGTCTCTCATTGGTCTGCTTTTTTTTTTTTTTTTTTTTTTTAAAGATTTATTTTTATTATTTTTTCATTGGAAAGGCGGATATACAGAGAGGAGAGACAGAGAGGAAGATCTTCCGTCCGATGATTCACTCCCCAAGTGAGCGCAACGGGCCGATACTATGCCGATCCGAAGCCAGGAGCCTCTTCCGGGTCTCCCGCGCGGGTGCAGGGTCCCAAAGCTTTGGGCCGTCCTCGACTGCTTTCCCAGGCCACAGGCAGGGAGCTGGAAGGGAAGCGGGGCTGCCGGGATTAGAACCGGCGCCCATATGGGATCCCGGGCGTGCTAGGCGAGGACTTAGCCACTTGCGCCACCGCGCCGGGCCCCATTGGTCTGCTTTTTAAAAAGATTTCTTTTGATTGGAAAGGCAGAATTACAGAGAGAAGGGGAGACAGAAAGATCTTCTGTCCACTGGTTCACTCCCCCAGATGGAGCCGAGCCAACCTGAAGCCAGGTGGTTTTTCTGGGTCTCCCACACAGACACAGGGCCCCAAGGCCTTGACTGCTTTCTCAGGCCACAAGCAGGGAGCTGGATGGGAAGTGGAGCAGCTGGGACACAAACCAGTACCCATTTGGGATGCTGGTGCTTCTAGGTAAAGGATTAGCCAATTGAGCCATCACACCGGCCCCTCATTGGCCTACTTTTGGTGGTTTGTTCCACTCTGACCAATCCATGATAAGTAAAGACACGTGGTGCTTTTACTGGCGCACGTGGGGCACATGAGCACCGCTGAGCTAGGGTGTGACCCAGCCCTACCCCATCCCTGTGGTTGAGGCGAGAAGGATCCCTGGAAGGAGACCCCAGACTTCTGAATGGGACAAGACTCAGACATCCCTGAGAAGGTTCCACCCCTGGGCTGGTGTTGTGGTATAACGCGCTAAGCCTCTGCTCGCAATGCTGATGTCTCGTGTGAGTGCTGATTCACTCCCTACATGGCCAGAGCAGCCAAAGCCAGGAGCCCAGAAATCCATCCATGTCTCCCATGAGAGTGCAGGAACCTAGGTACTTGGACCAACACCCGCTGCCTTCCCAGATGTGTTAGCAGAAATCTGGATGCAAAGCAGAGCAGCCAGGACTTGAGCTGGTTCATGTGGGGCACCGACACTGTAGGCAGTGGATCAGGGTGCTATGCCACCGTGTTGATCCTGCAGGTCTCTCTTTGAGACCGTCCTCAAGAAGGGGTGTGATGGTTCAGGTTTGTCTTTGAGACCCTCCCTGGGCACTTCCCCGGATGCTTGACAAGGGTGTGATGGCACAGGTGTCCATCTGTCACTTTTTGCTAGAGTCCACCAACACATCAGAGCTGCGCATCTGCCGGATCAACAAGGAGAGCGGGCCTTGCACGGGCGGCGAGGAGCTGTACCTGCTGTGCGACAAGGTGCAGAAAGGTGAGGGTGTGCATGCGCAGATGGGAGGTGAGGTGGCCAGGAGGGGTGAGGGTAGGGCAGGACGGAGGAGCCCCCAGTGACTTGCAGTGTGGTCTTGCCGGATCCTGTGTGTGTGTGTGTGTGTGTCCTGTGGGCAGAGCTGGGGCTAGGGTGGCTGAGTTAGCGCTGGAGGGTTGCAGGCACACTTCAGGATGAGGCTTCACCCTGGAGAGTCCAGAGGGCACAGGGGTGGCCGCGCTCCCCTTACACCTGCTCCAGTCCCTTCCTTCCTCCCTGGGTTGAAGTCTCCTCCACCCGGGACTTTGCAGCTCGCTGGGTAGGCAGAGGGCGTTGGGAGCCCGCCGTTCCGCTATCCTGTCTGCTTGTTGTCTTGAGTCTGCAGATTCGACCCACTGAGCATTGAAATGTTGGAAAAGCGAAGGCCTCTGGACTGAGCATGCGCACACCTTGTCCCGTGGTTCACTGCAGCCTCACGTGTCAGGCGGCATCCCCCAGTGTGTGTGAATGAGGGTTGCTGTGTGAACCATGTGCCATTTTATGTGAAGAACTTGAACATGAGGATTCTGTTCTGGGAAGATTCACCTGTTGGTTTGAAAGGCAGAATGGCAGATCAGGGCAAAGGGAGCAGAAAGAAAATTTTTATTTTTAAAAAAGATTTATTTTTATTACAAAATCAGATATATAGAGGGGAGGAGAGATAGAGAGGAATATCTTCTGCCCAATAGTTCACTCCCCAAACAGCCGGTGCTATGCCGATCTGGAGCCAGGAGCCAGGAACTTCCTTCAGGTCTCTGACGCAGGTGCAGGGTCCCAAGGCTTTGGGCCGTCCTTGACTGCTTTCCCAGGCCACAAGCAGGGAGCTGGGTGGGAAGTGGAGCTGCTGGGATTAGAACCGGCACCCTGGGATCCTGGCGCATTCAAGGTGAGGATTTTAGCTGCTAGACCACGCTGCCGGGCCCAAAAGATAATTTTTAAAAGATTTCTTTTTATTGGAAAGACAGATTTACAGAGAAAGGGAGAAAGATCTTCCATTTGATGGTTCACTCCCCAAGTGGCCGCAATGGCTGGAGCTGAGCTGATCCAAAGCCAGGAGCCAGGAGCTTCTTCTGAGGCTCCTACATGTGTGCAGGGTTCCAAGGCTTTGGGCCGTCCTCGACTGCTTTCCCAGGCCACAAGCAGGGAGCTAGAAGGGAAGTGGAGCAGCTGGGACACAAATTGGTGCCCATATGGGATCCTGTTCATGCAAGGTGAGGATTTTAGCCACTAGGCTACTGTGCCAGACTGGAAAAGCGATATTTTTCATCTGTTGGTTCACTCCCCAAATAATTACTATAGCCACAACTGGACCATGCTAAAAGCCAGGAGCCATGGGGCTGGCATGATGGCTCTACTGAAAAATTTTCTAAGCGTGGGGATCCTGTAGGTGCAGTGGTTCGTGTCCTGGCAGCCCTGCTTCCCATCCAGCTCCCTGCCTGTGGCCTGGGGGAGCAGTGAGGGATGGCCCAAAGCCTTGGGGCCCCGCACTGTCATTGGGGAGTGACCAGCAGATGGAAGATCTCTCAGTGCTCTTCATAAGTCTGCCTTTCTAACAAAAATAAATCTTTAAAAAAAAATTTTGGAACTCAAGTTTCAAAGAGGGTTGCAGGGACCCAAGTACTTGATCTGCCTCCCAGGATACTTGTAAACAGGAAGCTGGATTTGGAAGGGGAGCCAGGGCTTGAACCCAGCACTCTGAGAAGGGATGACACAGGATACAGGCGCTTGGGTTGGCATCTTGGCCACTCTGTCAAGGCTGGGTCCTGGTGAGGTGCTAGCCAGGAGCTGGAGCGTGGGCTGGGTCCTAGGAGTTCCCTTTGTGCAGCCCTGCATCCCAGGGTGGTGTTGGGGACCCCTGATGTAGTGAGGTTACCAATTCTACCTACCTCTTAGTTATAGAGTTTAAATGAGATGCTACAGAAAGCTTTCATAAAACATTCAGTGGGGGTGGTGTTGTAATGTTGCAGGCTAAGCTACTGCTTGCAATGCATGCATCTCACATGTGGGTACCACTTTAAGTCCTGACTCCTGCACTGCTGCCACATGGGAAGCCCAAATAGAGTCACAGGGTCCTGGCTCTGGACTGGTCCAGCTGGCTATCATGGCCCTTTGGGGAATAAACAGCCAGGTAGATCTCTCCTGCCTTTGATTTGCAAATAAATAAGCCTTTTCTTAGTCCTGTAATGAGCAGCACATAATAGGTGCCCACCAAGAGCTAGCATATGGTAGGTACTCAGTGCCAGCAGTCATTGTGCAGTGTTGTGTTCTTGTGTGCTGATCCTGGGGCTGGCGGGCCTGGCTCAGCTGCCACCCCCATGTCCCTGCCAGAGGACATCTCGGTGGTGTTCAGCACAGCCTCCTGGGAAGGCCGCGCCGACTTCTCTCAGGCCGACGTGCACCGCCAGATCGCCATCGTGTTCAAAACCCCACCCTACGAGGACCTGGAGATCGCCGAGCCTGTGACCGTGAATGTCTTCCTGCAGCGGCTCACTGACGGCGTGTGCAGTGAGCCGCTGCCCTTCACCTACCTGCCCCGTGACCATGGTAACCACGGCCCCCCATGGCACCCCTCCCCAGGAACCAGGCATCTGGGCGACCTTAGCCATAGCACCTGTCTCCTGGCATTGGGTGGGGGAGTTGGAGGCAGTATGTAGTCCTCTTGGTGCACCTGCTTGCGCCTTGTCCCATGCTGGTAGTGCTGGGGACATAGCAGTGACCAAGACAGCCCCTGGCTCTGCCTTTAGGAGGTGCATGGGCCTGTGCAAGAGGTTGGGCAATCCAGCCTGTGTCCTCACAAGGTGACCAGTGTGGGTGGGACTGGAGCTGGGGCACCCAGGTATGAGGGTAGCTGACAGAAGGGTGGCTTCATGTAGTCTGAGGGCCGGGAAAGACTTCCTCGAGGAGGGATGGCTGGGCTGGTGTCAAAATGGCGGAGCAGTTGTCCACAGAAGTGGAGGAAATCTGTCCTCCACAGCTGGATTGGCCAGCGCCAAGGCCTGGAGGCAGGATGGCGCCTGGGGCTGTCCCAGGAGCACAGAGAGGGCAGGGTCCAACAGGTAACAGCTCCCCGTGCGGTAATTCTTCTTACTGACTTCCCCACCTTCTGAACAGACAGCTACGGCGTGGACAAGAAGCGGAAGCGGGGCATGCCGGATGTCCTCGGCGAGCTCAGCAGCTCTGGTGTGTCCCCTCTGCCGTGAGCGCACCCGGGCCCTGGTCTCCTGCCCCCGCCCTAGGCTAGGGAGTGGGGGAGATACAGCCAGATCAAAGTCCCTCATCTCTGCCCTCCCCTAGACCCCCATGGCATTGAGAGCAAACGGAGGAAGAAGAAGCCAGCCTTCCTGGACCAGTTCCTGACTGGCCATGGCTCAGGTGGGTCTGACTGCTGCAAACCCCCCATCTTACAGGTGGAGAGAGCAAGGGCCCCAAAAGCCACCTCTCGGCCAGGGTCACACTGTCTCGGGGAGTTGAGCAGGTGGGGTGCTCATCTCCGTAGTGATGACATGTGTACATGTGTGCACTCGCAGGGCAGTGGGGGCCGGTCGTTTACCCGTGGGGTGCGGCTGGGAGCTAGCCAACCCAGAACTCTGAGCTGCTCTAAGTCTCCATGCCAACCACCCATTCTGAGAACACTGTCCCCTCCTCCCACTGCATACCAGCTAGCCCAGGGCAGCCAGCTCCCCACTGGCTGCCAGCCACCCATACTGCTGAGTCTGCCCCACTTCCTCAGGCCCTCCATGGAGGCTGGAAGTCCCACTGGGGTCCCTACTTCCCAGTAACTGGAAACCAGCGGCCCAGCTGCTCCGCTTGCGCCAACCGCCAGTCTTAGGTGTGACCATTGTGTGACATCCAGGCCCCTGCCATTCATGTGCCATTGTATGCCCCCAGCTCTCCAACGTGTAACCCCCCTGCCCTTTCTCAGGGCTCCAGAGTACCGATCACAGGCAGGGGTTTTAAGATCAGATTTGACCTCTGAGCTCACAGCTTCGCAGCTTTGCAACACTCAGGAGCCTCAGTTTAACATTCAGCGGTTGGATGAGCAGCCCACCTCCCAGGGATGAGGGAGACCCCACCAAGGCAGGTGGAGCAGGGCCCAGGACGCCATGGGTAGACACCTGCTGGGAAGCAGTGGTGCCACTTGTCAACTGCCTGGATATCATTTGCGCTGGACTGACTGGGCTGCCAGACCCCGATCACAGGGGTTTCATCCGAGCTCCAAGCACTTTCGGTCCAGTTTCCATCTCGTGGTCCAAGGTGACCGTTGCAGCTCCAGTCATCATGCCAATATTCCAGTTCACACTTAGTCGACTGACACCAGCAGTAGCTCAGGGCCCCCGAGTTTCGTCAAGGGCTTGAGGAAGTGGGAGAGGCTTGCTCATAGTGAGATTTCTGGCTTGGAGACTTCCCAGCCTGGGTGTTCTCCACTCAGGAAGGGGACTGCCAAGCTGCCTCACCTTCCTCATTCGTGGGGAAGGCCCCACTGCCTGGTGCAGGAAGGGTCTGCCTGGCCAGGGCAAGTGGGCCGATGCACTGAGCTCCAACCACCAGCCAGCGTCTCCCTCCTTCTCTCCACAGGCACATTCCTTTCGCCCTCGGCCCTGTGTCTACCGGACACAGACTTCTTCCCTGGCACTGTGTCCCTACCCGGCATGGAGCCCCCCGGGGGGCCTGACCTCCTGGATGACGGCTTTGCCTACGACCCCGGGGCCCCCTCGCTTTTTACCATGTTGGACCTGCTGCCCCCACAGCCGCCCCTGGCCAGTGTGGTGGCTGGTGGCGGCAGCAGTGGTGGTGGGGGTCCAGGGGCTGCGATGGGGGAGACCCCAGGCCCTGAGCCGCTCACACTGGACTCGTACTCTGCCCCAGGCCCAGGAGATGGAGGCACAGCCAGCCTGGTGGGCAGCAACATGTTCCCCAACCAGTACCGTGAGGCGGCCTTTGGGGGTGGCCTTCTGTCCCCAGGGCCTGAAGCCACGTAGCCCCTTGCGGTGCCAGAATTGAGGTGCTGGGTGGGGAGGGAGGTGGTGGGGGTGGGGGTAGGGGAGCGTGCAGACCCCAACCAGGGTCCCAGCACCCTCATCCCCTGGGGCCACCCGTGGTCAAGTCTTCCGACCTCCTGCCCCTTCTGAATCGGAGGTCTTCCAAGCTAGTGAGGGGCTTCCAAGCCCGGGTTTCCCTCGGAACCCGTTTTATAAAGAAGGAAACGGGTTCGCAGGGAAAGGGGGCCTGCCACCTGCCCCTCCACGCTGTATTCTGACAAGATTGTACATATGGTGGGGGCAGCTCTCCCCCACCCCGCCGCGAAGGTGAGGGGGGAGGAGGGGTGCCGGTTGTTTCTTCAGTCTTCCCAATAAAGATAGTTTTGGAACCCTGGGGGTCTCATTTCTCAGCTTGGGGAGTCCCCAAGGGTTTCCTCTCGGCTCCGCCCACCAAAGGCCCCGCCCCGTCCTACAGCAAGCACCGCCCCCTCCGGGTTCCACCCCGCGCATGCGGAAACGCGCCCCACCCCCTCCCACTTCGCGCGGCCATTTCCGCTTCCGGTGCGGCCGCGCGCGGGCGCAGCGGTGGGAGGCGGCGAGCAGCCGGTGAGTGCAAACGCGGCGGGCTGAGCTGGAGCCTGCTGGATTTTGTGGTGTTTTTCGGGTGCGGGTGGGAGCAGGCGGGCAGCAGTTGAGCTTCGCCACCCACTTGGGGCCATTCCCGGGCTGTTGTGGGGGGCCTCCATCGGGCCTCGGCCCGACGATCGCCCAGAGGCCAGACAGGCCTCGGGCCGCGCCCCTGGCCCTGCCGCGGGCTGCACCCCCTCTGTCCCCGCGGCTCCTGCTGTCCCTTTGGCCCCCTCGGTCCCCGCGGTCCTCTCGGCCCCTGCTGTCCCCTCAGCCCCAGCTGCCCACACTGTCCCCGCTGTCCCCTCGGTCCCCCTGGCCCCTGCTGTCCTCCCGGCCCCTGTGGTCCCCTCAGCCCCCGTGGTCCTCTCGGGCCCCTGCTGCCCCCGCGGCCCCTGCAGAAGCACAGCCGCCCCCGGGCTGGCACTCACTTTCTTTGCCTGGCGACCCCCAACCCGGGCTCTGATCCCTCCTCAGCACCTCATCCCGCCTCTGCGATACAAAGTGTCTCCTTGCCCTGCTGCCTCTGAGGAGCAGGCATCCCTTATTCCTCCTGCACCGTGATGGCCCTGCTGGCACCTGCAGCTCTGGCCCCTGAGGTCCACCAGCCAGCTTTAACTTTACACACCAGTGTGTCCCTTTCCAACCCGTTTACCCCTGATGCTGCCCCCGCCGCCCCAGGACCCAAACGGTGGGGGTGCTCACCCCAGAATTATCTGAGTGTTTTTCAGCGTGCTCCACGCAGTTCCTGACTCACAGCTGTGCAGGGGTACGCTTGAGCCTGTGGCACACGAGTCCCTGGCTTCATCCACCCTCCCTCTCTCTGTACTCCGAATCTGGGAGATGATGGCACTGAACATTGGCAGCTGACTTGAATTCTGCCCCACCCTCTCCTTTTTGCAGACCGTCTGGTCCCCTGGTCTGCCCACCCAGGTTGGGGGCCCCAGGCCTGCCTCACCACCATGTGGCACGAGGCGCGCAAACATGAGCGGAAGCTGCGAGGCATGATGGTCGACTACAAGAAGAGGGCCGAGCGGCGGCGGGAGTACTACGAGAAGATCGTGAGTAGCCTGCCGTGGGGTCAGGGGCTCCTTGGAGCAAGAAGAGTGCCAGTTCATGAACCTCCCCCCTTTTTTTTTTTCCTTGGGTGTTGAGCGTAGTTGTCTACCAGAACCCCAAGGGACTCTCTGCCCCTGCAGTGGGACTTGGCAAGGCCTCAGAGTGCTGCAGGTGCCAGCAGGGAGGAGGGAGTGGGCTGGGGTCTGCCGCCATGCAGGCCTGGCCGTGGCGTGGACGTGTCTGCCGGGCTTCCTGCTGTACGTCCAGTGCCCGAGAGCTACTCCTGGGGCTTGGCACGGCTCCCCGGAGTGGGGGCATCGACATCAGTTCAGGGACCCCTTTCCCTCTTGGATCCTTTGATTAATTTGGGTGGGACAGAAGGCAGACAAGAAGTCCTGAGCTGCAAGGCCCCGGGGACCTTTTCCTGCTTCGGCCCCCGTGCATTTTTGATCTCCAATGGATACATCCCCATTGTCCATCTTTTTAAAGCTTTTTAAAATTCTCTTCTTTGGAAAGGTAGATTTTCACAGCAAGGAGTGACAGAAAAACCTTACTTCAGCTGGTTCACTCTCCAAGTGGCCACAACAGCCAGTGCTGAGGCCAGCTGGAGCCAGGAGCTTCTTCCAGGTCTCCTGCACGTGTGCAGGGTCCCAAGGCTTTGGGCCGTCTTGCACTGCTTTCCCAGGCCACAAGCAGGGAGCTGGATGGGAAGTGGAGCAGCTAGAACGTAAACCGGTACCCATATGGGATCCCGGCGCATGAAAGGCGAGGACGTTGGCCACTAGGCTACCACGCCAGGCGTGAAGGGAACAATTCTTATCACTTGCTGGGCCTCAGCAGAATGAGCTTCAGCAAGTCCGGCTCCTGCTGCAGCCCCAGGGCAGAGCTAGCAAAATGCCATGATGGTGGGTGCCTAGAAGCTTGGAGCTAGGGTGCTCTGGGGTCTGCTGCTAGCTGCTGCCCAACAGGCTGCACGCTGTGTTACCCAGTCTGCTTCCTGCAGTAGAGTGTAAAGCAGCAGACCAGGACCTGTCAGCTTTGTCTGTGTGGAGGCCTCAAAGGTCAGTGCCTGGATCAGGGTAGGAGTTTACGCTGCGTTTACAGGAAGCAGAGGGACCCAGTTCTGCTCCGGGACCTGCTGCTGGCTTCCCTGCCCCAGTCGCCTCAGTGTGCAAGAGGGCCCCTTGTGACTGTTCCATTCTGCAGGGAGGGGTAGGATATTCTTGCCAGTGACACTTCAGTCACATCCTATTGGCCAAACAGCAGTTCTGTGGCCACACTCAGGGATAAGGTTGCGACAAAGGCTGAGAGGTGCGGGCTGCGTGCTGGGTATCCCTGAGCACGTTACGTCAGGAGGTTCCCTTCCGAGTCGGCTGCCCCGGGGTGTGCAGGGCCGCCAGACCAGGTCTGGGCGGGTGGTGGCGCCCACGCCCCTCCGAGCATACACCTGCCCTGGACAACTATTGCTCTGTAAATATTGGCGCTTGGGGTTGTTGACGTTGCTGTTTAATTGGGTAGAGCTGGAGTTTGGATCCAGGTGGGTGGCTGGCATTGAGGACGAAAGGCTGGGGTGCCAGGGAGGTCCCTGAGTCCTGGCTTCCCTCAGGACCATGGTGCTGGCCAGCCAGCCCCTCTGCCTGGCTGCTGGGAAGAGCTTAAAGTATGAGTGCCTGCGGTGCTGGCCCGTACAAGTGGCCATTGTCGCCGTGTAGGAACATGACCAGCATTCTGATCACAGCTGCCAGGCCAGGCGGTGGCCAGTGCTGCTGGGAGGTGGGGAGGGGCTGCTGCACTCCCACACAGACTGTCACCTAGCTGCGGGTCCCAGAAGGGAGGCAGAGCCGAGGAGACAGCGGAAGCTGGCGGGGCTTCTGGGCGCCTGTTGCATGGTGCCTCCTTTCTCTCCGTCTTGGGTCCTTGTCTGACAGTCCTGCCAGTTTTCTTTATTGAGCAGCCTGGGAAAAGCAGCAGAATTCCCTGTTGATCTGAAATTGGGAACCGGGTGAGTGTCTCCTGCCCTGGGAAGCCCCGGGCTGAACCCAAGCCTGCTCAGACGTACCACTGGGCTCCCCCATTGGGAGCACTGCCTCCTCTGGGAGTGGTTCCTGCGGGGGGTACATCTGTCTGCACAGCTGCCACTGCACTGTGAGGACATGAATTCCTGAGCTCTCTGTCCTAGAACCAAGCCAGGCTAGTGGTCAGGAGGGCACTTGTATACCCTGGCTTGTTGTAGCATCGTTCATAGTTAAGGGGTAGGAGCCATTGACAGAGGGTAAGTGGATAAAAGAACTGGAGTAAATGCATATGGTGCAGTATTACTTCATCCTAAAAAAGAGAGAGAATAATTCAGAATATTCCCATCACACTCTGGTGTTGGTGGGCCTTGAAGAAAGAAGTGAAATCAGCTGTCAGGCAAAGCAAGAAGGCTGTTCTGGAAGGTTCTGTTTATGTGAGGTCTGGGGTGGGGAAGGGCAGTCAGACCTTTAGTAGCCAGGGACTTGGAGGCAGAGGGGAGAGGCTGTGCTGCTCAGCCGGGCCGAGCTTCCACCTTGCCAGAGGAACAGATCGGAGAGATTGGTCACGCTCCAGGGCTCCAGGTGCGTGGGGTAACCCTGCTCCTGAGCCCTCAGATACACTGAAAATGCCAAATTTTGTTTTTTGTTTTTACCACAGTAAGATAATCACTCTTGCATTTCAAAAATAAATCATAATGAACCAGAAATTGGAGTTTTGCAGTCAGGCCCGTCTGGATTCAAGTCTTAGTTTTGCTGGGGCCAGCGTGTGGCACAGCTGGTTCAGCTGCTGCATGTGAGCCCACGCCCCTGTGTGCCCTGGGGAGTGCTGACCGTTCCCCTGGTGGCTTCCTGCTGACATGGCTCAGCCTGCTCCTTCCTCTCATGTGTGTAGGGAGTGAGCCAATGGATGGGAGGTCTCTGTTGCTCTGCCTTTCAAATAAGTAAGTAAATTGTTTTGAAGAAGAATCCCAGTTTGGTTCATGAGGTGATGTGGGTGAGTGGACATTGGCCCTTTGAGAGTCTGGACCAGGCGGAGAAGAGTGGTGCCTGGAGGTTCGGAAGTCGGAGGAAAGGTGCCCATCATGCCTAGCCCCATGCACCTAGCTTCCGGCGTGGTTCACGGACTTTTCCAGAGTTTTGGGACACTGCTAGGCTGTGGACTGCAGGCTTCACTCATAGCCCAGTTCTTCTGCCCGCTTGTCCATGGCCTGGCCAAATCGCGCACGGCAGACTCCCAGGAGTTCTGACTGCAGGCACTGGGCGTGTGGCCTTGAGGTCACCTTGGCAATGTGATGGCCTCCTGAGACCTTCATGATGCTGAGGGAGTGGGGTAAGTTATATGGCTGGAGACAGGGAATTGGGGGGGAGGGTAAAGGTCAGGGTGGGGAGGTGGGTCCCCACAGCACTGCCTGCCCCTCCTGGTGCCACGGTCCCTTGCCAGGCCCCATGCACTTAGTTGGGCCATAGGTCAGTTCCGGCCATTAGGGGAGGATGGTACCAGCTGGGCCCCTGCGAGGGCAGGTGCAGAGTTGTGAAGAGCCAGATAATAACCATACTTACTGGCAAGCGTCCTCACCTCTTTACCCACTGGTGAGCCACTGGTGGGCGCACCTGTGCGTCAGCTGACTAAGGCTCGGGAGGGCTGCTGGGGACGCAGAGGAGTGCAAAATCTTGGAAACTTGGAAGTTTT